AGCTGACTGACCTGGAAGTAAGAGTGGGTGTTGTGTACAGTGGAGGAACAGAGCCTGATTATAAGGTGTGTATAATCCCACTTTGGAAACTATAGTATAGAAGGTTTAACATGCACTAACTAGAACATCTTATTTCTGCTTTGCAAGTTAAAATATGCCATTGTATGCATGAATGTGCTATTTTAGTTTCTCAAGAAAGCTCCTTTAAAGAAAAGCTAGACAAAAGTACAGAAGGCCATGTTACTACTTAACTGCATCATCCAATATAGGAGTTAGTGAGAAGAAAATGCCCTCTAAAATCAAACAGTAACCCTTGAATGTGTCTCAAACAGCTCGGAGGTGGGGAATATTTTGACCACTGGTTTCCATTTCTACAGTGTTCACTTAAACGTTGATTGCACCCTGTTTCCAGGATGGCATCGCAGTCTTGTGGAACTGAATGGCCTTTGGTCTGAGTTCCTCTACAAGCTTTGCTAAGACAATGTGATGGATTGAGGGGCTTTGGAAGGCAGACGTTTGTGGATATTGTAGCGACCATTATCGACCACTTATCGTGAGAGTTGCTTTGGCAAGAATGCAGAATTTATCTGGTTGGAAGTGAGTCATGTGAACTCTTTCACAGAATGTGATCTGACCAAAGGTGGTAGCCAACAAGGGTGTAAAATACTGGCGATGACTCCAACTTCTACTGATTTACTTCCTTATGTGTCTGTCCCACCTTGTGTGCAGACACACAGAGTCATAGCATCATACAGCACAGAAACAGACCCTTCAGTCCAACTAGCCCATGCTGAACATAATCCCAAACTAAACCAGTCCCACCTGCCTGCTGCTGGCCCATATCCCTTCAAACCTTTCCTAGTCACGGATTTATCCAAATGTCTTTTAAACATTGTAATTGTACGGACATCCATCACTTCCTCAGGAAGTTCATTCCACACACAAGCCAACCTCTGTGTAAAAGATTTTCACCTCATGTCTTTTAAATCTCTCTCTCCTCACCTTAAGAATGTGTCCCCTAGTCTTGAAATCCCCCATCCTAGGGAAAAGACAACTACCAATAATTCTATCTATACCCCTCATTATCAGTGAGATGCTGCTATGATCCCACTTGCTTTAACATAAATGATCACTGTAATGGCTCACAGCTGACTAATAGGTCAATTAGGTGTGATGCTTAAACTCTTGGTAGTGCAGAAATTGAGGTAAACGTCAACTTTGTGTGGGTAATAACGCTGTAGGGACAGCCTAGTTTGTCAGTGGGCCAAAACGCCTAATTCTGCTCCTTTATCTTATTGCAGCCTGTTTTACTCCTTCAGAAATAAATGAGGTCGTCTTTAATTGTCTTGCACCAATCTCCTGACAAAAACTGAATCTTTGGTTTAAAAATCTGGACTTACGGCCAGATCAGAGCAGAGGTTGGAATTTTTTATGGCTTTTCACCTTCTTGTAAATTGACAACATTTCTGTAGGAATTATGAAGAAGTTCTGTTTTGCACTAAATGAAGAAAAGCTTCTCTATCTTTAATGCCTGAAGTTGTGATGATTCTGATAACATGGTGACTCTATGATAAACATGAAAGTCATATTTGGAAAAAGATTAGCCCTTGAAATAAACTCCTTACTTTGTGATTCAGCTGGCCTCTTCAGATTCATAAACCAGAATATTTTGAGTTGCGTGTTAGTTATTTTAAAACAAAACTGAACTGAGTTGAATTGGATTGTTGCTGTGCAAATAAACTGAAGTATATTAAGCTTTTATTTGTTGCAGTCTTTAATTTATGCAGGTTTGTGCTAGCGATACTGGCGTTGCTCCAGATAGGGACCGAAATTTGAATCTGATGGCGACGTGTTGATCACCTGGGCAGCCAGTAGGTGACGTGGAACTTGCCCAACCTGGCTTCGTGCTTGCACAGCAGCTGGTAGAATAGAATTTACATTAGGCCAGAACCTCAGTGCATCTCTCAGAACTCCCAGACAGTCTTCGTCCTGACTCCACAAGGCTGGTGTAGCATTGATGCCCACAGAGCATCATTGCAAAAAAGAATCATTTCATTTCCGGTCTTGCAATCTGTCACACATTAGCTCTCACTGAAGCAGATTTGTTGGCATTAAGGACTGCAGGGTGGAGTATTTTGTGATAGTCTGAATGTTAGACAACTGTCTCCCTGTGAGCGTGGAGTGGAGATGTCCTAGTGATAAACCAAGTTCTCTAGGAGTAAAACTCAGCAGTCAGTTCAAATGCTGAAATGTTAAAAGAACAATGAGGATAAAACTGAACAGTTGTAGAATGATGAACCTGGGGCCACTCCATTTAAAGGGCAACTTCAAGATAGTGTTAACTTTTTCCCCAAAGGAAAAGAGATGGAAACACATTCTTCTGCTGCAGTGATGAATGTACCAGTTGAAACAGCGTTTTGATGAAGTTCAAGGCTGGGCTCTTGCCATGCCGATTGAGGATAGATGGTGAAATGTGTTGCTTTGATGATTTGACTTTTTCCTGCCTGATGCTGTTAGAAAAATAGTTTGAAGGAGAGAGAGAAAGGAAATTTTGGGAATTTCATTATCCAAAATACTAAGAATGCTGTGATGTTCTGGGAAAGATGGTATAGGACAGATATAAAGTATAATATTGGAATAGGAATAGTGTTGATGAGGAAACTGAAACCTTTTGTAAATTTTGAGTCACTGGTCCCAGCTGGCCTTGCCACAAGAGCCGTCTTCTCCTACCTTCCTTCATCTCACTTAATTCCCCCATCCTTGCCTTTCTTTCTCACATGTATCCTTACCGAAATATATCAGTAAAGAAATATGGTGTTTGAAGTAACCTGAAAGAGAATAAGTGGGAAATTGATTCAGTGATACAGATAACTAATCTCAAGGGTGGTAAAAATAAAGATGAAGTCACCATAGTATTAGTGGACCATGAGGCTGCTCTCATCAGAAAGAGACAACTGGTAGTGGTTTAACCTGAGAGTCACCATACCAAGGGAAAAGGATGAGTCCTTCATTGTAAGGCACAGTGCTTAGCACTGCTGCCTCACAGTGCCAGGGACCTGGGCTCGATTCCAATCTTGGGTGACTGTCTGCGTGGAATTTGTACATTCTCTCCATCTCTGCCTGGGTTTCGTTGGGTGCTTTGGTTTCCTCCCACAGTCTGAAATTGTGCAGGTTAGGTCAATCAGCCGTGGGTAATGCAGGGTTATGGGGATAGGGTGAGATGCTGATCAGAGAATCGATGCGGATTCGATGGGCCGAATGGCCTCTGTCTGCACTGTTATTCCTCTAACCTCAACCATGTGGAAATGGAACCCACACTGTTGACATCATCCACATTGCAAACCAACAATACAACTAACTGAGCTGACCAACCCTTCTGGGTGGAGAAGAGAGAATTTATAAAGATCTGAAGCAATCGCAAGTGGGTTAATACTTGTGGAATATTTTAAAGAATATCTTATGACACAGCAATGACTAATTCTAAAGCATTTTTACTTCTTAATGAAAATGTAATTTGTAATCAAGATTTGTATGTCAATATTTGAGAATTCTGTTTTATAAGTTATCGTCTTTAATGAAGTAGAAAACATAAAGGGTTTAAATTTGGAGATGATTGCTTTAGATTGGGATCAAAGATGGACATAGGGAACGATGTCCATGTGTGACCATCATATAAAACAAGCAAACCTGGCATATTCCTAATGATAGACCTGCCTTTGTGTATGAACCTATTTGAGTGCTGTGACCATAACCAGATGGATGTTTCTTCATGTTGGGTCATGTTAAATCTGCAAATAATTTATGACAAATTCTGCTATCATTTTCCTAATTCCCAGAGAAATTAACTTGAGAATATTAAACCTCTAGTGGTTGTATGTCGGTGTGTTTTACTGCATTTATACTAACCAGTTAAGTGAATGTAGCATGAACTGTTCCCTCGTGTAAATCTAGCTGAATTGATAGTGCTATTTGCTGAAACTGCAACCTCTCTAGAGAAGTGTTACACACAGCTTTGAATCCAGATGTTGGAATAATGTCAGATGGAAGGGAGAGAATAAAATGTGGGATATTCACCAGTGAACAGTTGAAATATGACCAAAGGAAAGCTATTATCCAAAACAATCATCGCTGGAATTACTGTGAGCGAGTAATGTTGTAAGATTTTAAAAACTGGAACTACTTCGTGCTAGGGATATCTATTTCCCCACTCAAGTGTCTTGAATTAAGGGATTAGCCATAAAATTGCTTCATTGTACTACAAATCCTTGATTCTCCGCTCAGTTGTTATCTGTATCCAAGACAGCAATGGTGGATTTTTGGAAACTAAGGGTATCTAGGGATATGGGTGACAAAGTGAAGTTGAGATGTATCAGTCATAATCTTATAAATTGGCAGAGCAGCCCCAGGAACCAAGTGACCCACTGCTCCTCCTCTAGTGTTCTTAAGCATGCTGGTGTAACCTGCTGTCCTTACTGACAAATAAATGATTTAGAACAATCTTAGCAAAACAAAACTTTGTTGTCTAACAGTTGAATTTGGGCAGCCTCACTCCAACACTTAGTCTGAGTCTTAAAAGCAAAGGAAGTTGGTAGAAGATGTCTTTTTAAAATCATAACCCTCCCTATCGTGAGGACTTAAATCAACTGATCATTATTCTATTGATGTTTATGGACAATGTTGCCTATTGATTACTGTGTTGCATATGCAACAGATGGCTAAACTTCCGAACTCACGTTTTTGGCTGAAAAATGTTTTAGAGGTCCTGAAGTGGTTACAAATGCTTATTTCTCTTGTGTATGTGACCACACTAGAAGTTCAAACCACAAATACTTAGATAAATTGCCTTCTTTGCTTTGCTGCAAAGTTGGTTGCACGCAGAGTTTTACTTTGCACTCCTCTCTCCACAGTGGGGACAAAATCAGAAGTCACTTGGCAAGAGTGAGGTGCAGGAATTTTTTTTATCTGAAATGATTGAACTTTTGTTGGATGTCACCTTGCAGGCACGAATTATGTTTCACAGCTCGGAATCGACTCCATGTGCCCGACCACTAAAGAAGACTTTACAGAATTTGGGAAGCTTTTGAAGGAAAAGATTACGCAATTTGAAAAGTCTGTGCATTATGTAGACTTTTTAGAGACCTTACTTCGAGATATTAGCATTTCATGTAAGTTGATCTGTTGCGTGTGTGGGAATTATTTTGCTTGGCTTGTATGTCTTGGCCTCAAGCATGACCCAGTCAGCACACTTCAAGAACCTCCTAACTGAATTACTCATCATCCTGGAGGAATAGGGGTTTTGTTTCCCCACTGTGGAATTGCACAGTCTCTGCTTCCAGAATCCAAAAAGATTGAACGTAAATTTGATAAGTTGCAGCTTGTAGACAGCACAGCAATCTGTCATTCAGCCTTGTCCGTGCCAGAGTGTGAGCTCCACACAGGCCTTACTGGTGACGCACCGTCCCATGAAACGTATGGAAAAGAAACATAAACTGTCTTCATCTCATCCTCCTACACACCTCCCATTCCTTTCAGTCCATTTGTTTACCCCTTAAATGCATCACTGTTGTTTACTTCAACTGGATAAAGAGGTTTTCCCTGAATTCCTTATTAAATTCATTAGTGATTATCTTGTATTTGTGGACCTAGTTTTGGAGATCCCATATACATCTGTCAATTTTTTTTTTCATAATCTTGAAGACTTATTAGATCATCCTGTTGGTTGTCCTTTCTAAATGTTTGCTGATATTGTGGGAGTTTAGCTAATCGGCACCAATTTACTATCACTTTGCTGGTGAGCTTTCTGTTGCCTTTCCAGCATTTTGCAAGTTTGCAAGATTATCTGGAACCAAAAAAAATCTGCAGTTGCTGTTGTGTACCACTCTCTGGCTCCCATTAGTAAGTTAGTGCATTTGAAAATTGTTTTGATTGTATTGAAAGCTCCTGTTTTCGTTTTGTGATTATCCACTGAATTATTTAAAAACCCATTGTCACGCAGCCGAGATGTCAAAAAGTGGAGCCCTATCTGGGGCATCCTTGGACTTGAGAAATTGAACATGACTTTGCAAAGATCAGCAGCAGAGATTTGAGTGTTTAAGGTTGTTGGTGTTGAGTAGGAATATTTCTCATTTGAAGCTTGGATCAGCATATGACTACTCTCAGGTCTGTGCAGAACAAGCTTAACCTGGAGAATTTCTTCCTGTCTAGGGCTAGATGCAAAATCAAATCCCAATCATAAACCGTTGAAGTGACATGTTCAAGTGTATTTCTCTCATTGAGGCTTGGGGTGCAGTTCTGGCTGTGTGCGTTCTGATTGATGGGTTTCGTCAGGCTATTATTTTTGAATGTGGTGTTGAAATGCTCTTGTTCATTGCTATAGATTTTCAACCATTTATTTTTGCCTACGGTAGCTGTAGGAACTCAGCTCTGTGACCTCTCTTGCAGTGGATGTTGACGATTTGAAAAAGCTGAACAACTCTTTGACATCGTTGTGTAGTGAAAAGCAGAAACAAGAGAAGGTAAGGAGACACCAAGGAGGTCCTCCTCTCTCCCTTCCCCGCATAGGAAACTGACCACGATCATAAAATGTTGTATTTGTTAAAAATAAATGTAAAGAAAGTATAGAAACTGAAAACAGAAGCAGACCATTCATGCCATCAAGCCTGCTTTGCTCTTTGAGATGATCATAGCTGACCTCCCACACTCTGCTGTCCCCATATCTCTTGACTCTCTTAGCCTGTAGAAATCTGTTGTTTCTTTCTGAAATGTTTCACTTGCTTGGCCTTCACAGCCTTCTGTGAGTGTGTTCCACAGGTTTACCCTGTCTTTAAGTGAAGAGATTTTCCTCGTCCCACTCATTAATGGCCTATTGTGTATCATGAAACCTTAACTCCTTTTTCTGCCATTGCCCCACCCTGACAGGGGAAATGTCATCGCCGCATACCATCTGTCCAGCCCATGTCCGAATTTCATGTTTTAATGAGATCCTCCCCTCATTCTTTTATACTCCTCTAAATACAGGCCCAATGTTAAGTCTATACAAAACATAATTTGGGCAGTAACTAAAGTTACATGTTGCACAATGGGTAGCTCCCTCAATGTAAAGGAGGTGGTCGTGAGTTCTAGTCCAATTGCAGGGACTTAGAGTCATAGAAATGTACAGCACGGAAACAGATTCTTTGGTCCAACTCGTCCATGCCAACCAAATATCCTAAATAAATATAGTCCTCTTTACCAGCATTTGGCCCATATCCCTCTAAACCTTTCCAATTCATATACCCATCCAGATCCCTTTTAAATGTTGTAACTGTACTAGACTCCAGTACTTCCTCTGGCAGCTCATGCCACTTACACACCGTCCTCTGCGTGAAAAAGTTGCCCCTTAGGTCCCTTTTGAAGCTTATCCATCTGACTGTAAAAATGTGTCCTCTAGTTTTGGACTTCCTTTCCTGGGAAAAAGTCATTGTCTATTTACCCTATCTATGCCCCGCATCATTTTATAAACTTCTGTAAGGTCACTCCTCAGCCTCCAACGCTCCAGGGAAAACAGCCCCAGCATAATCAGCCTCTCCCTGCAGCTCAAGCCCTCCAACCCTGACAACATTCTTGTAAATCTTTTCTGTACCCTTTCTAGTTTCACAACACCCTTCCGAGAGCAGGGAGACCAGAATTGCACGCAATACTCCAAAGTGGCTGAACCAATGTCCTGTACAGCCACAACATGACCTCCCAACTCCTATACACAATGCACTGACCAATAAAGGCAAGCTTATCAATGCCTTCTTCACTGTCCTATCTACCTGTGACTCCACTTTGAAGGAACTATGAACCTGCACTCCAAGGTCTCTTTGTTCAGCAACACTCCTCACTTGACAACGGGATATGAACTGACTCTTGTAATGCAGTTCTTCAGAATTTCTGTGTAGCTGAAAGTGCTATCTTGAGTAAGATTTAAACCAGTATCTTGTCCCCGCTTCTTCTGTCTATTGCATGGCCTTTTAGAAGAGGAGCAATGCAATTTTTTCCCCTGAAATCCTGGCCAATGTTTATACTTCGATCAACATCACTGAGCAGATTATTTGGTCATTATCACATTGTTTTGTGGAGGCACTTGTATGCAAATTACCTGCCGTATTTTCTAAATTACAACAGTGAGCCACATTTACATTTCCAGTGTGAAGTCTGTAAATTGCTTTGGGGTGTCATAGTATCTGTTTGGCAGCAAGTCTTCTCATTAATCTTTTTAAATACAGTCTAGATTTTCCAGGGTAACTCTAGGAATGGGGAACCGAGAGATTATGCATATTTAAATTGCTGTGCAAGAATATTCCATGCTACACTGACACTTGCAGCATTAACCTTGTCCCTTGTGCAAGAACCCACTTCTATAACCCATGTGAGACAGACAGCTGTCTTTTTGTCCTGTAATTCTGTATTCCTGCCTACCCCTGATAACCTTCCACCCTCTTGCTTAACAAGGATTTCCCCATCTTTGTCTTAAAAAATATTCTGCTTCCACCACCTTATCAGGAAGAGAATTCAAAAGACCCATGACCCTCAGAAAAATTCCACCATGTCTATTTTAAATGATGTGGAGGTGCTGGCGTTGGACTGGGGTGGCCAAAGTCAGAAGTCACAGAACACAAAGTTATAGTCCAACAGATTTATTTAAAATCACAAGTTTTCGTAATGCTGCTCCTTTGTCAGGTGGAGTGAAGAGAAGCCCACAGACACAGAATTTATAAGCAGAGAGATCAAGAGATTGTCTAAATGATGTGAGTTGAGTGTCGACAGGCTGACTAATAAGTCTTTGCAGGTGATCAAGAGTGTTAGATGATGGGAGCAAAGTGTCAAGCTGAAGAGCAAGTGAAAGGATGACCTATGATCCGATTAATTGAAGCAATGAGATAATTACAAAACCAATGGCTGGAATAACATGATAGGCATAAGAGTCGCATGCTGAGGGTCTAACCAAAGGAATAAGTAATCCAAAACTGTACAAACTAATTCAGATAGAGAGACCATAAATCATCAAGATAATGGTGGCAAAACAGGACAGTAAGGAAAATTTTACAGTTACAGAACAGTATGGTGGGGTTACATATAGTATGCGACATGAACCCAAGATCACGGTTGAGGCTGCCTTCGTGGGTATGGAATTTAGCTATCAGTTTCTGCTTGGCAATTCTACGTTTGTTGTGTATCTCGAAGGCCACCTTTAGAGGATGCTTTCCCGAAGTTCAAAGCCTGACCGCTGAAGTGTTCTCCAACTGGGAGGGAGCATTCCTGTCTGGCGATTGTTGCACAGTGTCCATTCATCTGTTGTCATCTGCATGGTCTCGCCAATGTACCATGCCCTAGGGCATCCTTGCCTGCATCGAATGAAGTAGACAGCATTGGCTGGGTCACACGAGTACCTGCCGTGTATGTGGTGGATGCTGTTCCCACGTGTGATGGTACTATCCGTGTCGATGATCTGGCATGTCTTGCAGCGGTTGCTGTGGAATGGTTATGTGGTGTTGTGCTCAATGTTGTCCTCAAGGCTGGGTAGTTTGTTACAACATTGGTCTGTTTTAAAGTTTGGCGGTTCTTTGAAGGCGAGAAGTGGAGGCGTAGGGGTGATCTTGGCAAGATGCTTGTCGTCATCAATGACGTTGAAATCTGGCAAGAACATGGTGTAGTTTCTCTGCTCTGGGGAAGCCCTGGGCGACGAAGGGTACTGTCTTCTGAGGACGTTGATGCGGTTTTTCGTTGTGGCACATCTGAACTGGTGATCGATGAGTTGAGCATTATATCCCATTTTAATTTTTTGTAATTATCTCTCTGCCTCAATAAATCAGATTATAGGTCATCCCTTCACTTGTTTTCAGCTATTGATACTTCGCTCACACCATCTGACACTTTTGATCACAGGCAGAGACTTATTGTTCAGCCTGTTGACACTCTTAAGCCATTTGTATGATCCTTTGAGCTCTGTGCCTGTGGACTTGGCTTCATTCCACCTGACAAAGGAGCAGCGCTCCAAAAACTTTGTGATTTCAAATAAAGCTGTTGGGCTATAACCTGGTGTATTGTGACTTCTCACCTGTTTTCAATGGGCAGCCCTGATTTTAAAACAGTCACCCTAGTTCTAGACATTTATGTGAGAAAACATCTTTTCCTCAGCTACCCTTGTCATAACTCCTCAGAATTGTCTGTTTAAATCAAGTCACTTCTAACTCTTCTAAACTTCAGTTGATACAAACCGAGTTCTCCAACCTTTGCTAATAAGACAGCCCACTAATTGGTCTGGTAAACCTCTGAACTGCTTCCAACATATTTACATCCTTACTTTAAATAGGGTGACCAATGATGTGAAAAATATTCCAGATGTAGTCTCACCAGTGCTGTGAATATCTGATGCGTAACACTCTCCTTTTGTATTCAGTTCTCTTCACAATAAATTATAACATTCTATTGGCTTTCCTAATTTCTTTCTGTCCCTGCATCCTAATATTTTGTGATTCATGTGTTAGAACACCCAGATCCCTCCACATCTAATTTCTGTATGCACTCACTATTTAAATGACTTTTATTCGTTCTGCCAAAATGAACAATCTCGCTTTTCCACAATAAACTTTGTTTGCCACATCTTTTCAACTCATTTAATGTATGTTCCTCTGCAACGTCCTCATGCCATCTTCAAAGCTTATTTTCATGCCCATCTTTGGTTGCCTAATTTGTTGACGACATACCTTCACTATGCTTCTAAGTCAATTATATAAATTGTGAACTGTTGAGGTTCCCAGCACCAATCCTTGTGGCACTTGTTACAGCTTGCCAACCTGCAAACAACCCATTTATGTCTGCGGTGTTCTTCCAGATAGCCAGCCAATCTTCTATCCTTGCCAGTATGATACCTTCTACATCATGAGCTTTTATTTTTTGTAATAATCAGAAGGGATCTGTTAAAATGCCACATGATAGTACAATACATCTGCTGGTTCCCCTTTATCTGCGGCCAATGTTACCTCCTCAAAGAACTCCACGAGATCAAACAATTAGGAGGTCAAACATGATGTCTCTTTCACAAAACTGTTAACCTCTAATTACCTTAATCTTATCCTAGTGCCCTGCTATAACTTCTTTCATCCTGGCTGCTAACATTTTCCCTGTGATAGACGTTAAGCTGTTTAGCCTGTAGTTTCCTGCTTTTTTGTCTCCCAGTTTGAATAAAGACGATACATTTGCTATTCGATCTAATGGGACCTTCACTGAATCAAAGGAGTTTGGGAAAATTGAAACTAATGTGTCAACTATCTCACTGGCCACTTTTTTAAAGACCCTTGAATACGTCCACCAGTACCTGGGCACTTGTCAGAATGTAGCTGCAATAGTTTACTCAGTGCCATTCTCTGTAATCTTCCTGAGTTCCTCCCCCCCCCCCCCCCACCTTCAGTTTCCTGATTTGTTTATTTTGTGTTATTGTTCTGTGCTTCTCAATTATAAATGGCCTGTTAACCAACTGTGCCATGAGTACTCGAATAATTGGCTGTTTGGGACGCTACAGTTTATGGTTTTGAATTTGCTTATCAGAATACCTCCTTCAACCATGTTGCAGGCATTCTTCCATTGGAATTGTCTTTAGAGAGGGACATCATAAAGTGTATTAATTCAAATTAATCTGTTGAATCTTTAACACCAAGTCCTGTTCACCCAGAGACAGAATTGATGTACTCACTCACTGACATTGGCTCCTGGTCGAACAGAACTTCACTTAAAAGTTCTCATTTTTCTGTTGAAATAACTGTTCTGGTGTGCCCCCTGCCCACTCCCCAAAACCAAAAAAAAATATACTCAATAACCTAGGACAGCCCTGCAAGTCTTTGGGAACAGTTTCTAAACTTCCAACACTCCAGTGTTTAATTGCCTAATCATTCTCAGCCTTGCCTTCAGCTGGAATTCACTCCCTTTAATCCTTTCCTCTTGCTACACTTGCCTCCTCCTCTGTAGACGCTCTTTAAAATTTCTCTCTGACCAAGTACTTGGCCACCTTTTATTTGACACTGTCTCGATTTTTGTCCTATTGTGAAGTATCTTGGGTCAGTTTAGTAGTTTTAGCGAAAGTTGTTCTGAACGTTTTGCTTGTGAACAGACTTTTGACTTTTAATTTTTTTGACTTTTCAGCAAAGCAAAGGCAAAAAGAAGAAAAAGGCCCCAGTGCTTGCAGGTGGATTTAAAGCAAATCTGAAAGATGATCTTGATGACTATGGTTACACGCAGGATTATGATGACTTCATGTGATTATGTTCTGTGACCCAGGCTTCTTCCAGCATGTTTTTTGCAGACAACCACCTGGTTTCTTCATGAGCTGCACAGAGCCTTCTATTGTTATGGAAACAGCTAGGACTCCAGATGCCAATGATAACAACAAATTTTGTTACTGGTACCATAATTATATATTGTTATGTGTCAGTGACAATACTTTAGCACTATGTGGACAAAGCACCTGCATGGATTTGGGAGGGGGTTGGGGAGGTGTGTTGCAGGCTGAGTTCAGGAAGCGAGCAATATATATTTGAAAAAATATGAAGTCTTGCAGTGTCCATGCCTCAGCATCTAGATTCTGACCTGAGCTGATGTAATATCACGTTTATTGTGATACTGTAGAATTGCAAAGTAAGATTACTATTTTTAAAATTTCTTGAATATTGCCTGCTTTTTCCTTTCTTTGGAAACTAAAATGGACTAATTAGAGATCCTGATTTTGTGCTGATGTTGTGCTTTTGGTTGCTGGGTCAGTCTGCCTTAAAAAAACACATTATCAATATTCACATGGCCCCAGAATTGGGACAACAGAGCACCGGGCATGTGACTTTCCTGTGTCATTTGTTCATGTTTGTGATCACACCAGGGGAGGAGCCTGAATGCTCTTTCACTTTATTCTCTTCCTTGCCCCACCTTAAAATCAAACTCCAAATGTAGTTAACCGATTTAAACATAGTTCATTAAAAGTGCCATGGTTTAAACCTAGTGAGGGAAAGGAGAGGCAGTCTAGGAGGTCCCTGCGTCTCACTGTTTTGAATGGTGAACTGCTTCCTTAAGTTTGAGCTTAAGGATTTCATGATCAGTAGCTGTTGTATTGGTTTGATCAAGACTCCCGTGAAGACAGCATTGATATGGCTCAGTTCTGGGTAGATCCTTGAATCTGTACACAAGTAATCTTTTTGCTGAGATCCTGATCAAAGTCCCCACCTACTCTTGGGTGGTTATAACAATAAGGACATGTCATTCAAACGGCACAAACGTTCTCCTCCACATTCAACCAACATCACAAACACACCTATGTGTGTGGAATCTTGCTGTGCAGAGATCGGCAGCTGTGTTTCCTCCTCAGTATGTCAGGAATGCTTTGATTAGTAAGGCACTTTGGCATAATTTGAGGCTGCGAGAAACTCTTCATAATTCAAGTCCTTTTAAGGGTGAATAATCTCTAACTGGTCAAAGTAGGACTCTTGAGACGATCCCACTGTTGGCTTTCTTGCTTACATTCATGCACGTGGATGGTTGGTGCAGGTAGAATTCAGTGGAGTTAGCTGCCCCCCAAACACCCACTGCCTTGGCTGAAGAAGGGTGACTACCTGAGGGACAGCTGTTGCTGCTTATTAACAGAATCGCATATCAAAGAGGGGAAAACGTACTGAACCTGCTTGAAATTTTCATAATGGACGAATACACCCCATTTAATGGTCACATCAGCAATTTAAAGTTAAACTGAATGATTTTTTTTGTTGAAAGTATTGGATGGGAAAGTTAGATGCTCTTTGAAGCGTTTTTGAATCAATGTTGCTAATGGAGGGGGAGAACAACTAATTATTTTCTCCCATCTGAGGGCAGTGACTTGCACTAATGGAACTTAAGTGCAGAATGTTTTTAAAAATCTGCTGGAGTTGAGAAGGGAATTTGTGGCCTTTTTCTTTTCACTTACCACTTTTTTGGTTGGGTTGGTAGGTCAGGAGTTTAGTTCAAAAACGTTTCCTGAACACAGTTAAAGATGTGCTTTTTACTTCAGGACAATCCTTTGTAAATGGTTAAGTGCACATAAATAGGGATCAGTTCAGTAAATGCTGCACTTTACACAGATTCTACATTGATCATGAGGTGTGGTTGCAACCCAATGAAATTCCTTGGACATGTGCATTATTTTTGCCATCCTGTTGCATTGTGTAGTGGCACTCCGCAGTCTTGTGAGCACAAAAGGTAATGGGAATAGTTCTTGTATTAAATATATATATCTCCTCCCCTTTCCCAGTAAATTCCTATTTATTATACAAAACAATTTCTTGTGTCTGCAAAAAAAGGACAATTTATACAATAGATGGGTAACTTATTTTTACATCTCATCTATTAGTTGGGAAAGCTTATTAATGGAAACATAATTGGACACTTGTCATGTTTTAGGATAATAAATGAATATAACGTCATTGTTTTCTGCATTGTCTTTCCTCCAGTACATAAGTGTTTGTGTGCAGACCCACTTGTGTGGTTTTTTCCCCCAAATTAAGCCTGATTTGAAAATTGCCACTATTCACAGGTGGTTCAAACGTAAATAATATGGCCCATGTTTATTATCCATAGTGTTGTGGTTTTGAACAAGCATCATCCTGAATGCTGCAGACCATTTGGTACTACCCACAGGTCAAAGGTTGTATAGAACAATTCATTAATTAATCCTGGCAAGAGAAGATGTTTTCTTAAACCCCCAGGAATCTCATCAGTCTTTGTCATCCGTTCAGTACATAGTTGTCTCAGCAGTGAGTGTTCTGCCGGAGTTTCAGAATCATTCATGGAAGCCAATTTAAAACAACTTTTAGTCTAAATTTACACTTGCGGAAATCTGAAATAGGAGCAGAAATGGGCCATTGTCAGCTCCACCATTTGATCATGGCTGTGTTTCTCAACCCCATTCTCTTACCTGCTCCCTGTAACCCTTGTTCTCCTTACTAATCAAGAACCTATCAACGACTTAGCCTCCACACCATTCCGTGGCAATGCATTCCATAGATTCACCACCCTCATCTCAGTTCTAAAGGGGTCATCCCTTCACTCAGCTGTGCTTTGGGTACTGGTTTCTCCTACTTGTGGAAGCACCTTTATCATGTCCACTGTATCCTGGTTGTTCAGTATTCTGTAAGTGTCCATTAGATTCCACCCCCCCCCCCCCCCAATCCTCTCCTTTGAGAGCAGACCCAGAGTCTTCAACTGCTCCTCTCAATAATAAGCCGTTCATCATCAGGATCATTCTTGTAAACTTCCTCTGGAAACCGTAAGAGAACCCTGAACTAGGACTCCCAAGTCCTTTTGTGCTTCAGATTGACAGAAGTAACAGCCTATGGATGTGATGGAAAATGTTTGTTGTACCCCATCCTACAGCAAGTACATTCTATAGGCATGGTTGACATCCTTCCATCAACAAGAGGCTGGGAATTATTTTTAGCATGCGTTGTTTATTGCTTTTCAGGAACATAAAAAAAAATTAGATTACACAAACTATTTACACTTTTTTTTAAACAATTATATAACATTTGTTTAGATAGCATTTTAAAAAGTTTACCACTACTAGAAACAGTGAGTACCAACACCTAACTGGCAATCATGTCATTCAGATAGCAACTTGTCTGAGGTTCTTTAAGGAGCTTATTTGCTATATCAGTGAAGTTATGTTCATAAGCCAGTTTGTAAACCAGATAAATATTCTCACAGTACTGCAGTAACCTCTTCAAGTTCTGACTTGCTGCAGTATCTCCCTTGTGTTGTTTAAACCTGGAAATGTTTTTGAGAGAGAGAAAAAAATAAGCATGATAACTTTCATTTCTGCAATTCACTCCATCTTTCAACTTATTTCCCCATATCCCTGAAGCACTGTCACATATTACGTGTTTTTAGACTTTGATTAATCAGGCATTCTACGTGACCTTGACATTGAAATTGAAATATTCTGTTTATGGCTTCTAAGACACCGATTCTTAAACTCGTCATTAAAAGGAATCAAAGACACCCTTGATCACTGAAGTCCAAAGACTCAGCAGGTTATAGAGATGCCACAGACCAAGTTAACTAACACATTTATTTCAACATATACTGGAAATGAAGTTTCTTTTGGCAGTGGCCACATGTTTAACTGTGCTATGTCAGTACTGGGTGCAAGATAACACCTGTATTTGTTTCATTGACCACCTCTTCTGAGAGAAAATTAGTAGTTTTTTTCTTATTCCTTGCCAACCCCCAGTTTGAGCTTTTTCTTATTCTCTTATGGAACATGAGCATCACTGGCTAGCTGATCATTTATTGCCTGTTCCTCGTTGCCCTTGAGAAGGTGGTGGTGGTGTGGTGGAGGTATACCCACAATGCTGTTGGGGAGGGACTCCCAGGATTTTGACCCAGTGACAATAAAGGAACAACAATATTTTTTTAAGTCCAGATGGCGAGTGGTTTGGAGGGTAACTTGGAGGTTGGATGTTCCCACATTTATGTATATCCTTCTAGATGGAAGTGGCCATGGTTTGGAAAGTTCTGCCTAAGGATCTTTGGTAAATTTCTTCATTGCGTCGTGTTGATGGTGGATGGAGTGGATGTGATGCCAGTTAAGTGGCTACCTTGTCCTGAATGGCATCAAGCTTCTTTAGTGTTGGAGGCGCACCCATCCAAGCAAGTGGGGAATATTCCATCACACTCTGGACTTGTGCCTTGTAGATAGTGGACAGGCTTTGGGGAGACACCAGGTGGGTTATTTACTGGAGGTTTGAAGCAACTGTATTTATATGGCAAGTCTGGTTAAATTTCTAGTCAATGGTAATTCCAAGGATGTTGATCGTGGGAGAATTCTATGATGGTAATGCCATTTGCTGTCAAGGCAAGATTGTCTCTTATTGGAGATGGTCACTACCTGGTATTTATGGCGTGAATGTTACTTGCCATATCTCAACCCCAGGTTTTGTCTCTCACCCATCCTACCTAATTGTTAGGAGATGAACGCTCAAATGACAGTTCCGTTTTATTCTCAAAGGTTGCATAAAATTACCGGTGAGAGGTTCGCCTATTCAATTTACTTTACTGAATACGGAGATTCAAAAACAACACTAAGCACTTCCAAGGCAATAAAGATGTTTCATACAGTGAAGTCTGAGTAGGAGCTGCAAGGCTGTACTCACTTGTTCGAAATCTCTTCAAACAGACTGTGTTGCAGGTGGTGCTGTTGCTTAAACTCCTCAAGGTAGGAAAACTCGCCACGAACTATAACATGTTCGTATAGCACCTCAGCCCAATCAGGTACAAAGTCATATGCCTCTGCAACTATAGCAGCCTACAACAAAGGAAGAGAAGAGACTGACAATTTCACAGTCACAAGTTGAATGAAAACATTTATCAATAAATCTGCTGTATCTAACTAACTTATTAAAAATGGCTTCAGACTTGCACATTGACAATGATAGGAGCAGTATGAGGCAGAACACTTGAGGTTGTCCAGTGTAATTTTCAAATAAAATTAAATAATTTCACCTGTTGTGAAGAGTGGCTAATCTGTCTTTTCAATTGGAATGAGATTGCTCACCTGGAAAGCAGGAAAAGGAATCTGCTCTGGGGATTCTATCCCAGGCTACACATTTTTGCTTTACTTATAATCAAGATAAACTGCAATAAAACAGAACTACAATCAAATGGTAAAGTCTTAATTTTGCTGGAAGATAATTCATTGCTTGTTACAGGAAGCACAAAAGGTAACATATTTAATAAACTGAAGAGATTATTCTCTTTAGTGAATCACATAAAACAGGAAGCAGTACCTTTAAACCTACAACTATACTTCACTCCTACAGGATATCTCTTGTTACTGGAAAATTAGACCACACCTGGAGTTGTGGATGCAGTTTTGGTCTTCTCAGGAAAGGTATTGTGTCATAGAAGGCAGTTCACCAGACTTGATCCTGAGATGGTGAGACTGTCCTGTGAAGAATGATTGGGCAAACTGGGCCTGCATTCTCAAGAGTATTGCAGAATGATTGATTGCATCAAAACTTGGAAAATAAAAATAATGGACTTACCACTAAGGTCTTAGATGAGGGCAGGACTTACTCATGGTGGCTCAGTGCTTAGCCCTGCTGCCTCTCAGTGCCAGGGACCTGGGTTCACTTCTAGCCTCAGGTGACTGTGGAGTTTGCACATTATCACCGTGTCTGTACGGATTTCTTCCAGATGCTTCAGTTTCCTCCCACAGTCCAAAGATTTGCATATTGGGATGGATTGGCCATATTGCCCATAGTGTCCAGGGATGTGTAGTCTAGGAAATTAGCCATGGGAAATGCAGGATTATAGGGACGGGGTAGGGGTCTAGGCGGGATGCTCTTTGGAAGGTCAGTGCAGACCCAATAGGCTGTATGGCCTCTTTCTACACCAGGGAATCTCCAGCTTGTATCGAAGTCTACTGGACTACTGCAGCAGAACAAGGTACTGCATGGTAAACTGGTTGGTAAGATTAGATCAAGTGGATAAAAATTGGCTTGACAGTAGGAGACAGAGTGTGGTGGTAGAGGGTTGTTTTTCAGACTGGAGGCCTGTGATCAGCGGTGTGCGACAAGGATCGGTGCTGGGTCCTCGGTTCTTTGTCATTTATATAAGTGATTTGGATGAGAACATGGGAGGCATGGTAAGTAAGTTTGTGCATGACAACAAAATTGGTGGTGTAGTGGACAATGAGGAATGTTATCTAAGATTACAACCGGATCTTGATCATCTGGGCCAGTGGGCTGAGGAATGACAGATGGCATTTAATTCAGATAATTGCAAGGTGTTACATTTTGGTAAAACAAACTAGGGCAGGACTTACAGTTGATGTTAGAGCTCTGGAGACTGTTGTCAAACAGAGTCCTAGGGCTACAGGAATTAGTTCCTTGAAGTGATGTCACTGGTAGATAATGTGGGCATTTGGCAAGCTTGCCTTCATCGGTCAGTGCATTTAGAGTGCAGAGCTGAGATGTCATGTTGTGGCTGTACAAGACATTAAGGCCACATCTGGAAAACTGCATACAATATTGGAAAGAACACAAAGGATGTCACCAAGACTGGAGGGTGACTTTATATAGATGTCTATAAAATTATGAGGGGCATAGATAAGGTGAATAGCCAAGGCTTTTTTTCTCTCAGGTTAGGGGAGTCCAAAACCAGAGGATTTTTTAGGTTAGAGGGAAAAGATTTAAAAAAGGACCTGAGGGGAAACTTTGTGTGTATGAAATGAGCTGCCAGAGGAAGTGGTTGAGGTGGGTACAATTACGACATTTGGACATGTACATGAATAGGAAAGGTTCAGAGGGATATGAGCCAAACACAGGCAAATGGGACTAGTTCAGTTTAGGAAGCCTGGTTGCCTGGGTGGAAGGGTCTATGAGTTGTTATATAAGAGTCATACAGCCTGTGTTGTACGACTCTATAATAAGAACAGAAATATATGCACGAGAGCGAGGTGGGGAGTTAAAACTGCAACCAAAATCTGGGTTCATGCTTGTGCACACGGTGAGAACCAAGGTGGTGAAACATTTTGCACAAAAAGGGTACAAAGTAAAAGGGAGGAGAGTGTCAGGGTGACTGAGAAGTGGACCAGCATATTGTGGAGGTATGGTCCTTTCAAATGATTACTGGATTGTCTGTTTGGTGGTGGCATTAAGCTTAAGGCAGAAATGACAAGAGGATGATTCTGAATGGAGGATAATGAGGTGGGAAGTGAGACAAAAACAAAAATTGCTGGGAAAACTCAGCAGGCCTGGCAGTCCTGTTCAGAACTCAGTTCTGAATAAGAGTTAACTCTGCTTTCTCTGCACAGACGCTTCCAGATCTACTAAGTTTTTCCAGCAATTTATGTTTGTGGTTCTGATTTCCAACATCTGCAGTTCTTTGGGTTTCTTTTGCTGAGGGCAATGGGAGGCCTCATGTGGATGCATGAGGTAATGGAAGCACAGAACAGAACTGCTGCAAGAAATAGACCAGACAGGATTTAGGGTCTGCCAATGATGCTGGTGGGGAATCCTCAACTGAGGAGGGACAATAACATCTTATAAGCATAGCGGCCTCTTGTTCAGACTCTATTCCATTCCATTAGTTCCTGCACCTCTGTCACACTGTCCCATTGATGCAAGCATGTTTTTTTATTTTGGTTCTTTGTTGCCTTTTGTCATTGTCTGCTACCAAACCCACTGTGGCATTAGCGGAGTGTCTGTTAGTTCTGTGGCAGAATGTCAGGAAGTTGGGAGGTGGGAGGGAAGGGGAGAGGTTAGCATCTCTGCTAGAACCACTGAACGGAATCAGCTGAAAATTCTGCCTCATCTGGCCTAATGTTTGCTATTTATTTTTGCTTATGGAAAAATTTTGCAAGTTTCTTTTGGGGGGGAAAAGAGGGAAGTGCTTGCAAAATAAGGTCCAAGTGATATTTTCTCACAATGCATCCAATGTGCCATGAACCCAGGGACCCAGTAGGGACTTGCATGTTCCTTTGTATCTGTACACCATTTTGACTTCCCACTTCCAACAAAGCTTGTGGTTTTGAGAAAGACACAAATCTAGCATAGTTTGAGGTTTTGAATTTACTAGAGAAATGAGATTACAATTCATTAGTCGACAGTGAGCTTGAAGTGTTTCAATAGCTGATATGTTAGCCTATTGCTTTACTCAGGTTCTAGAACCAACAAGCTCACAGTATGAATTATCTGAAGATCTGAAATTCAAAACATCAGGCGAGTCAAATATCCAATCTGGGCCCTAATTTTAAACGAAATCTAATGCTAGCATGAAGGGAAGGGTATGATAAAAAAAATCATCAAAACTCTCCCATGGATAAGCTCAGAGAACAGCTTTACCAGATTTGCAAATGAAGCGAGACACCTTGATTTAGATTATTTTTAAATGTCCAATGGAATAATTCTTTCAAAGTACCTGATAGAACCTCGGCAAGGAGAGGATACATGGCATCAGATCATTTCTCTGGAGATTGATTAATTGCACGTCCTGACTGTTGTTTAGGAGATGGAGCTGCAGAGTGACCAGTTTGGCCAGTTTCACACACTGAGAGGCACGTCGGATACACGAGTCCTGGGAAGAGGAAGAAGGCGTCTGAGAGCTGTTTAAAATTCTCAAATTCAGTACTTTAAATCCGTAAACTAGGTATTACTCAGCTTCAGAAATCCTGCCTTAGACACCATCATCCTCAATAATTTAATCTTGTCCTGCCAAGCTACAGGCCATTGTATTTTTTAAACAGAATTGGTAGCAGCCAATTATGGTTTGTTTTGAATACTTTAGTGCAAATGATCACTTCAGTAGCTGGACCCACAGTTCCAATGATCTACAAGCTGGCTTCATGCATGGAGTAAGCTGGAGCAGGGTGATTGGGAGAACACTAAGCCAATCCCACTGGTGTTTACTTGACAGTGCCATATACCACACTCCAGATTGCTGATAGACTCAACAAGATCCTCAAATTTCTTTTTAAAGTTACTAACTTGTCTGTTTCCATCAATCTTGCCTGTAGCACATTCAAATCATCACTACAAGAACGCAAAAAGGAACTTACCTAAACATAAAACAGACAGAAAAAAAAAGGCAGACATCTAAACAGCAATTTAAAAAGGAGGACGTTGGGTTTAATGAAGGAAAACCCACTGTAAAGCCTAAAGGACAATATACAAAGGTTGTGTCAGGGACCAAAGGATCACATAAGGCACTGGTTTCATGACACTTGTCATTTTCAGGAAAAGCAGACCTGAAGCTTGCAGTGGTTGATTCGATGAAACAGGTCACCCCTTTTAAGGCTGATGCAATAGTAAACAAAATAAATTATAAATCTGGATAATCACAGCCAATGATCTATGAATTGCTGCTTTAATCCATATGAACCTGGAGTACAATACTGTTGGTTTGTCTCCTAATGAGCCATCTGCTTTTGAAATGTACAAGATGTGGTTTTATTCATAGACAAGCTGTTTCCAGCCAGCAAGGGGACATGAGGTTTCAATGGAGAGCATTTAAAACTTTAGCAGGGGAATTTCCACAGAGATATCCTAATCTCCCACCATAACTCTAGAGAAAGAGAGCACGTATGACCATCTGTAGTTAGAAATTCCATGTAATGAACAATATTGCTGAGCATCACAGCTTAACATAAACAAAAATATCCAATCTGATGGCTGGCATCAAAGGTATTTTAGAACAATGTTTTCAAGAGATGGGAACAAAGACAATATCATGAAAATGGAAGCAGCTGAAACAGTTTCATTTCTATCAACTACCCAAATAATCTGCAATTCCACCATGCAGACAGAAAACAAGACTGTTAAACCAACTAGCATTTTTATGCACCTCCATTGCAGGTTATCTATTAAACAAGATCTCTGATGGAACAATGTCACTCACTGTGGAGTTTGGAACTTCGATCAAAGTGCCCATTGGAAAATTAGTGTGAGGGTTTAAGCATTTAATGCCTAATTTCTGCACTCTGAACAAAACCAAAGTATTTGCGATGAGCAACCTCCAAGCCCAGGTTGACATTTGAGTTTGTGTATTTTCACTGAAATGTTAAATCAATGTTCTATCTAGCTTCTCTGCAGACAGCAAAACATTCCAGTGTTAACTGAAAGAGGAGCAGAGGAGTCCCTCCCCATTTTTTGGCCAGTATTTTATCCTTTGACCAACACCTACAACACAACAGTGCTCCAGTACTTAAGATGGCTTTGTGCAGCACTCTGAAATGCCCTGAGATCACAAACAGTGCTCCAAGTCTTGTAACTCACTCAGAGATGCTGGAGTCAGAGAGAACACAGTGTGGAGCTGGAGGAACACAGCAGGCCAGACAGTATCAGAGGAGCAGGAAAGTTGACATTTCAGGTCGGGACCCGAAACGGGTTCTGACCCGAAAGGTCAACTTTCCTGCTCCTCTGATGCTGCCTAGCCCGCTGTGCTCCTCCGCCTCCACACTTATCTCCAGGGTCTCGTTACTTCTTTCCAGTATTTCTAGCTTGTAGCTTCTACTGACTTTAACAAAGTGAAGAACCAGAGGCTTGTCTTTAATTCAGGAAGCTGAAAGATACCGATCAGAAGGATAATTTAACAAATCTGTTTCTTAGTGATAAGTGATTCAAGAAGTATACAGGATTCAAGACTGAAGTGCATTTTAAACAATCGCTCCAAATGCCAGTCTTAATGTCACTTGCCTCTTCAGAGAGTTCAAACAGAAACAAGTCTGAAGATTATCAAATATTACAATTACACGTATTGCTTGCTTTCAAAATATCTAAATTAAATCTCATTGTATAATTTCCTATGATAGTTACAGGCTTACACCAAGTTAGGTGACAATTTCTGGAGAAACAGGATGAGGCAGTTAGAGAGAGGTTAAATTGGCAAGTTTGAATCTACCAAGTACAGTAAGAATTAATGTTTTTCTTTCTGATGCATGGATCTGTATATCAAGATTGTTATGGTCATAGGTGAAGGTAATTCTGTACAAGTCTGATCCCAAGGTAAAATCTGGCTTAAATCAACCCCAAGTCCCATTTTTGTACTTTGTTTACCACTGCAGTCAGTCACTGAATATATTCACAAGAGGCTGCCAAAGTTTATCACACACCAAAGGAGAAAACAGAAACAGGTGATGTCACACTTAGAGTCATAGATATGTACAGCACGGAAACAAACCCTTCTATCCAACTCGTCCATGCCGATCAGATAGCCTAAATTAATCTGGTCACATTTTGCCCTCTAAACCCTTCCTATTCATGTACCCATCCAGGTGCCTTTTACATGTTGTAATTGTACCAGCCTCCACCACCTCCTCTGGCAGCTCATTCCATACATGCACCACCCTCTGCGTGAAAAAGTTGCCTCTTAGGTCCCTTTTAAATCTTTCCCTTCTCATCTTATACCTATGCCCTCTAGTTTTGGACTCTGCTACCCTAGGGAAAGACCTTGACTATTCACCCTATCTATGCCCCTCATGATTTTACAAACTTCTATAAGATCACCCCTCAGCCTCCCACGGTCTGAGGAAAATAGCCCCAGCTTATTCGGCCTCTCCCTATAGCTCAAATCCTCCAACCCCAGCAATATCCTTGTAAATCTTTTCTGAAATCTTTCAAGTTGTACAACATCCTTCCTACAGCAGGGAGACCAGAATTGAATGCAGATTTCCAAAAGTGGTCTAACCAATCTCCTGTACAGCTGCAACATGGCCTCCCAACTCCTATACTCAATGCATTGACCAATAAAGGCAAGCTTACCAAAGGCCTTCTTCACTATCCTATCAACCTGCAACTCCACTTTCAAGGAACAATGTACCTGTACTCCAAGGTCTCTTTGTTCAGCAACACTCCCCAGGACCTTCCCATTAATTGTTAAGTCCTGCCCTGACTTGCCTTTCCAAAACGCAACACCTCACATTTATCTAACTTAAACTCCATCTGCCACTCCTCAGCCTATTGGCCCATCTGATCAAGATTCCGTTGTACTCGGAGGTAACCTTCTTCGCTGTCCACTTCACCTCCAATTTTGTTGTCATCTACAAACTTACTAACCATACCTCCGTCCAAATCATTTATATAAATGACAAAAAGCAGTGAACTCAGCACCAATCCTTGTGGCACACTGCTGGTCACAAGCCTCCAGTCTGAAAAACAACCTTCCAACACCATCCTGTCTCCTACCTTTGAGCCAGGTCTATATCCAAGTGGCTAGCTCTCCCTATATTCCATGTGATCTAACCTTGCTAATTAGTCTACCATGAGGAACCTTGTTGAACTCCCCCTCCCATTCCTCAGACGACATGTCCATCCTGGGCCTCCTGCAGCCACAACGATGCCACCTGAAGGTTGCAGGAACAGCACCTCAGATTCTGCTTGGGAACCTTGCAGCCCAATGGTATCAATGTGGACTTCACAAGCTTCAAAATCTCCCCTCCCCCAACCGCATCCCAAAACCAGCCCAGCTTGTCCCCGCCTCCCTAACCTGTCCTTCCTCCCATCTATCCCCTCCTCCCACCTCAAGCCCCACCCCCATCTCCTACCTACTAACCTCATCCCGCTCCCTTGACCTGTCCATCCTCCCTGGACTGACCTATCTCCTCCCTAACTCCCCACCTACACTCACCTTTACTGGCTCCATCCCCACCTCTTTGACCTGTCTGTTTCCTCTCCGCCTATCTTCTCCCCGCCTCCCCCTCTCTCCCTATTTATTTCAGAACCACCTTTCTTCAGAAATGGGGGAAGAGAAGGGTCTAGGCCCAAAATGTCAGCTTTCCTGCTCTTCTGATGCTGCTTGGCCTGCTGTATTCATTTCATGGGGTCTTTTTCTTAAAATCTAATTTACATGCATGTAAATAAATTTTCAGACAACCAAAACCACTTTCGGAACTCAAAAATAAAGTTAAAACTATTTATGCCCTTCCTGATATGCATATAATACAGAAATACAAATCAAACTGAAAGCTATATTTTGTTCTATCAAAATCAGAACCCAAATTCCCAAATGTCATGAACTCTCAACACTATATAAAAGTAACACACACTAATATGGAATTTCCTGATCTCAGATGTTCCAAAGTACCTTTCAGCTAATTAAGTCCTTCTGAAGGGCAATGTACTAAATGCTTTCATGTCTGTATATCTGTCTATTGTGAGCTTGTGAACTGTGGGGGACGTCACAACTAGAGTGGGGTGAAGAGAGCAATTGCTATGATAAAACGCACTTTACACTCTAACAATTGTCCAACTTCAACCCAAAGCTTCCTTGTGATGTAAATTTTGGATTATTTGTTTAAAATATGATCCACACAGATGTGGGAATGCTGCAAATGGCGTGTTACATGACTCCAGTTCCGCTAACCCTGCCTGAGAGCAGGTGGGACTTTTGACAAGGTGGGCTCCCAATGCAGCTGGGAAGCCAGTCTATGGACAAAGTGTCCAAGAAGATGAGAACACTTCCTGCCACATCTCCACACCACCTCCACTGGCTTTCTCTGGTGGTGTGCCCTATGATGGAGGGGCCTTCAACTACTCATGAAATGCCTGACAATGGGAGAGAGATTGCCACCATTATACTGGGATATTACTTGGTGGTGGGAGAGTGCTGGGTGTACTGCCCCTTGCTATCCAAGTATCATTCCATCCTCCTGCCTTCCAGCTTATCCCTAAACGGATGGGCATAACTCAGCAATGACCGCTCCCCCCTCCACCCCAACAGACCCCAGCACCATTTTCATCACACTGCCATTAGTACCCCATAGCTACCTGGTGCCCAAGCTCTACAATCCTTCTCCAAATATCTCCATCTCATTATCCTCTGTATAAACTGTCCTTTAAAAGTGTCTCAAGCTTTTGGTCACTTGTCCTAAAGTTGCCTTCCGTGGCTCGTATCACATCTTGTTTGATGATACTCCTGTGAAGTGTCTTGTCATGAAATACAAATTGTAGTTGTTACAAAATCTGAAATTTTTGCATGTGTAACAACATCCTGATTCTGAGAAAAACAAAATGACCAAAGTGAGGATTTCAACAATGTTGAAGTATTTCAGGATGGTGGGAATTGGAGCCCTTGCTGGAAGATGAAGGTCACTTTGTACACACATTTTATTCAAAGAAAATGATTCCCAGGTATCAAGAGGAACCTTACAGTGATACAGGAAATGTTTGCCCAAATAAATCCAATCTTGAACAGTGGTGTTATAGACACTTCCAGTACCAAACAGCTAGCAATATCTAATGACTGCTACTAGGATCCAATGGCATACAAGGTACGCAATCTCTTGTCTCCCTAAATCGGCAAGTTGGACTGAAAGGTCTGTTTCCGTGCTGTACATCTCTAAGACCCAATTTGAAAATCCGCCTGTAGCATGTTTCGCTACACAATGCAATGTCGCTATAACATTCCATTCTAAATATCTATTGCTTGGATGAACCTAATGGAAACCCCAGCATTATCTGAAGAGGAGGATGCTTTCCCTTTGTCCTACTCAGCATTGAACACTCAATAAATACCACAAATTGATTATTCTGCTTGTTGGTGCTTGTTACACTGTCATTGCATTTTCCTACAGAGTTTCTGCACTTCAAAAGCCATTCATAATGTAATCCAGGGCACTGTGTGAAAGTATTCATCTATTTGCAACAGTAGACAGTAAATTAAATACACTTCACAGTTTGAGCTCTAAATATCCAGACCTTCGAATAGCTCTCAGCAGCATCTTTCAAAAAATTCAAGACTTTCACCAGAGATTTCTTCAATTCAGGAGTCACTTCTGAAACACAGAAAGGAAAGTGTAACAGAATGCAAGGAGCAAGCCTCAGGAGAATCTCAAAATCATGCAAAATTGAGATTGAGATTTTTTCTACATTATACATAAGTGGAGGGGTTCTGAAACTTCATCAGTTTATTTTCAACAGTCCAGTTGACAATAGAACTACAATTATCTAATTAAATATAATTACTATAGAAAATAAATGTCAAAAAATACTTCAGTTGCTCTACTGATAAAACTGTAAAGCAGAACTGAAAGCAAGGTCTTTTCCTGCAACATTTTAATCCTTCTCCATTCCATCAAAGCATTTCCAATTTAAAAGCCAAAAGGAAATTCCTAAGGTTTGGAATTAAATTGTACCTTCACAGAGAAAGAGCACAAAAGCCTCAGCAGTTAGTGATTGAGTTTCTGGGGCTAGGACAATGCAAATCTGCCAGCACAGATGATGGTGGAAATCTCAAAACACTTGGGCTCAGTGTTTTCCAGGAACATAACGGGAGGTAAAAAAGTGATTCTCTGGATTAAGCCTCACCTATAAAACTGTCCCCTTGTTGAGTTTTGTTTTAGCACATGGACTGCAGTAGCTTAAGGTGACAGCTCACCACCCCCCCCATCTCAAGATCAGCTAAGGACGGGCAATAAATGCTGGCCCAGCCAGTGATGCCCATATCCCACGAGTGAATAAATTAGAAGATCATCCCAGGTCTTCAGGGAGAATTCCACTGTTTGTGCTGGTTAAGGAAGCTCAATTTGCATTCCATTTGCCCAGGCACACATCCAATCAGAATGGTTCAGTAACCCCTTTTAAATATGTGAAGGAATGTTTGTTACAGTACACAAACAGAAAATAAAGCAAGTGACTGCTCTGCAATGCCGCCTAACTGCACTGGTAAGGACCACAGCCTGCACTCACATATGTCCCAAAATGGGACACTTTTCCCAGCTGGAAATCTTTCAAATGGGAACACAATCCCACTTGTACTCCACCCTCCGACATGGAACACTCTACACTAGTGCCCTTCCAAATCTGGGACACTTCCCGCTGTGGGGAATCATTTAAATACAGTCATCCTGTTACAGGAAGGATATTATTACAGTGGAGAGGGTTCAGAAGAGAGTCATCAGGATATTGCCGAGTATGAAAGGTTTAAGTTAGAAGGAGAAACTAGATAGGCTGGGACTTCTCTCGCTGCAGCATAGGAGGTTGAGAGGTGACCTTAAAGAGGTTTATAAAAACATGAGAGGTATAGATAGGGTTAATGCCAGCTGTCTTTTCCCTAGGGTGGGGAATTTCAAGACTGGGGAGGAGGAGACGTGAGAGGAGAGAGATTTAAAAAAAAGGATGAGGGACTTTTTTTTTGTACACAGAAGGTGGTTTGCCTGTGGAATGAACTTCCTGGGGAAGTGGTGGATCAGAGCACAGTTACAACGTTTAAAGGACACTTAGCTAAGTTCATGAATAGGATAGATTTGGAGGGAAATGGGCCAGGAGCAGGCAGGTGGAACTGGTTTAGCTTGGAATTATGTTCAGCATGGACTGGTTGGACCGAAGGGTCTGTTTCCTTGCTTATGATTCTAAGGTTTGAAGCTTTTACATCTGTAGTGGCTCAGGTGTGTTTTAGTAAGAAGTGCTTTGCCATCTAATCAACACAATTTTGAGCTCATTCATGCAGGTAATTTCCTATTTGTATCCAAAGTGCAAACATTAATGTTTGATGCATCATTATAAAACTTTAGAAACAGGAAACAAAGCAGTTTCCCCACTGGATACTCACCCCAGGATTGCGACTCTATGATTTTAAGTTGTACACGGGCTGCACCCTCGTGATTTTCCCCAATCTCACGACACATGCTGAAGCAAAAAGCCACCATGTTGTGTTTTTCACTATCCCCGGGGAGACAGCGCTTGATGTAATCTAGCAAAGCTGTCTTCAGGTCTCCATTCTGCATTTCATCAAAACAGTGTCTCAAAAATCAGCAACATAGCAAGATGAAAACACAAAGGTAGACTGTTGGTAAGCATACAATGGTGAGCCAAAGTGGCAGGACCAAAGCTAAGAGTGGACAATCCCTACAAATCAAAATCTGTTTGATATTTGTTCAGTCATTATGCCACTAATCTCATAATTCAGGCGGTGGAGTTGAAATTCCACCATCCTCACATGGACTGTAGTTGTTTACCACTTCTTAAGGGCAGTTAGGAATGGGCAAAAGACAACACTTAACCCAAGGATTAATTGTTTTAAAAAGCTCCAGTCCTAGACTAGATGGTGATTCATTTAGGGGAGGCACAGTGATTAGCACTGCTGCCTCACAGTGCCAGGGACCCGGGTTTGATTCCAGCCTTGGGCGACTGTGTGTGGGGTTTGCACAGTCTCCCCATGTCTGCATGGGTTTCCTCCGGGTGCTCCAGTTTCCTCCCACAGTCCAAAGATGTGCAGGTTGGGTGGACTGGCCATGCTAAATTGCCTGTAGTGTTCAGGGATGTGTAGATTAGGTGGGTTATAGGGGGATGGGACTGGGTGGGATGCTCTGAGGGTCAGTGTGAACTTGTTGGGCTGAAGGGTCTGTAGGAATTCTATGATTCTATGATTTCACCAGGATAATCAGGGATGGGCAATGAACACAGCTGTGCCAATGTTGCAAACACCCACAAAACAAAATTACGACAAAGTCTGATTTATTCCCAAATATTAATCTCATTATCTTTCTATTTCAATTGAACAGGCTATCAGAATTCTGGCCCAACAGGTCATCTGGAAGATAACAACTCCAAGGTCCCGCAATCCTGAACGACATTAATCAACCTTGTAAATGTGCTCTTATGTAGGTGAAATGTTTAAACCCGTGTGCCTTGAAGCAAATAAAGCAAAATGGCAATAAACACAAATTATAAAAAGGAAAAGGAAAATTCTTGATGAATTATTGTGGCAGAGCAGGAGGGGAATCATAGATGAAGCAACTTTAACTACTTTCCCAGTCTACTTCCCAGATAGCCCTCACTTACTGATTCAACATTTTTCCTCAGTAGCATTTCAAACCTATGATTTTCATGTAGTAGGTCAAATATGTACGTCATGTCATTGTATCGGCCAATGCCAGTCACCAACCGGACCTGGGGGAGAGACAAGGATATTCACAGTGCTGTTCGTTCTCTTAATAATGCATTTTTAAACCTTTCTCTCAATTAAAGCACAACTCAGTTATGGCCTGAAAACTCTACATGATCACTTACATGCTCATCAGAAAACAAAATCCTCTCATCAGGGGAATATTTCATTATCTACAGGAATTCACATAGTATCAAACCATTTGGAAACATTACAGTGGATTGGAGTCTTAGGTTTGTTATATAGTCAAATTTAGTAGCTAAAAGGACTGATTAATTTAACTGGTTGATGTTTTTGGTATCACTGAGGGAGGATTGTTAGACTAGGCACTGTTCCTTGGATAGACTAACATAATCTTTAATCTATGAAATTCACTCCACCAGATTGTAGTGGAGGTCAAGACATTGAGTAAATTTAAGGAGGACAAATAACAGATTTTTACTTAGTAATGGGTTAAAGGGTTATGCTGAGTGGGCAGGAATGAGATCAGACATGATTGTATCAAATGGTGGAGCAGGTGTGAGGGGCTGAATGGCCTACTCCTGCTCTGAGTCCTTATGTTCTTAACATTGACTTGAACAAACCAATGGAACTGTGACAAAAGTTTAGTCTTGCATCAAATAAGGAATAAGTAGTTGTGTCAGAAACTCTCATTACATTTAAGCAGTTCTTAGAAATTCACTTGCGTTGCCATAGCCTCCAGGTTTATAGGAGCTGGAAACTAGGATTTGTCAGATCTTTGTTGACCAACATGAACACAATGGGCCAAATGCACCCCCCTTCTGTGCTGCAGAAGTCTACAAGTTTACTAAAAACTTAAGTAGACAGGGGAATTGGCAAGGTGCAACATTAAGTAAACAGTCCTGAAGAAGCGTTCAGACCCGAAACGTTGACTTCCCTGCTTCTCGGACGCTGTCCGACTTGCTGTGTTTTTCCAGCTCCATATTTTTTGACTCTAGCTTCCAGCATCTGCAGTCCTTTCTGTCTCCAAGTTATTAAGTAAACACTGTCTGTCAGTGAAATGGATGATAAACAGAACCGTTTAGACCATAAGAAATAAGTGCAGAATTAGGCTATTTGGCCCATCAAGTCTGTTCCAACATTTGATCATGGTTGGTATGATTCTCAACTCCATTCTCCTGCCTTCTCTGCATAACCCTTGATCCCCTTACTAATCAAGGACCTTTCCAGGTCTTAAATATACTCAATGCCTTGGCCTTCACAGCCTTCTGCAGCAATAAGTTCCAAAGATTTACCCCCAATGGCTGAAGAAATTCCATATCTCAGTTGTAAAGGTTTGGGCCTATCACTGTGACACAGTGCCCTCAGGTTCTACACTCTCCTACTGGTAGAAAAATCTTCTCCACATTCACTCTATCCAGGCCCCTCAGTATTCTGTAAAATTTAAATCGGATTCCTGACACCATGAGCTCTTATTTAGCAGTCTCCTGTACAGTACCTTAACAAAGACCTTCTGGAAATCCAAATAGATCACATCCACTGGCCCTCCTTTGTCTAACTTGCCCGTACCTCTTCAAAGAATTCCAACAGATTTGTCAAGCGTGACCTCGTCAGGTATTTACATTTTCAATGAGTCGATCAACCTCATTAAATGTCATGGCTGACACTGAGAAATTAATTAGATCATGAGATTACCTGGTGACTGAACAGTCAATTCTTGAAATGTTGGTATACGCAACTCCACAGATTTGATAATGAGACTAATTCTTTATCTAGAATGGTTAACGTATTGGGAAATGCTTGGCATTAACATGCTTAACAGTTCGAAATTAACATCTGTGATATAAAGGCCTCTCCTGACAAACACACTGACCTCATACCTGACCTTTAATTTAGATCATTTGCATTGCTAGGCTCAGTGTGACAGGCAGCATTTCCTCTTCATTCGCATACAAGGTTATCAAATACATATTTATAAGGGGAATTCCAATCTCTTGTGGATTGATTCTGTATTTGGTGCTTTCTAAACATTACCACTTCCAAGTTATCTTGCTTGGAAACAAATCGAACTGTGAACTGTTTACAGCCTTTCAAAAGAGCCCAGAAACATGGCCTAACATAATGTGGGATATCCAACATAGTCTTGCGTATTTAAGAGATAAATATTGGTGCTGCTGCACACAAAGTCCAGGTTATAGGAGACTAATTGTGAGTACAGACCTTCTGTATGAATGTACATGAAATTTCTCAAGTGAAACTCATCAGAATTTGAGATTCAGTTTTAACATCAGCATCTCCCTCAGTGCTGCATTAGGTAGTCAGTCTACAGTCTGTGCTGAAATTCTGGGGTAGGGCTCCACTCACGAACTTCATGGGGCAGAGTTACCAACTGAGCCTAGCGACATCTGTTTCGGTGAAAATATACATGAACAGAGGTTTAGGAAGGAAGTAAAAGAAAGCTGATCCAGTTCAGGATATTACTTTTCAAGGAAATGCAACAGTACTTTCTGTTGTCTCAGCAATGGGACTGTGGTGATGTTAGAATTTGGATTAAATAAAGGTGCATGGCACAAGAACAGAGACAGCATTGTATCTAGGGAGATATGCAAGCATCAACCTGATGCATATGAAATCCAAAAGAAGAACTAATATATCCTCAAACACAAAGCAACAGTTATGTTACTGATATGGCAGAATATAAAGTTTTTACTTTTCAAAGTTCTAAAAGAAACTCGGTGCATGGAGACCAAGACCATTCAGGGATAAGGGATGTGTATGTACTACAAGCATCCAAGAGTACATTAGTTTCTTTGATGAACACAGAGAATTACACAATCTTGGATTGTTCAACAGTTAGTAAATTTCCATATTCCAGTAGTCAGTACCTTCTTCAGCAGCAGGACACAATCCTGAAGTATTCATGATCAGTTATACTTAAAGATAAAAAAAAATTCCGAGAGACAGGGAAAGAGCAGAGGAATGAGACCAATTGGATAATTTTTTTCACAAACCCAACACTGGTACAGTATAAATGGGTCAAACAATCTCACGTCATTCTCCATTAACTTGGCAACTGTATGGATCCGAAGCGGACTCATTGTGGCGACGGGAAGTTTGCCTTGGTGCTGTACCGGCACCGTCTGTGGCATCTGCATTGGCAAGGTCCAGTGAGGACTCGTAGTGGCAAAGGTGTTGGTGGAGCCAAAATAGCGCCAAAGAGTGGCAACTTTGGTTCCAGCATTGGCAGCACGGTGAAGGGGACCCCTGGCTGGTCACCAGGCCATGGCAGACCACTTAACAAGAAGGACTGTAAAGCTGAACACATTTTCTTCATTTTTCTACCTTTATATTCTACATTCTGGTTTATTTTGTGTGTTTTAAGATGGCAGCAGAATGTAGCAACACTATACACCCCCTTTCACTGTATTTTGTTTCAAAATACACATGATAATAAATAAATCAAATCAAAATTAATTCATGTCTTTACTCAAGTGTGACAAATCTTTCTTATAGAAAGAATAAAGAGAGACTTGAACTAAACCAATTTTAAGATTTTCCTCTTGTTTATACAGTAGTGTTTACTGGGTCCATACCATAAGGCTGTACTCTTCTTTGGGTGCGAGGTGTTTATGACTGAGATGGCGTGCAGCTTGCAACACTCGACTGATCCCCTCCATGTGACAGGTCAGGCTAAAACAGTCATGTGCCAGAATCAGGAGCTCAACAGCTTTGGGATCCATGAAAAGGGAAGGGAGACAAAGAGAAAGATCATTATTAGAAAGAATGAGTGAGTTTACCTTTGTACAGCCCTATCATGACCCATTATTTCCTAAAACACTTTAGGGTCAATGTAATTTGAAAGTGTAGCTACTGATGTACAAATCACAGAAGTTAATTGTTATTCAAGCAGCTCCCAAAAATAGCAAAAAATAAACAGCAAAACTATCTTCATTGCTTGAAGGGTTGTGATCCTGACAACACCAATTTAATGTGACTGCAGAAGAACTAAAGGTGGCAACGGGGAACACATTGTTACATCACGTGGTTAGGGTCTGGAATGGGCTGCTCGAGACAATGGTGGATTTAATTGTGACAATTAAAAAGAGAGATGAATAATTATCTGAAGATAAAACAAGTGTTCCAGGATGGATGCAGAATAACAAATTTGCAAAGAAATAACAGCAAGATGTACAACCTATGGAGTAGTTACAATGGGGGACTTGAATCACCCAAATATAGACAGCGTAAAGGTCAGAGATGGGGAATGAGTCCTTGAAGTGTATTCCGGAACAGTTTGGACAGCAGTATCTTTCCATCAGGAAAGGGGAACTGGTTCTTGGGAATAAGGGTGAGTCAAGGAGATGCAGTGTCAATGGTGGAACACTTAGGGGTTAATGCTCAGTAAATCATAATGTTTAGGCCAACTCTGAAAGAGGACAAATTATTATTAAATGCTGGGGGCGGGGAGGTGGGGAAGAGACAATATCCATGGGATAAGAATGTATTTGGGCCAAATAATTTGGAGTTAAAAGTTGGTAAAAAAGAAGAGATCGTCAAGGTTTGTACACTGAAAGGGAAGGATAGACAAACAAATCCCAAGCTCCTGGATAACAGGAGATAAAAATCATGATAAAGAGAAGAAAAAGCATGCTTCTGACAGAAGTTAGGTCCACAACACAATTGAGACTGAGACCAAATACAGAATGTTCAGAGGGTGGTGAAAAAGTAAATAAGAAAAGAAAGAGTCGGAAAAGAGACAGCTAACTTAAAAGGGAATTTCAAGGTCTTCTATAGACTTTTAAATAGAAAATGGTGGCAAAAAGGAAAGGGAGGGCTGATTAGGGACCAGAATGGGGATCTACACGTGGAGGTAAATGGCATGGACGAGATACTAAACATGCTACTTAGGCCATGGAGAAAAAAAGTAGGTAGTTCAGAGACTGGAAGGATTTAAAATAAAAGGAGGTATTAGATATGCTATCTGCTCTTAAAATTGAAAGGACCAGATATACCTCAGGGATCCTGAGGGAAGAGAGAATGGAAATTGTAAAGGAACTGGTCATCGTGTTTCAGCCTTCTTCGATTCTTAGATGGTGCAAGAGGACTGGAGAATTACAAACACTGGATATCCTTGCTTTAAAAGAAAAGGTTGCAAAACCAAGCCCAGCAATCGTACATCTATCAGTTCAACCTTGGTATAGGCCAAGTTCCAGAAACAATCGTTCATGACAAAATTAACCGACATTTGTTCAAGTAACTCTTAAATAAATAAGTTAATGACGGCAACGTAACAGATGCAGTTTACATGGACTTCCAAAAGGCATCTGATTCAGTGTCACACAGCAGACTTTTGGCCAAAAGTATAGTTCATGGAATTAAAGGAACTGTAAAAACACGTGAGAAGAGTTAGGTCACCACAGTCCCCAAGAACCGAAGGGCTGCTCTCTCATTAGAAAGAGACGACTGGTGGACAGTTTAACTGGAGGGTTACCATACCTTACCTTCACAGGAACCTCAGCCAGTGTGGGAACTGAACCCATGCTGTTGGTGCCATTCTGCATCACAAATCAGCCATCCAGCCAACTGAGCTATCTGACCCCCAGCAACACAGATACAGAATTATAGAGTCATAGAGATGTACAGCATGGAAACAGACCCTTCAGTCCAACTCATCCATGCTAACTAGATATCCCAAAATAATCTAGTCCCATTTGCCAGCATTTGGCCCATATCCCACTAAACCCTTCCTATTCATATAACCATCCAGATGCCTTTTAAATGTTGTAATTGTACCACCCTCCACTTCTTCAGGCAGCTCATTACATACATGTGAAAAAGTTGCCCCTTAGGTCCCTTTTAAATCTTTCCCATCTCATCCTGAACTTATGCCCTCTAGTTTGGGTGTCCCTTGCCCTGAGGAAAAGACCTTAACTATTCACCCTATCCATGCCCTTACATGTTATAAATCTCTTTAAGGTCACCCTCAGCCTCTGATGCTTCAGGGAAAATAGCCCCAGCCTTCGTATTGAGATGGAGGCAGATTCACCTGAAGGGTTCCAAAGAGAATTGGATGATTCTCTCAAAACAAACAGCGTAGGAGTTACACGGAGAAGGTGGGAGAATGGCACTAAGTAAATTGCTCATTTGGAGACCATGAGCAGACTTCATGGGCCAAATGGTCTCTTTCTGTGAAATTCCAACTCAGAGGCATGTGGCTCAGTCCTTACCTAAAAGGCAACTAAAACAGCACTTAATTTATGGTTTGTGTCTAATTCAAAAACATTGTTCTCATGGACAGAAAGGTTTTGGAAAGGAGAAATGGGAATTGATCTCTGGATAGTGAAAGCATTATTACAGAAAAGGCTGGCATTTCCCTTTAAACACAAACAGTTAATATTTCCATCAAGACATTTCACAGCTTAAGATAATGGCCATCATATAAAAATTCCAGTTGCTTACTGCATTCCAGTTCCCCATTTGGAATTGACGAAATTTTATCCAACAGCTTGGTGCCAACGAGGATCGGGTCTTGACATAGTTTAGCGAGCTGCAGGAAAGCCTCCTTCCCATCAAGGAGCTTATAAATTGGTCTCACTCCTGTGGTCAAAGACAATGAATGGAACAGTAACCATCACTAATGTGAACTGCAGCTCACTGAAAACTATACTGTAAACTAAGGTTACATTTCCAGGAACACTTTTGAACTCCTAGAAAATCCCTTTTTTGAAGTAGAGAAGGTTAGGATGCTGCCTCTCAATTGGTCAGACTTGAATCTAAGCAGGAATCTGGCTGAAAAGCTTTTTCCACTTGTGGGCTGAAATGATCAGATTCAACAAGTTTGGACAGTCTCAATGCAACCCAAATGCCGCAGGTCACACCCTCCAACCCAAAACACCCTGTATAATGTTATGCATCTTTTAAATCCAGGAACTCTTCATTAGGTGTGAAAGGAACAGTCTAAGTAAACTGCTTTTGTGTACAGAATATTTTTGTTGTAATTAAGCAGCGATACAGTTTACAAAATATGTAGCTACTGTACTCAAAACCTTTGAAAAGGGCTTGTGGTCAACTGCTGTCTGTTGTTCTAAATAAATTGGTTGGGAACAATAGAATATTCCTTTATTTCTAGCTGGAGTCAGCTTGATTCAGTTGGCAGCAGTCACCTCAGACAAAATTTGCGGGTCTAAGCCACAATCCATGACTTGAACAAGTTACACAGATTGAAATACCAAAGCAGTAGTGTGGGAGTGTGGAGTCGTTGAATGTGTCCTTTTTCCAGTGAGACATGAAACCAAGGTCCTGTCTGCCTACTTGGCTGCATGCCAAACATTCCATGGCACTAATCAGAGACACATGCAGTTCCACCAGCATCAACAGCAAAAAAAAAGTTAAATGGACAATAGTTTTAGATATTGTGATGGGACATCTGTTGTGTGGTGCGATGACAGTGTTTTAAAAACTCACTGGTTGTGAAAAACGTTTAAATTCCTTAAGTACTGAGATATTATAAAAACTTTCTTCCTAATGAAGATCAATGCATTCAATACTAAATATTTCTAATTTTGTTTGCTTCCCTCCTGAAGGTGGTGTGTCATACTATTTCCACTAACAATCACAGCCTGCACCACTTGAGTGACTCACTCTTGCGGGCCTAAACAGCAAATACAGGAGCATTTCACAACTTTCAGGAAACTTGCATTGTGTATGGATCTGAAAGGTTTGAAAGGGTTAATACCCTATGAGAACCTATTGGGAGGAAAATTAGAATCTTGTGGGAAACAGACCAGAAGCTAGGCCCTCCCAAAAATCTCTGTAGAAACGTAAAGCCTACCCTACTAATCTTCGAATAGTTGCAGGGAAGTAATAAGCAACATCTTGTTTACTCTGCTAGGCATTTCCTGTTAGCCCAGAGGTGGCTACTTAATAGGTGATGTAAGATGCTATGGAACCCACACACTTAGGTGTGAATGATGGCACACTCATGGCAATCAGCATGGGATCTGAAGATTTAAATTTAGCAGCATTGCTTCCAAAAAGGCCAATATGTTGGTAAACCTGAAGACTCCAAAGAAAACACAATGGTGCTATAGCTGAGGACAGTGAGCCCTAAATGACCTCATGACAGCATTCAATACTGAAGAATACCTAAAAAGAAGACACCAGAAAATATTTCAGAACCAATAGAAGACACTATTTAAGAATAGAGGTTGCATCTCAAGGTGGTGGTCTTGGATCACTCCTGAATCAGAGTTCAAAGAACTCACAACATAGACAAGACTCAAAAGCAAATATCCCTGGTACACTGGGGAATTTAAATAATGCAGCAATTCAGGCTCAAAGAGGATAAATTAATGAAAAAGTTGCAGCTTAACTCAGGGTTCCCATTTGGTGCACTGATACCACATGACATGGCTAAGGGACAAAAATTGGAATTAACAGGGCCTGGAGAGAAAATTATATAATCCTGGAATACAGAACTGAGGAGAGTCACAATGGCAGTCATTTAAAGTAAATTACCGAGAGCAACGTAAAAGTAGTGAGCAATTCTGGTCTAACATGAGACTTTTTCCTTGAGACTCCTTATAGCCACAAAGAGTGGGAGAATTCTCAGGACAGCAAAGCTGTGAAGCAGCGAAGGGAGAACCATCATTACTGCAAAATAAGACGTTTCAAAGATAAAATAACTAGTCACCATTAGAAAGCCAAAGAACCAGAAATAGTATTACCAGAGAGATTTAATTTCAAAAATGTTCCAGATAGAACACAAAATTGGATATCCTAGAGAAAACAATTTTTGAGATACAGAATAACCTCCAAATTGGATAGTAAATCAGGTACACTTTTGTATGCAATTGGGAATACAGCAGATGTTATTGTTCACTAAAGGGGCAAAAAAAAAAGCAACAGACGCACTTGAAGAGCCACTGAAAACTTTTGAAATTACTTCATTCTTCAAACTGATATAATACTAGAAAAAGCACGATTTATCATAACAATACAGCACTCAGGAATCCACAGATAATTTTGTTAATGATCTCTAAAGAATAGAAGGGAAATGCAACTATTGTGACTTAAAGTCGAAAGAAACCAAATTACTGTAGGCATTAACGATGAGTCTTTGTTAGATTTATTACAGTCCAAAAAACACCTGACACTGGAGAAAGTCAGTCAGTCATTCAGTTGATGACTGAAGCAGAGGTTCAGAAACAACACACAGCAATCCCAAGGGGAGATGATCAAATTTAGCATAGGAAATCTTTAGAATCCATTAAATTCTAAAGATACCATACTATAAAAGACATTACATTAGCCAATGCAGTAGATTGAACAGATGCCAAGCAATAAAAATCCTTACCAAAGCTGTGGAGCAAACATACCTCACAGGTCGAGCAGTTGCCAGTTAACACAATCACAGGCCTGTTTTCTTGAATTGCTTCATTATAAAGCAGTAGGTCACTTTCAGAAAACGTGTTGAAACAGGACACAGTCACTGAAAAGTAAAAGACCAAAGAGCTACCCAGACAAATAAGGAAATGCAAAAGTCGTCTTCAGCAGAAGACAAACTCAAAGTTGCTCTATGGGAAAACTATAGCCAAACAGAACACTTTGACAAGTTGATATTTATGTTTATGGGCACCTTATGAGTTTCAAGTCATACATAAAAGCAAGTGATGTAATATTACAAGACAATGAGCCTTGCTGATGAAACACTTTTCAGCTGACAGAAGTTCAACTACATGGTCCAAAGAGCACTGCACTTAAGTATGTCACAAGCACGAGCAACTCTCCAATAAAGAGCAATACCAAACAGTAGAAAACTTACATACCTCACACACAGGAATTTTCATTCCCGAGAAGAAAAGGTAGAATGGAAACTAATCTCACTCAAAGTGAAAAAGATTAAAACAATAAAATGTCAAGGAATAGCTGGTAGATGATTTTTCAGGACTCCATAAACTTTAGGAAGAATGTATGTTAAAAACCCTGTGACTAAACTGTTTTGGCAGAAATGTTTTCCATACCTATCAAAATTGAAGCAAGTTCAGACTCGAAGTGCCCACAAACTTCAAGAAGAAATGCAAACAAAGAGGCAGCAATTTAAGACAAAGGACAGATCTGCAACTGAATTGAATCAAATTGCAACACAGCACAGTGAACAGCTAGTTTTGTCAAATCCAAGTCCCACATTAGTTACTAAGATGACTAGGAAGGGACAAATTTGAGTAGAATATCTGACATCTCAACCTTGCAAAGAAGAATCCTCAACATCAATAACGGATATCACATCAAACAAAAAGGAATCTTAGGTAACATAATTGAGGAAGTAAACAAGTTGGTATCATCAATAATTAAACCATAAATGACAAATTCCAAAATAATCAACAAGTAAAAGTAAAAACCTACCAGCTATAGCACACTGACACAAATTGAAGATGCAGCACATACAATTCCATGAAAGACACCTCAAAGATGAATCAGCAATATCCGAAGATTCACGATACTGCAAAGAATCAAGTGCCTGCTAGGCTAGAGTAGAAAAAGCAATGGAGATGCATCTGAACTGTTCTGCTGAGAGCAGGCATAAACATGATGGGCCAAATTGACTCCTATTGTGCCAGAAATTATCGAACTATCAAGAAACTAAAATCAAAAAATTGCATCTTCCCTAGGAGTGTATCTGTAAGCGCGGAAGACCATACAGTTTTGCCCAATTCAGACTTCACATGTACACAAACCAGTTTATTTTTCTGGTTTAAAATAAAAAGCACCTTTAAGTGCAGTGTCACATAATAAGTGATCCTGTTATAAGAAAGGTTCAGGCAGCAAAGCTGAGAGAACACGTTACCAAAAATGATACCCTCAGCCGAATGAAGATGATTTATAGACAGTACATTTGAAATTGGATCCCACCGAGGCCACCAGAGTCATGTCAGCAAAAGAATGCAATTTCTGGAAACTCATGTTTCTTGTCCCTGGAGTGTGAAGCATTCTGATGTGTGGACTTCTAAGTTCCCCATCAGTTTAATTTTGGTTATCATTAATATTCTCCCTATCTCTCCTAAAGATAGTGCCTCTTGCTAGGACACAGTTCCAGGAGTGCTAATGACCTTCCAGGACATCACTCAAGCGTGTCTTTCATATGTGGTCCCACTCATTGACTGCTCTAACAGTGGAAGCTAAATAACTGTGCCAGCATGTTTCTACACCAGTGTGTTTTCCAGCTGGAATCTCCATATCATATCCTGGAACACTGGCCAAACCCTCCCTCCCAATGTAAGGACACCAAGGTCAATCTAACAGGCTAACGGATAAAGGATTTTATATATGCACCAAAGCTGCCTGCATTAAAAGATTATGTTTCAAGGGAGGTAATTCACGTTCAAAGAAGGGCCTCAATCAGAAATGTTAAGTTGACCTCTCCCTCAGATGTTGCCAGTCTTGTACTTTGTTTTGCTTTTAGATTTCAGCGTTTTAATGTTTCTTTTTATCGCAAGTGTTATTCTAAGATTAATGATATATAAATAGGAAACAGTTTGATGTTTTAGAATACTGTAATAATAAGCAGATGTGGCCGCTTGGGGAACAGGCATGCCTCATGTTCAGGGATCTCATACCCTAATGCATAAATATCTATTACAGTATTCTTAAGCAAGGGTTCTGTTACTTCTAGAGTTCCTTCAACATTTAAAAAAATTATGCATTTGAAACCAGCTGCTTTTGAAGTCATGAGTCAGATTTCTTTTAAACAAAGAAATTCCTTGCCGACTTCCATACATCAAACTGTCATAAATGTTTTTCTCAAAAACCATTGTAGCAAAGTCTCATATGTCCATTAGTTTAGAAAGGTTTCTGAATCCCAGATGACCTTTGCATTGATGTAATACCACTGTGAGCATTTCTGATAAAACCTCACCTTTAAAGACCAGAATCAAACAGATAATCAACATTAATCTTCCTTTGGAAATGTCAGGCATCCTTTTGAGAGATAAAAGGACAGAAGAGCCATAGAAGAGCTGCTTTGTGGGTTCAACATTGTAAGATAATAATGGGATTACAGAGGTTGAAAATGGAATATATCCAAGGTGGCATATTTCTCTAAACCAGCTAAACTAATAAATGACTACATTGCTCAACAACTTGATTAATTTAAGGGCAATTCGAAATAGAACGTACAACATAGAATCAAGTAATTTTGTCCAACATATCCATGTTGGTATTTGTATTCCACACAAATATTTCAGCCTCTAGTTGATCAACTGATGGAATGTGCCGGTGAAGTCTCATTTAGATCTGACAGGCAAAGGACCGAAATAACTTGCTGGATCATGGCCTCTAGATCAGAAATACCTGGAAGCTGGGGGGTCCAGCTGAATTTGCAGCCAGACCTCATTCAAATTCAAGTTTTAATTATCTTTTGGAAAATGTTTCTACTGTGCAGCCAGTTAGATTTTCATTAACATCCAGAAACACACCGGCATCCAAACTGGAATCAGCCACAATTTTGTGACAGACCAGGGGGCAGCTTTCACAATGTTTTGTCTACAAATTCAAACTCAGGTGCAACTCCTCTCCTCAGACAGTGGGCTGGGGAGAACAGGATAAGTCAAGTGGATGGAATGAGAAAGCAAGATAAAATTTGAAATGTCCCATATAACAGACAGAATATTTTAACGAGAAAGAGTTGAATCAAACTCTTAAAAACATTTTCACATGCCATTTTGTAGTTTTCATGAGGGATTTTGCATCGGATTCCCCAAACGGAAATATAACGTTTACCTTTGGCTTCTATTGAAGAGAGTGAAGCCTGAACAACTTCATCAGCTATAAGTGCTGCCACTGCTTCTGGCTTCAATTCTTGGGTTGAGATAAATGCCTGGGCTTTTTTATATCGGTCAGGCTGTTGAGACGACAATACTTCTCGCAGAACAGTATCAGAATCTTGGGTTGATATGTCATTGAAAGAACAGCCAAGCTCCTTTTGGGTAATAAGTAAAACATATGACTAATGCTTATTATGCACTTATTTATAAAAAGTGAAACTATCCATTCATAAAACAAATTAGGAAACCAAAATAAAGCTATGAAACAAAATACAGGCAATACTCAAGAGAAAATGATACACTAATACTGTAGATTACTGCTGTGATACCCAATGCACTTTAATAAAGGGGATGATCGAGCAAAACCTCAAAATACAACGATAAGATTCATAAAGTAATTGACAATTGACTAACTTGCCTCTCTGTACTGCAAAAACCAACGATTATCTATCTGATGCCACCCATGTAGTTTGTTAAGTCTTGAATGTCACCTCTGGAATTTATACCATTCCTTTCTCTTCTCCACACAATTACCCAATGATCCAAACCCCTCTAGCTTTGCAATGATTAGTAACTTCTTTTCTGGTTTTGTTTCTATCCCATTTGTCTTCTGCTCTACTCCCACTAGGTTCTTTTTATTTAATGAATCATCCATGACACTCTTCCTTCTCCAGTGCTCAATATCCCCTTTCAGTGAAGTATAATGTTGTCTCATGTAATTGCACAGACTATTGTAAGCCCTGGCAGTAATTTGTCATCTAAACATCAACCCATTGTACAAATATAAGTATTTTTAAAATGTAAATACAAAAACAATCGAAACTTACAAACAGAATAAATATCAAAATAGCACTGAATTACAGAAATTGGAAGGCCACACTTGTATCTGACAATATAGCTGAAAGAATTTCCATTTACTGTAAATATCCAGAGATTCAGACACATTCAGCACAGAAGGAGGCCATTCATCCCTTCATGTTGCATGGAACAAAGATCTCACTACAATAATCCCATCTTCCAGCTTTTGGTTCATAGTTCCAGATACTATAGTAGCCTAAATTAATATTATAATATTTAAACAATATTTAGAGAGTTTCTAACTCAACCACACTTTCAGGCAGTGAGTTCCTGACTCCCACCACCCTCTGGGTGAAATAGTTCTTCGCAATTCTTCCCGATTATTGACTCCTCTACTAATGGAAAAAGTGCCTTCCCATTCAATATATTTATGACCCCTGCCTCCACTCCACCCCACTCCCCAACCACCATAATCTTATACAACTCTATCAGGTCCTTTCTCAAAACTTATCACGCAGTCAGAAGTAGGTGTTGGAATGCACTCCCTGCAGTGCAATGAATGCAAGTTCAATTAAGGCATTCAAGAGGACATTCAATGACTTATTTTATGCAAAAATAATATGCAAGGGTACAGGAAAGAGCAGGATTTGGCAGTGGATAATGATGCTCATATGAAGAGTTAGTGCAGACACAATGGGCTGAATTGCCTCCTTCAGTGTTGTAACACTTCCGTAAATCTGTGAACTGAGAGGCATGGTCAGTAGACAGCGACAAGGATTTAAAATGTGAACAATCTGTTACAGAATATAAAATTTAACATCATCTCACTCATTCTAGGCATCTTATTTGCACTGATAGGCAGTCAATTTCTCTACTATGTACTTGTTCTAAATTTAGATACAATCCATGGCTTGCTTTTAGTTGCATTTGATTTAAGAACAATGCTGATCATTATTAACTGGTCTCTATCACAAATTATATTGAGAAAAGGTCAACGCCAGTACCTTTGAGAGTTGATACAAGCTAAGAACCTGACGACAATAACCTTTGCCGTGATGGCACTCATTTGTGAGAATTTGAAGATCCTTAACGACCTGGTCTTTAACACTGTCTTCTTCAGAATACTGGCCAAATGATGAAGCTATACTGCTCACTGAGGAAGGCAAAAAGAATTGATTGCAAGTGTACAAGCGGCATGGGAACATATTGCAAATTTGCATTGAATTCTGTCAAGTCAAATGTTTACACAGTCTCATTCAGTCACTTAACAGTTTAGAATTAGAGATGCAAATTTGTCAAACTAAAAACCGAAAATGGAGGTACAGAAAACAACACGCACATGCATGCCAGTGCAATAGTTTAAATGAATAACAATCTTCTGAAGAGAGAGATTGTTGGAAGGAATGCTCCGTCTATCATTCCCACAAATGTCTCAACCCAAATCTTGATAACAAGTCTCACTCATCCCATCTTGGTATGTGACATTTTATACAACAGCCACATTCCAAGATAGAAAAGTTTTCTTCTCTGGCAAAGTAGGTTGTAAATCTAGATTAGTCCTTTGTTCTCTGCAATTCCAACTCACAATAACGAAGCACTGGTCCTACACTTTCGGAGAGGTCCCGGAACGCATCATTTTTCCAAAGTGCAACCAGAACTCTTCAGGGCTACAATTCCCAACTCCCGTTTAGCTATCCATAAAACTATAAAGCTCAGTGATAATCATTAGTAGCCAGCTGACAACTAATGGAAAATTACATCATGGAGAGATTTTGAGTTTCTTTATTCATTCACAAGATGACCAGGCAGCATTTATGGCCCACCGGCAATTCAGAGTCCACCACATTGCTGTGGACTCACATGTAGGCCAGACCAGGTAAGGAAGGCAGTTTCCTCCCTAAAGGGCATTGGTGAGCCAGATGGGTTTTTCTGACATTCGATAATGGATTCACGGTCATCATTAGATTCTTAATTCCAGATATTTTATTGAATTCAAATTGCACTACCTGCCGTGGTGGGATTCAACCCAGGTCCCCAGAACATTACCTGGGCCTCTGGATTAACAGCCCAGCGATGATAGCACTAGGCCATCGCCTCCCCGTATACTGAGTAGTAATACTCAATCAATCACTGAATTGCCTGCTGATTTTAATGTCTATATTGTATCTGGACTAAACTAGCAAAGGATTTATCACCTCTCAACCCAAGTTAATATTTCCTTTTCTACTTTAGTTTATTATCTACATAAAAAGTTACAATTTTATGAGGCCTCTTAGGGTGACAGTAAACACACTTGTACATCTGCATCCACTAACAATAAACAAACTTCATTAAGTCAAAGACAAAAGCCTTTGGTTACTGAATGTTGTATGAAATAGACAAACCTATAAATGAAATACAGTGTATTTAAGATAGCATGCATATAAATAGGAGTACTCTTACTTTGTTTTGCCTTTCATTTTCACTTATTTGTGCCTTTGTTAGTCCAACATCTGGCTATTCCAACATCTTCAGCCAAAACTGATACTCAGGTCTTAACTCTTACCACCTCCTATTTTCCACTGGCAATTCAAATTCCTGTATGACGTCACTCCCTCCTTACCTCTATAATCTGCGCGAGCCCCACAACCCTGAACTATGTATTTACCTCCAATTCTGTTCTCTTGGGCATCCCGAGTTTTAACCGCTGTAATGTTGGTGGCAGTGCTGTCGTCAATTGTTTAGGCCACAACCTCTGGAATACCCTCCATATCCCTTAAAGTGTATCCACTTCATTTCCACCTTTAATACCCTCCTTAAAAATTTATAAAATACCTCTCTGACCAAACATCCAGTCAGCTAATCAAAAATTTCCTTTTTTCTGTTTCAATGACAGCTTTTGTTTTATAATACTTCTGTGAAGTGTCTTGGGAACTTTTACACCAAAGGTACTCCATAAATTACACAATTTGCTGTTACCTCACCCAAACCAAGATAACTAACCAAAATCCCAGTGCTTTGTGGTACAGCAGTTCGACCTGTTGCATCATTGGGTTACCACTGCATACTCAGTCCCTTTTTTCCTTTATTAATGAGATGACAATTTATTTGTCAGGACATAAACTGCTCCACTGGAAAAGGTGGTAGAAGCTGATCCCATAAACCATTTTAAAAAGAAAGGTATTGGAGAGTGAGGATCTCCAAAAGGCAGGGGTGCGGGACAAAGCACAAGTAATTTTCCAGGGAGCCAGTGCTGACAGAATGAGATAAAAGACATCATTTGTGCTGCAAGTTTCTATGTTCTATTTCAGAAAAGTACAAATAAGCTAACTTACAACTTGGAATCCTTTTTCGATGGAATCCTATCTCTCCGTTAAATATGATCTGCATTGAGGGGTGAAAATCTACTGTTTGTAGTTCTCCTGAAGCCAAGGCTCTGCAGTGGAGAACGAGAGATGTGTCTTGGTTGTAAAATTCAAAATATCTACAGACTCTACTGGCTTCATGAACGCAGCCTCCATCTAACAACTCGCCGATCAAAATATTAAGAGCCTCTCTTTCTGCAGTGTCCAGTGCACAGCTGGAAGCCATGTCCTTGTCGGGAAACCCTTCAAGCTGGAGATACTTTGGCGAGTTCAGAGCAGGCAGTTTTGAGAATACGAACTCTTTGATGGCTTCATCAAAAGTTATTTCACCACAGACTGAAACCTGCCAGGAAAATCTTGAAGTTGTGGACATTAGCAAGGTCTGCTGACTGATACGACACAACCAAATCCTCTTCTCCAGCTCTTCCAACTGGTCCAGGATTGGGGGATTGCTTTGTGACATCCAATGGCCGGCCATGGTCAACAGCAGACATCTTTCCTGAATGTTCACAGACTGTTCTTTGAAAGCTGGAGGCAGTTGTGTTTTAATTATTGGTATCTCGTTGACCTGGGCCAGAAAGAATTCAGAGGCAACTACATTGGATATCAAGTAATTTTTGAAACAATCATGGCATTTCTTCCAAAAATTTATCCTGGTCTCCTTCCTTTGCCATTGACCACATTGCTTCAAATTTTGTAGCTCCTGAGTGACCTTTGAGAGAAAAAGAAATTAAATACTAGAGATGTGTGTAAAATATTGCAATTACTGGTATGAGTTAGGGTACAAATTCCCATTTTTGGTTTTCCCATCTCCGTTCCTATGTTTTACCATGCCGCGGGTCAATCACAGGCAATTCATGCATAGTCTTCTGCCAAAATGTGCGTGAAATCGATCAGGCTATTATTGTTTTGTTTTCCTACAGGAAAGTTTCTGGATTTCATGTTGCATTTTCCTTTAAGCAATGGATTGCAGAATGGCAAATTCACTAACGTAAGCAATCAAGAGCCAACAATTCCATAGATTCTCCAACGTCAAGCAAACATTATGCCACGCTCCATTTGGTGACAAATATGGAGTGCATCTCTTCTCGAACTAAAAACTTGTATTGAATTAATGTACATAACATAAAGAACATAAGAACTAGGAGCAGGAGTAGGCCTTATGGCCCTTCGAGCCTGCTCCGCCATTCAATAACATCATGGCTGATCCTTTCGTGGACTCAGATCCACTTACCCGCATTCTCACCGTATCCCTTAATTCCTTTATTGTTCAAAAAAAATTTACCTTTTTTTTTAAAAAACATTTACTGAAGTAGCGTCAACTACTTCACTGGGCAAGGAATTCCACAGATTAACAACCCTCTGCGTGAAGAAATTCCTTCTCAGTTCAGTCCTAAATCTGCTCCCTCTAATCTTGAGGCTATGCCCTCTTGTCCTGGCTTCACCTGCCAGTGGAAACATCCTCTCTACTTCTACCTTATCTATTCCCTTCATAATTTTATATGTTTCTATAAGATCCCCACTCAATCTTCTGAATTCCAATGAATATAATCCCAATTTACTCAGTCTCTACTCAGTAGGAACTTTCAACTTGAATTTAATCTGAAAAAAGCTTTTCAACCCTTCAACTCCCAATTCTCCATGACTTTGCCAAAAAAAAAATGTGCAGTAGTAGTACCATTTTTAAGTTTGAGTTTTAAAAGTTAAATATTTGGGAAATATAAAATATTACCTCATAGACCACTAAGTGGTCTACCGGAAGCTGGCCTAGGTCAGCCACTTGTCTAGCTAAAGCAAGAAGTCCTTTCTTCTGCAGTTGGTCCAGAATTTGTCCACATACATTCTGCAAAGTGCCTGTGCTGTAGTCAACAAGGAGGGAAGGATCAATAGAGATCGAGGTGTCTTGCAGGAGCTGACTGAGTCTGCTCAGTTTTCGGAAATCCAGACCTAATTATAAAGAGACAAACAACTATTGATTGTCTCTAGAAAGTGTAAAAATTACAATACAACATATACTTTTGTGCAATATTTATTTTATTTTGGAAACATAAAACAAAGAAAATAGTATGAAAGCAATATGTTAATTTGAGAAATTCATGATCATTAGTGAGTCCTGGGTTGAGGACTACCTATCCTATGCAAGCAAGTGGAAACCTCTTTGCCACATATCATTACCTAGTAAGCAGGCAACTAGCTTCCAAAATCACTGACTAACTGGTTTCCCAGAAAGTAGATAAACCAGAGCGATTCTTTAAAATGAACTTTGGAGAGTGTCTCATTTTCTAAAACTAAAAAGTAAGTTTTCACAGGAAAACATTTTCAAAATCACATCCTTCTCAACAAAAAACTGGTAATTTCTGTACTTGTTTTGGACAATCAATTACAATTGGCTTTATTTCATTTTATTTTCTCCCCATCCACTTCCTCTTTGTTATTGATTTCATCATGAGGAAGGTGATAGTGGTACAGATTTTGGTAACCTGTGGCACCACCATTGATTGACAGACCTGATTTGGCAGCAACTCCACCTCACTAGCTGATGAATCACATGCACTCCAAATCATGGCCACCAGCCTTGAGAGTAGCCACACTAAGGTTGGTCCAAGCATCAGCTACAACAAGTCCAAAACAATGGAGACTGTCAGCTACAATGCTTCCACATCGGGCAACAGAGCAGTGAGGACATCAACACTTCCCCTCTCTAAAGAGAGACATTGAGGAGGGGGATGTAGAAATTGACAACTACACGTGAATCAGTAAAGCAGCAGTGGTCTTTCAGTGGCTCCACAAGGCATGGGCATTCAACACTATCAACAAGGCTGTAAGGATATGATCCTGCTTGCGCATTGTCATACCATGATCTGAAACTTAGATCATTGACACATGGAAGAGAACAGAAAAGCTGTTACACCAATTGGGTATTTCTCCCCAGTAAAGCCTATACAAGATCCTGGGTATCCCTTGGAAAGACAATATCATCAACGAGGCAACACTGCAGAGGACTCAGAGGCATCGGTGGTGCACTGTAATAAAGAACCACTGATATCAGTTTTCACTCTGTGTCTCCTGGACATTGGCCGAGCTACAGTGGTAGTAAAAAGACACCACCAGGTGGAAAAAGATGACAGTACCAGCCAAAGACAAGGTGGACCTACAAGAGCCAGAAATTGTTTCAGCTGGAGCAAAAGAAATCTCAAAGAGCTGGGGCTGGTGGCAGAGTCTTGCTGCTCATTGTCCACGAGAAACTAAGTCAAAGACAGAAACAGTAATAAAATGCAATGTAGCACCATAAAATGACATTAATGAGGAATTGTTTAGCAGATGCAGGGATTGAATAGGACTTAAGTCGTAACATAAAGCAGATTGAAGCCTCAAAGCAAAGCAATGAGCCCAAGAAGCATGCTAGTTCTAAATTCAAGTCAGGGAGCTCCCAACAGCTGTGGAAACAGTGTTTACGGGAGTATAGGAAATGAAGGTACAAAAAGAGAGAGAGAAACTAGATGAAAAACAAAAGTCATCTGTGTGTCACCCAGCAAGTTTTATAGTAATACATGATGCTTCATTACATCCTGATACATTAATTAAGCAAAGGCCAAGGACAGAAACAAAGTGAGGCAGCAGAAATAAAATCATTGAATGTTGTTTCAGTGCTCTTTTGTTCCAACTAGTTGCAAGAAGGTTAATCTGAAAATCTTGTACAACCATAATCGGTCAGATAGAAGCTACCGCCATATATTGAACATAGTTATGCTACATCAGAATTAGGCCTGAAAAATGGACAAAACGCATTCTCATTTCTATCTTGCTAGACTGAGTAACTAAAGTTAGAAGTACAACGAAACATCTTTCCTAGCTGCAGCACAATTTAATGACAAGAGCACACAATCTCAGCCAAGTTTTCATTTGTTTTTGTAGTAGCCCAAGCAGCAGCCCTTCAAAGAGACCACTGGGTAGGCTGTGAAAGGATCAGAGGGAAGTTTGTAAATCCTACTGGACTGTCCAATCAGATGTGGACTTCCTAGATTAACATTAAAACTGCAGGTAGCTGGCACCACTAGTCACCACAGGCCCATACAGACTGTCAGCACTTGGTTTATACCAGAAAATGGGTGCAAATTAATTTCTGGACCACTGACAAGTAACTCAACGAGATGATCCATTTCCCTTATTCAAGCAGAAACATACCGTTGGCAATTCATCAGGATCTCCTGCAGGCAAAAATACTTAATTGATAATGGGTCTCCAGAAACTAATTAGTCATTTACATTGATTAGTTGATTTGAACATGCAAGAGCAATTACGCAACACACCACTAACAGCAAAATCAATCAATCCTGGGGTCTTAGTAAATAATTTCTGTAGAGTTTTGTTTTTTAGTTAGCTTGTCAAAGAGTACAGCACTTGACATCTTCAGAAAGTTCCACATGAAAGCACCTTTCCCTCAAATTCACCCTGTGAAGGGCTTGTCTGGATGACATGTTTATCATTCAACATAAACCTAGCTTGCAGATTATGTTCCTCTGTAAATAAGCATTTTAATGTTATGCAGTTCCCCAGATCTATTTAGTGATACTCCAATTGTCAAAGAGAGACAAGTTACAGTAAGCTATTACTTTTCTGTATGATTCATGGCATATGGAAAATTGTTTCCATACTGTTGAATTTTTGGCTTATCCTGCGTGAACTTCATTTCCCTACCAAAGAATGAAAGCTTTTCACAATTAATACAAACCACATGGCAATCCCTACCCCCCAACACTTTAGAAATAAACTTCATCTAGCAGCAGTGGGTAGATTTCATGAGCCTGCATTTTTTAAAACTGATACCAGATTCTATTCTCCAGCAATAATGAAGTCATCCAGAAATTATTCATTCACTTTGACCTTAATCCTTGTACCTTGTTATTAGTAAAGAGAAAAGATCAGTCAGCAACAAGATAGCTACAGACCCAGAATAAAATAATTTTAAAAATTAATATAACAAAGGCAATAGCTAATACACCTGAAGATTCCACTTCATTTGGAGGCTTGAATAGATCACAAATTGAAACAGCAAACTACCTAGAAACTCCACAATATCCTAAAATTTGGTTAAACATGGATAGGAAACATTCAGGAATTTTTTTGTTCTTCACAAGCGTGCAGTGAACCCACAATCTTCTGACAGGTTCCCCCTTCCCTCCCAACCCAGTCACAATTCATGAGTTGAAGAGTTTCACGTGAAAAGGAAAGTTGGAAATTTTATACTAAGATTAGTTCCCACCTGTCGGTTCCCCAGAAGTACCCTGTCTGTGAACAAGAATTGCTTCCAAACTGTCAGAAAGCACAAAGAACCATACACACATCTAGGGTTCATACGTGGGCAGTGTTCAATCAGCAACAGGCTGTGGATGTCACTTCTGCTTTCATTGTAGGATCTGGTTCCCACAAGATTCAAACTAAAACCTTGAGTTCCAGTGGCGTATGTAGGGGTGGTGTATCTGACCATTGGTCAACAAGCAACAAGTATGAGCAGGTTATAAGTAACAGTCTCTCAGACAAATAGGGAACTTCCACAAAATGTCCATTATGTTCTTGTCCACTTTCATTCCACTAAATTCTTGCTGCAAGTCTTTATCATCCTCATCGTTCAATGATTAAAAAATCAACCAACAGCACTTAAGCAGATTATCTGGTCATCACCTCATCACTGTTTGATGCACAGCACTTGATGGTCGTGTTACCTACATTGCAACATACGAACAAGAAACGAGAGAAGGCCTTTTGGCCCTTCCAGCCGATAATGCTCGTGGCTGATCGGATTTAAATGTCAACTCTATATTCCTGAATACCCCTGATAATCTTTCAATCCCTTGGTAATCAAGAATCTCTCTACCTCTGCCTTCAAAATACTTAAAGATTCTGCATCAACTGCATTTTGAGGAAGGCAACAGTGACTACACTTCAAAACCACTGTGGCTCTCAATGCCCTGAGGTTGCACAAAGTGCAAAAGAAAATGTAAAATTTTTATTAACTTTACCAAAGTCTTCAGTTATTTTCAGGGCACAGTCCACATCTGCCAGTATCTGCAGCAGCTTTCCAAGTTCATACTGTGTTGGACTCTGTTGTATCATCAGCTTCAGAAGCATACCAGCTTGTGATTCCATCCACTGGAATGGGATGTCAGTACCTGCTGAATCTGCTGCCTTCAACTGTGACAAAAGGAAGAAATATTTGGTAAGCATTATATGTTTACACAAAACAAGCATTTTTAAGACATGCAGAATAACTTCAATTCTGCATAAAAGGTAACACTTTTTGAAAGAGAGTTACAGAATTGTTAGTATAGAAGGCCATTCAGCCCATTGTGTCTGCAATGACTCTCCCAATAAGCATCTCACTTAATTCTAGCCTCCTGTCTTCTCTCAGCAATCCTGCATATTGCTGCTTTTCAGATAATCATCTAATTCCCTCTTGAATGCCTTAATATATGTAAAGTACTTCAAATGGATCTTTGTCTGATTGGTAAAATGTCATGAGTAGAGTCCCACAGAACAGAGTTCTGTGGCCTCAAATTTTTACAATTTACCTCAATTATTTAAACGAGGGGAGCAAAGTGAGGTTAGCTAAATTTGCAGAAGACATCAAAATAGTCAGGAAAGTATGTTGTGAAGAAGACATAAGAAGGTTACAGAGAGATATAGATAAATTATTATAGCATGGAAAAGGGCCCTTTAGCCCATGGTATGCAAAATAGATGGAGTGTGGGCTAAAATAGCCACTACACATACTTTTACATTTAGTTTGGAACGCAAAGTTTTCATGCTATAAAGATATGAAAGCTGCAACTTGTACTGATGGAAGGGTTTCAGCAATGTAAACACTGGAAGCACAAAGCATTGTGGCAGAGGCAGGTAGACATTTCCATGCCAAGGGTGTTGATCATGTGGACTAATGCAGCCTAGATAATGGTGAACACCTCGAAAGGTTGTTACTGCTGCATCCACTCAGCCAAGTAGCGAGTATTCTAGCATATTCCCAACTTAAAATGATGAAATAACTTTGATTCCTCAAAGTGCCCTGTTTATATTCTTCCACCTACGTTATTAATTTAGTTTAGTTGAAGATCCTGGTTGATAGTCACCTTTCGGTCATTGATGTTGGAGGACAAGGGGAATTGACAAGGGGATCAACCTCATTGCAAGGGGTTGATTATTTAGGACTGAGAAAAGGAGAAATTTCTTTATTTAGAGGGTTATGAATCTTTGGACTACACTAGCCCAGGGGCTCCCATTGCTCCATTACTGATGTTTTCAAAATCACGGACAGGCAGATTGCTGATCTCATGATTCAAGGAAAATGGGGAAAACATACGGGACAGTTCAGTTGAGGTAGGAAATCTGCCAAACAGGATTTAGCACAGCAGGCTCAAGATTCTGCATGGCCTACAATTCAATTTCTTATGTTTGCCTTTTTAACGATGGCTTTGCAGATGGAAGTTGAGGGAGGCAGCAGGGTTATTATGAGTTGTGATATCTATTAACTCACTCCCTGTACCATTGGTGCTCTTGGGAAGTCTGGGATGCACTCAGAATTTTGCAGTGACAAGAGCTCAAAGGAAGACAGGAAGCTGTAGGCCAGCATATTGCAGATACCTGCATATTTTAAACAGAAATTGCTCATTAAATAATCTGAATCTCTGAAATGAGAATGCAGGGTCCACAAGGATATTGCTCTTGTAACAGGGTTTCACTGAATATAGCAATAAAAACTAGTCCCCTCAGCCATCTCCACCATTCTGTCACACACACACACCACTTACAGAACTTTATCCTGGGAAGCAGCCAGAGGTGAGCACCACATCACAGATGGCATTCGGCTTGAGGATTTTATGATCAGCACAAGGAGAGATCAGCCGAATCAAGAATCTAGTCATATTTTAATAAGTGCCACAGAATCTATTCTGAAGCTCACATTTTAAAAATAATGCCATTTGGATCTTAAAGGGAGTACCATCATTTCAACTCCCACTTTAAGATCAATTCTGATCAAGCATTCAGCTAGTGGGACTGGGCATAATTGATGGCCATGTGAAGTTTGATGGTGTAAATAATTTGCCCCGTACAAAATTTGCCAAAGAATTCTTAGCTGGCAAATTGTTTTCATGACCTATAGTGTGCTGAATTTAATCATACAACTGTTTTTTTTTTTGGTAAGACTGAAGGCCTTTTTATGGCAAAAATACGGTCAATAAATTCTTCACACGTCTTGTACAGCAAAAAGGTCACAGCTATGTGAAAGCAAGAAGAACCTATTTTAAATCAATTGTCAAACACAGAATTGCATGGCATGGGAATTCTGCATTGTGTTTACTGCGAAATAGGCACAAAGCCACCTGTGACATTGATTCCTGAAATTCATTCTTTTGCCTGTTTGGACTGCATTGCAATCCCCGACCATGTTCCAACTCACTGTTTTCCAAAAAATACACAATAGCAACAATTATTACCCTGAATTCCTTCACAGGTTTTGAAACAAACATCTCATTTCTGGCAACTTCAATATTAAACATTCTAAGAAAAGAAACTGCATATACCGCAAGGTGGTTTACAAAAGCAAAATTTTTGACTGAAAAAATATTTTAAAATGTTTACAATCCCTCCCAAAAGGTTTGGCAGTTATTTTTAAGACATTTCACAGCTCAAGTTATTAGGTACCATATCTTTCAGTTCAGACCAGTCAGTTTTATTGCCCGATCAGTTCCAGAAATGAGCTCTTGGGTCAGGGATTGCGAGAGCGAAGAGATATGAAGGGGTTTATTTTCTTATGAATCTCCGAGGAGGATTAAGACGCAGGATGTGACATTTGGAGATGAAATGTTCATAATGTACAACTGCTTCCTGTCATCAGGCAATGTACACATACAGCTAGGCTTAGGTGATATTTGGCTGTTACAATCAGTAAGTTAAGTGACAGTACACTGATGTATCAATAAGGTTCAAACGGTAGAACATATAGTCTTGTGCCTACTATCCCCCCATAATTAGAATTATTTTACTAATCTGCAGTCTGCCAATAAAGTCTGTGTTTAACTAAACGTCAGAATTATGACAGAGTAAAGCACATATACCCAGAGTTTCTATCCATTGCCTATCCAAATTTACAAGAAATTTCCTTTCAATTTGAAGGGACAGCATGTCCAAGGGTGACAAGAGGAGGCATATCCAGACATTTACATCACCACTAATTTGCTACAAAGTTATTGAAAAAAGTTTTCAGTTTTAAACAAACATATACAAGGGTGGCTGTAGAATAAAAGATGTTCATGCCTCAAATATTGAAGGGACTTAATCTGCAAGTGCCAAGCTGTTGTTTGGCAACACAAACTTCAGCATTGCTGAAAAATAACATTTTGACAATGCTTTTCATCTTGTCACATCAGGATAATTTGCATGAAATGCCGAACTAAAGCAAAAACAACATTGATACAATATGATAGAGTGCCAATTGGTTGGCTCGTGGATCTATGTATTAATACACATAGCTTCCAGCATGTGCAAGTGCCCTACACTAAGCCAGACTGATATTCCCAAACTGGTGATCAGTATAATTCTTCATATACTCAGTACTATCTAGAGAATGTCAAGTCAATCGCTGAGCAACATCTAATGTTGGTAGCTATGTTATGAATTTTGCTGGTTGCATTTAGTATTATTAGATAGGCCTTGCTCTTTGCAGACAGAAAAAAATGCATACACACATACAGGCATGCAGCACCTATTTTAGTTGAACAAAATAAGTGACAGTCATTCTCTGGTTTAGTTCTCGGGGCAATGCTTGAACTAATTTGAGCCAACCTACTTGGTCAAATATTTAAACAAAGCTTGGCAGTTGACTGTCAATCATCATTGTGCAGTTGTCATGACAATGCCTCTAACTGAGTTCACCTGTCAACCAATCAGCACTTGCCTCTAATACATGGTATATGCTGTTTTCCTTTTCAGTTTATTTCTTCTGAATTATCCTAATGAGTCCTAGACAAAAATGGTGTCTTTTTTTCAGCCATACTCCAGTGTCAAGTCAGATATGCAAAATAATGGGTGGCCCAGATGTTCTATTTTGGAATTTTAGCAATACAGCTTCCTATCTTAGGAGTTGGTTACAATGTCTTTAGCTCACTAATTGCCTCATGACTGAAAATTGAAACTGCTATATTAAGTTGAGCAATTGCAAAGATGACTTGAACAAAAGATTCCAAAAGGAAAACAATTATTCGGAAAATTACTTGTAGTACCAACATTATTGATTTTTATCTTGGTCACTCGGGAAATGAATATATGTTAGGCAGCCCATTGGACCCCTGCAACAAATAACAAAGCTACAAGAGGTAAACTGTTCATAACCTGAATGAGGCAGCATGCCCTGTAATGAACTACAAGTTTCAGTTCACTAAGCCAGTTTATTCTGCTGTGGGTAGGAGATAGCTTGAATTGTAACAGTGCCATATCACGCTGCAGAGATGTTTAACCTGCAATCGTTTTAGTTTTCCATTAATAAAAAAATTCTTCTCGCTAATTTGAGAGATTTTAATTGTGCAGCAGCAATTCTGGGCAGCATACTTTAGGAAGATATGAAAGGATGTAGGAAAGATTCACAAAAATGGTTCCAAGGTGGAGGAATTTCAAATCATGTGGATAGATTAGAGAAGCTGGGGCTATTCTCCTTAAGAAAGTGATGAATAAGGAAAAACTGTTCCTGTTGGCAGAAGGGTTGCACCAACTTAAGATGATGGGTGAAAGCAGTTAGAGGGGAAAATTTTCTTTCAAGAGAAACACAGCATGTGGTTAGGATCTGCAAAAAGCTACCTCAGTGCGATGAAGGTAGATGCAAATTGAGGCTTTCAAAAGAAAACTGCCTAATTATCCAAGGGAAAGGAATTGCTGGTCAACAAGGAAAAGGCAAGGGAATGGCACCACATGAGAAGCTGTTACAGAACCAAAACAGGCAGAATGGACTAAATAGGCCACTTATGTGCAAAGCTCATTCTATGATTCTATACTTATAAAAACTTCTGATTCATCACATAGACAGGCAATGTTCAAGAAAGTTCAATCTCAGAATCACTGTAGCATATACTACTGTTCCCAACTCCACGCAGATCAGCTAGCTCAGAAATACGACAAATTACAGACTCACATTCAGTAAGCATTTCTGGAATTCCTGAAGTTTCAACTTTGATTCTTGATAATTCTTATGTTCTGTGCACAGTTCATACATCTCCAACATGTAGACCCACGGACAGTCCTTTCAAAAATGAAAAAAAAAAATCAAGATCACTTGATATAGGAAAGAGCAGGCCATTGATTTTGTTTTTGAGAATAACCACAGAAGTGACCATTAGGTTCAGTTACAACAAAAAAATCTTATTTTGGCAAAAAGGTACAGATTCCTTCAACAGTAACACTAATGTTCTGGAGTGACCATTCTGTAAAAAGCAGCCTGCAAAATCACACAGTCAGCATTAAGGGGAACAGCCAGTTAATTCTTTACCATAGGGAGGAATGTTGTCCATGGAACTCTGCCTTTCAAATTTTGACCTTGGACTTTCAACATTCTCTCCTATTTGCATGATGGATTGCTGGCTCAGTAAGGATGCAGCCTTCAACAAAGTTGTATCAACTACAACTGTTAGCCTTAATATTGGAGCTCTGCTTTGGCGTGGGGCTTGGACCCAGACTTGAATGAGTCACTGACTGAGATAAGCAGATACAAACCTTTAGGTTAACTCAAACCTAAGTCGCCCAGCAGGAAACCTACATCAAAGTACACCTCAAACTACTGGAAGAGCAGTACACCTGAATCCAGACTTTTCTGCCAGAATCACCAACAGTTAACATTGCAAATGCTGGCTCAGTTTTACCCTCCCTACGTCTGGGAAAGTGAAATCTATAGCAACTAAACTGCTATCCTGACTGAAATTCGTTAGTTTTGGTGACGGACCAAAACAGTGGATCTCTGGCAGTGAGATGGCTTACAAGGGAGCCTAGTTTTGCTCTCTAATGGTTTATTCATTTGTGCCAAACTGTTCTATCGCTAGCTAAAAATTCAAAATGCAATATTAAATATAAAAAACCATGCAATACCTTCTGAAAAAGCTGAAATCCTCGAACAAGTGGTTTAGTTTTTCTTCTTTCCAATAACACTTTCCACATCAGCGAAAGATCATGGAGATTCCATTCATGATATTCTATTGAATCATTAATATGTTTTGTAACTTCAGAGACAATTGCATCATCTGATGTCATAACAACCCAAACACAAAGACACTGAAGAACATCAGTTTCCTATGAATGAAAAAGGTGAACAATTACCACAACATCACTGTAATGACCTCACCAACAGGGGCATAGGCTAAAGCCATTATATCTGAATTGCTTGTCTCCAAAAAGTCCTTCTTCTTGTTACCTCTAGGTTTTTATTTCAGGTCCATGCTTGCTTCATGTAATCTTTACGTCTGAACTCTTACAGTTTCACCTTTGGTGGTCTGCAACTTGGCCTTTTACTACCTTAAACTATTTTCATTTTTAAACTAAATTCAGAAAATAATATGCTTAGTGGTAGACATTAACAATTCAGGAGTGTTATTTTTGGTCTTGAGAATATTCCACATATATTCTCTGTATAACACAACTCTAGTCTCAATTCTGGAGTCAATACTAAAACCACAACTGTATCTTATCCATTTATTGAGCCTGTCACAATGGAAACCTAGCTATATATAATGATGAATCATAGACTTCATTATATGATGAGTGTTCTGTTAAAATCAGTCCTGAGCAATTGTTACCATTTTAAATAGTTTTGTGCATAGATTTGACTCGAGACCAAAGTCAGTGAATTTACTGCATACCATATGCAGTTACGTTCATTCAGACAATAAATCTACAGTCAAGAAGCTTTCAGATATATTCAACTTTAAATTATATCCTGTCACTATTAAGAAATTTCAGATCATTTATATTGTAATATTTCTATTAGCGATTGAGTTCTCCAGGGTTTAAATCCAGGAATGCAAAATTAGACTCAGTTGAAACTTCTGCCACGATGGTATTCTCACACCACACCAGTTTCGAGACAATGAGGCTTGGTAATGCATTAATGAAAGGAAAGTGGATGTGATGTTCAAATGACTTCATCTCATTGCAGTAAAGTTGTAAGGGAAAAACAAACTCGGAAAGCAGTAGCTGGATTTAATTACAATACTGAGGACAACTCCTGTACGTGGGAGACAATGACAGGTCAATCTTCTCGACTTCATGATTGTAGCTCAAAGTTTGGCAGTAACTTACACTGCAAGTCAGACAGAATTCAAAAACATTCTTTCACAGTTTAACATAAATTAGTTTCAGAAGATTTACTAATTAAGAGTAGCCTAACAGGGATAATGTAGTTCACTTTGTTTTTTTTTATATTACAAGAATGAGTAAGCAACAGATTGAAATTTACTGTAAACGACATTCTGTGCATGTGTAAAATCAACAAATCTGTTTATTATTATCAGCAATAAATTCAACAGTTCATCAATGTGTCTTTTGAAGAAAGGAGAATTGCCATGGGATGCAGTTATGAGATTACGGTGAGCAGCTCACACATTAAAAGGAGTTGCAACACCTGGTTCATGTTAGTATATAACTATATGCTGAACAATAGAGCCGAAGCTGATCAAAAGTGATATGGGGCTTACTTTAAAAGACCCACAGAGAATATCTAGTGCAGACAAAATCTATAACATATGGTTTAAATAATTGAATTAGACATCTGGTATTGTCCCTTGTTTTACATTCAATTCATTGCAATGTACAATTCTGTGGGATAATGCAACCTCGAAAAATGAATGATCGATTTTCAAGTTGCAACAGTAAAATTTAAGATCAACTGATCAAATTTGGGGGAAATCACAACATAAATCTCTGAATCAAGGAACTTTTGGCCCTACACAACTGCAGCTACATGGTTCAAAGGGTAAGGATATAATAGAAAGACAGTCTGATTTTGTCAAGTACTTTGACAGAGGAGATATGCTTCCTAGATAAACCTAAGAAATAAATACTTTTTAAAAACACCCTTTCGGCCCATTTTATTTATTGATTTCTCCCACACATCAGTGGAAGGTGGCAACTATTGAATATTACCCTTCTGCCATTAATGCACCAGATATAAAACAAAAGGAGTGCTAGACTTCATTCACTGATATTTCTACATTATAACATGGATTTCAATTTTAAAAAACACTTTGGAATGCTCCATTGCCATGAAGGTGATACACAAGTACAACTCTTTACTTCTAATGCTGTATAGAAAAGAAACAAAGTGAATTAAAAAGAAAGTGGAACCAGCCTTTTGTCAATCATTTCATTAAGTAGAATGGTTTTGAATCTCCAATCAGATGACATGAAGCCAATTGTAGCATACAACAGAAACTTGGCCAAGCCACTGAAGTGGATGGTGCATTGAACTCTATCTAAGTCTGTAGGAACAGCTTTCTCACCCGTCTCAATTGTGGCCCTCAAGTGGGCAATTCATCCTTACCGAATGGCCTCATTCCACTGCTATAGCATCCAATCAGCAACGAGCATGAGTATCACCACAGGGAAGACCCAAAAGATTTGCGGGGTTGCTGCCAAGTGCCATCCATTAGCCCTTGCTGCCCACTCCATTAGGGCACCTACCCCATTAAATCCCTATTCCATCACTTATCTGTGGCCTGGGATCCTTGGTAATCCTGGGTCTCCTATAGATGCAGTACTAATGGCAGCCACTACCTGTCTGGTAGCACTACTGAATATCGAGCAACTGCTCGCTTGTGATTCACTCAGTTCCTGGGGGAGATTTCTACCCCAGGACACTTAATCCCAGGAAAGGCCTGGCCTTGTGCAGTCAGCACATAATGGAGCAGACCTTCCTGAAAAGATATGACACAGGGCTTTTGCCCGTTCTCCACTGTCTTCATTACATTCTAGCCAGATTTCCCAGCACAGGTTTAAATTTATGGGTGACTCTCAACAGCCCTCTCCTTCCTGATGCCACATCCTTCAATCAGGCACTGAGTGTCTCTGAACTAGTGGCCCCCTAGCAGCCCCAGGCAGCACGCAAGCAATGCCCACAGGCTTTCTGGGCCTCCTGTATGGCAATGTTTGTGCCTGTTGCTGGATAAATACTAGCATGATGAGGCCATTATGAAGGGATCAATTGTTAACTTTAGAGCCACAATTGATGGTGGGTTGGGATCGCCATTGAAACAGCACAGGCTCTAACTCCATTATGCTGCCCCTGCTAATTCACTGTGTGATGATACTATGGCTTTAAGAGGTTTGTTTTTTTTTAAAAGAGAGGTTTTGAGCCATAAGTGCGGAGCTGTCAGACAAAGTCACCTGACAAAAACAGCAGTGCTCCGAAAGCTTGTGATTTCAAATAAACCTGTTGGACTATAACCTGGTGTTGTGTGATTTCTGACATTGTCCACCCCAGTCCAATACTGGCACCTCCACACCTTGCTTTTAAGTAAGATAAAAGTTAGGGTCTAGACCCTTTCTCCTTGATATATCAGCACAGGTTTAGTCTGGTCCATAACAACTCAATTTGTAGACTTTGAAGAAAACACTGGAGAGGCAGAAAAAAGAGACATTTCCAAAGCTCACTTAGAATCCTAAATAAAGAAGCCATCGATTCCATTGTACTGGTGCTAGTTCTGCAATACCTTTTAGACCATGGTACTAGCACTCTTCCACAGTGGGCTTTTCTTTGCCCAACTTCTGTTCATCCGATATCTCATTTGCTGGTTGTATCCTGATTTTGCAGTACACAGAAATATATGGACAGCTAAACTGTGCTCTATAATTATTGTCAAGTCAGTCCTCTCTCTGCAGGACTGAATCAATAATATCTGATCAGAATAACAAAATTGCAATCACATAATTTCTAGCAAATATTTCAGATGATATGATGGAATAGAAAACTGCATGGAACTTAGCAATAAAGTATCTGCTGTTTGGCTTTAAAAAATAGAAACCTAGATGTAGTTTGAGGTTTACAGTGCAGAACAGCACAAATAAGTGAGGGGAAGACTGATACAAATCAGCAAGAAATGGTTATGGCAAACTGGTCAATTTCTCCAATTCATGTCAACGAGCAAAATTTAGTTTTCTTGATGCTGTAACTTGTTGTTGCTTTGATCGTTCTAACACTTCATAATAAAAAGCCAAAGTTTTGGCAAGAAAAAAAAATCTACGCGATCAGTAAGCAAGACTTCAGGTAAACAAAAACTTGGCAAAACAAAGTCCAAAGTGGAAAGAGTACAGTTATTATTCTTCTTTTAAAAAAAGACTGAATGCATATCACTGAATTTACTTGACAGTTCTAGTTTCAGGGCTAGCACCAGTACAATGGAATTGATGGAAGCTTTGAGCTTTTAATTCTAGTTAAAGAAATTCATTGATGTTCATTTCTAGCCTAATCAAGGTTTACAATTAAATTTCTTAGTAGTTTGAAACATGTTTTGAGTAGTCAAACCCATCTACACACTTTACACCTAACACATTTCACATCTGCAATAAGGCTATACATCACCTGTACTGAATCGGAGAACATTATATTCAAGTACTTTGCTGTCATCTATGATATTCACCACAGTGGGACAGACCATTCACTCTGACTGGTATATAATCAGTATTTATGCCTCACATGAGCCCATCCCAGTGTATTCCATCTCACCCGAGCAGCATACCATTTTGTTCCTCCCCACAACCACACCTCAAATGTTTATTCAGCTTCCCCTTAAATACACATATGGTCTTCACCTCAACTACTGCAGACAGAGGACAGTTCCAAATTCTCACCATTCCTTGGGTGAAGGTGTTTTTGCTGAATTCCTGACAGGATTTATTGGCAACACTTTTAGAACTATGACCCTTTTTCCTGTTAATTCAGCCTACACACGGAGTCCTCACCTGAAAACATGCAGCCAAAACACTCAACACGGGGGCACCGCGTCGCACCGCTTCACTCAACAGATAACGCCAAGGCTTTGGTTTCTCCTGGCACCAATACAGAACTTGAAAAAGATCCACTGGAGATTCATCTTTCTTGTCGGTTTCTCGCTTGGTTACAGAACAACTTACAGGATTTACTTGTGCAACAAACTGCAAGTTCTGAAAAGCTAGTGTCAGGTGATCTTGAAGAACAGGACTGAAGTCTTTTAATAGTGCCTTCACCTATTGAAAAGTATCAGATGGCAACATAAAGGCAAACGGTTATTAAAAACCTAAAACAGAGATAGCTGGACTGCTCACTAACAATTCAAGGTGCTTAATGCCTATAATAAAAATTAAGTGAGGACCTATGTATAATGAAACAAACAGACCCCCATTGCCTTCTGACAAAAATAAGACCAGAAGTTATATTTTTGAAATGCAGGTGAGATTAATCTGGTGTCACATGGCTTATGGAAAATAATGCAGCGTTTTGTGTTATACTGAGTCTATACCAGGACGAACTGTAAAATTTGCTAAAAGTCAAGGGAGCTGTAGGAAACATCCCCATCATAAGAAATTGTGCTGAGAATTTCTGAACACCAAGCACACTTCTATTTCTAACCAGCTGCTCACACATTTGAAAAACAGTCCTGTGGAAAATACTAACTTTTATTGGGGAACAATTCCATAGGTGTCGGGTGACCTTCAAGATTTCATCCAGATGTCCAGCTTTCACACTTTTAAGCTTAGCAAGTGCAATAGTAATTACTTATATTGCCACCAAATCTGTTAGCTCACGGTCACCACTCCTGATTTCAGCTTTTGATTCCAGTTTTATTGAACTGAAAGAATGTAAATTCCCCAGCCTGCTGTTGTACGATTTAAGGTGACATTTCTGGATTATTGGTCCAAGTCTCCGGGGAAAAAAATATCCAGGAAAACAACTGCTCTGTTATCATACTAGTAACTTGTGTTGTTCTGAAGAGTCCTGGACACTCTAGAATAATGAAGAATTGTTGGCAATCTTACTACCTAGACAAAAAATGAATCTATCATAATCTTATTTTTGATAATAATAACATGAAGATGCATGTAGATGTTTGAAGCAGTATCGTATGGGAACAGAATTACCTGCATGTATTTCAGAAATTTCAATGGTTGCGTGTTAACTTAGAGACTTCACAATTCCATCAAGACAGTTACCCTCCAAGTTTCTGGAAAATTTCATTGCCAACTAATTCCTGGCTTGTGAACCTCAAAATGTCAGTGGAGATATGATTAATTTCAAATCAGCTTTTACTGAAAGGCCTACTAGAGCACAGTTAAGCTTCCAAAAAAACAAACTTGGTAGGGTTTTGGATTTCAAGCTTATCTGGACTAGCAACTGGGGACAAAATGAAACGAATTCTAAGCCTCTGCTAGTACCACATTTTGAGTTTCCATTAGTGGTGGCTACTTTTTCCAGAAGGAAGAAAGGGAACGAGAGGTACTAACAAAGAAAAAAATAAAAACACTCAAATCTATTTCAGGGGAAAACAAGGTGCAGAGCTGGATGAACACAGCAGGCCAAGCAGCATCATAGGAGCAGAAAGGCTGACATTTCAGGCCTAGACCCTTCATCAGAAATGGGGGACGGGAAGGGGGTTCTGAAATAAATAGGGAGAGAAGGGGAGGCGGATAGAAGATGGATAGAGGAGAAGATAGGTGGAGAGGAAACAGACAGGTCAAAGAGGCGGGGATGGAGCCAGTAAAGGTGAGTGTAGGTGGGGAGTTAGGGAGGGGATAGGTTAGTCCAGGGAGGATGGACAGGTCAAGGGGGCAGGATGAGGTTAGTAGGTAGGAGATGGAGGTGCGGCTTGAGGTGGGAGGGGGGGGATAGGTGGGAGGAAGGACAGGTTAGGGAGGCGGGGACGAGCTGGGCTGGTTTTGGGATGCGGTAGCGGGAGGGGAGATTTTGAAACTTGTGAAATCCACATTGATACCATTGGGCTGCAGGGTTCCCAAGTGGAATAGGAGTTGCTGTTCCTGCAACCTTCGGGTGGCATCGTTGTGGCACTGCAGGAGGCCCAGGATGGACATGTTGTCTGAGGAATGGGAGGGGGGAGTTGAAATGGTTTGCGACTGGGAGGTACAGTTGTTTATTGCGAACCGAGCGTAGGTGTTCTGCAAAGCGGTCCCCGAGTCTCCGCTTGGTTTCCCCGATGTAGAGGAGGCCACAACGGGTACAGCGGATGCAGTATACCACATTAGCAGATGTGCAGATGAACATCTGCTTGATGTGGAAAGTCTTCTTGGGGCCTGGGATGGGGGTGAGGGAGGAGGTATGGGGACAGGTATAGCACTTCCTGCGGTTGCAGGGAAAAGTGCCGGTGTGGTGGGGCTGGAGGGGAGTGTGGAGCGGACAAGGGAGTCACGGAGAGAGAGTGGTCCCTCCGAAACGCAGATAAGGGTGGGGAGGGAAAGATGTCTTTGGTGGTGGGGTCGGATTGCAGATGGCGGAAGTGTCGGAGGATGATGCGTTGGATCCGGAGGTTGGTGGGGTGGTATGTGAGGACGAGGGGGGATTCTTTTTTGATTCTTATTGCAGGGACGGGGTGTGAGGGATGAGTTGCGGGAAATGTGGGAGACACGGTCGAGGGCATTCTCAACCACTGAGGGGTGGGGGGGCATGTTGCGGTCCTTGAAAAACGAGGACAACTGAGATGTACGGGAGTGGAATGCCTCATCCTGGGAGCAGATGCGGCGGAGGCGAAGGAATTGGCAATAGGGGATGGCATTTTTGCAGGAAGGTGGGTGGGAGGAGGTGTATTTTATGTAGCTGTGGGAGTCGGTGGGCTTGAAATGGATATCGGTTTCTAGGTGGTTGCCCAAGATGGAGACAGAGAGGTCCAGGAAGGAGAGAGAGGTGTTACAGATAGTCCAGGTGAACTTAAGGTTGGGGTGGAAGGTGTTGGTGAAGTGGATGAACTGTTCGAGCTCCTCATGGGAGCACGAGGCGGCGCCGATACAGTCATCAATGTAACGGAGGAAGAGGTGGGGTTTAGGGCCGGTGTAGGTACGAAAGAGGGATTGTCCCACGTAACCTACAAAGAGGCAGGCGTAGCTTGGGCCCATGCGGGTACCCATGGCCACCCCCTTTGTCTGTCGGAAGTGGGAGGAATTGAAAGAGAAGTTATTGAGGGCGAGGACGAGTTCGGCTAAGCGGATGAGGGTGTCAGTGGAGGGGGACTGGTCGGGCCTGCGGGACAGGAAGAAGCGGAGGGCCTCCAGCATCTGCAGTTCCTACCATCTCTATTTCAGGGGAAGTTTGCTGTAACAGAAGAACAAAAAAGAAAGAAGTAAACTGTGATTAATTGTTATGAACTTGTTACCTTATCTGGCTGGTAGTTGTGAAGCTGAGCAAAGATCACAAACTGCAGCCATTCATCCTCTCGGGCACATTCCTGGAGGTAGGCCAAGCTGAGGGAAATGCCATGAAGCTTACAGAATTGCGGCACCAGTGACCACTCCTGACCAGCTTCAAAAGATGCCCTATGAATAAATTCAATGTGATAACTAAATCATGTGAAGCTGCACCCCCAAAAAAATACAAATCCTCGTAAATGTTGTATTTTTTCTTAGATAACACACAGTGTGGAGCTGGAGGAACACAGCCGGCCAGGCAGCATCAGAGGAGCAGGAAAGTTGATATTTCGGGTCAGGCTACCCGTTGTATATTTTCTTACCTGTTTATATTCCTGTTTAAGTTCTCCCAAGTGGCATTTTCTAAATGGGTCAGCAACTCCTCTGCTGACGATCCATTAAATTCAATCAAGTTCTGAAGTTTCTCAGCTGAGGAAGACACAAAGAAGCAGAGACCTCATTTTAAATGTGACACCATACTGACTAATGGGACATGAACTTTGTTTCAATAACAAATAGTGAAGTTTGAAAACAAAAAGAAATCACATGATATGATAAAGTTCTAACAAGCAGGACATTATGAAAGCAACAAAGTATTCATGAAATATCCATAAGACCATAAAAATTAGGAGCATAATTAGGTCATTCAACCCATTTGAGTCTGCTCCCTCTTTCAATCATGGCTGATGGATTTCCCAACTCCATTCTCTTGCCTTCTTTCCATAACTCTTGATCCCCTTACTAATCAATAGCCTAATGATCTGTCTTAATGGCTTGGCCTCCACAGCCTTCTGCAACAATGAGTTCCACAAATTAACCATCCTCTGCCTGAAGAAATTCCTCCTCATCTCAGTTCCAAAGGATTGTCCCTTCACTCTAAGGCTGTGCCCTTCGTCTCACTTACTAATGGAAGCACCTTCTCCATATCTACTCTATCCAGGCCTCTCAGTACCTTAAGTTTCAATGAGACTCCCCCACCCATCCTTCTAAACTCCAACGAGTACAGACCCAGTGTCCTCAACTGGTCCTTATGACAAGCCCTTCATCCCTGGGATCATTCGTCTAAACTTTGTCTCAAAACCCCCTCTAACATAAGCACATCCTTCCTTAGATATGGGGCTCAAAAACTGCTCACAATATTCCAAATATAGTCTGACTAGAGCTTTACCGACCTTCAGCAGTACATCTCTGCTCTTGTATTCTAACCCTCTTGAAATGAATGCGAATATTGCATTTGCTTTCCTAACTGCCAACTGAATCTGCACGTTAACCTTAACAGAATCCTAAACAAGGAATCCCAAGTCCCTTTGTGGTTCAGATTTCCGAAGCCTTTCTTGGTTTAGAAAATTGTCTACATCTCCACTATTACCAAAGTGCATAACCTCAAACTTTCCCACATTATATCTCAAATGCCTCTTTTTTGCTTCCCCGCTTCCTCAACACTACTTGTCCCTCCACCTATGTGTCATCTGCAAACTTTGCAACAATGCTCTCAGTTCCTTCATCCAGATTGTTAATGTAAAAAGGTGAATTGTTACAGTCCCAACACGGACCCCTACGGAACTCCTGAAAAAGATCCGTTTATTCCCCACACTCTGCTTTCTGCCAGGTCAGCCAATCCTCTATCGATGCCAGCAGCTTGCCTCTGACACTATGGGCTCTTATCTTATTTAGTGGCATCCTGTGTGCCACCTTGTCAAAGGACTTCTGGAAATCCAAACAGATCACATCCACTGGCTCTCCTTTGTCTAACTTAATCATTACCGCCTAAAGAACTCTAATAGATTTGTCAGGTATTACCTCCCCTTAACTAGGCCAAGCTGACCCAGTCCTGTTTTACCATACACTTCCAAGTACTCTGCAACTTCGTCCTAATTATGGACTCTAAAATCTTATCAACAACTGAGGTCAGACTAACCAGCCTCTAGTTTCCAGTCTTCTGCCTCCCGCCGTTCTTAAACAGGAGGGTTACATTAGCCATTTTCCAGTCCTCTGGGGCCCTCCCTAGATCCAGGTGATTCCTGAAAGATCACCACCAATGCTTCTACAGTCTCCTCATCTACCTCCTTCAGGACTCTGCGACGTAGTCCATCTGGTCCACGTGATTTATCCACCTTCAGACCTTTCACCTTACCCAGCAAGAACTTCTTGACAGTCAACACATTTATCTCTGCCCCTCGACTCAGTTCCGTTATGCTGCTGGTGTCTTCCATCATGAAAGCTGATGCAAAGTACCTAATCAGTTCGTCTACCATCTCTTTGCTCCCCATTACCACTTCACATCTCCAAGACGACAGCTGCCGGGGCTTGTCCACTCCCATCTTGCCCGGGGCTCATCCACTCCCATCTGCTTTCTTTCTTTTCATCCTTTTTACTTCTGTTCTTTTTATTTCATTCTTTTATTTCGTTTTTCTTTGCTTTGGCTGGCTGGTCAGCAGCACTGGCATGGCAGTGAGAGCAAACGCTGATGGCAGCCGAGGACATGGCACCTCCTGGTGGTTGGAGGCAGCGGCAGTAAGGATGTCTTTGTTCAGGGCTGGCAGCGTCAGAACTCCTCCAGTGGTCAGAGGCAACGGCAGCAAATTCTGCAAGGTGGTAGTGCCAGCCAGACAACATCTCAGAGGAGGACAGCTGGAGTGGGACTCTTGGCATAGCGGCAGCCTGTCCTGGCAGTGCAGCCAGGGGACTCCTGGCTGCAGTATGCCCAGAGCAGGATCTCCTGGTGTGATCAAGACAGGAGCAGAGCCGGGGGACTCCTGGTTGCGGGGCAAGTGTGGGTTCAGCTCGGGAGTCGGCAACGACAAGGTGTGACCAGTGACAAAGAGGTGGCACTTAATGAGTAGTGATTCGTACAATGGTGGGTCTGACGCAGACAGTGGCGAGGCAGTGGAGGAGGGGTGGAGGTGCAAGTGTTGTGTCGCTGGTGGGCTGGTTCACACCTCATGGCAGAGGCAGCAGAACAAAGACAGACTCTCTTTCAGTTATATCTTTTTACTCTTTTTATTCTTAAGCTGTGCAAAATGGTACTGGATTGTGGCGATAGTTGAAGCTTCTCACTGTATTTTACTGCATTATTCACTGTAAAATACAAGTGACAATAAATCATTCAATTCAATTCTCCAACCTCATTTTTCCAGTGGTCCAATGTCCACTTTTTCCTCTCTCTTACCCCTCTCGCAATTTTCTTTTGTAATACTGGCTAGCTTACTTTCATATTTTATCTTCTCCTTTCTTGTTGCTTTTTTTTTTGAAAAATGTTATCCTCTGTTGGTTTTTAAAGGTTTCCCAGTCCTCTGGCTTCCCACTAATCTTCATCACATTGTATGCTTTTTCTTTTCCTTTCATGCTGTTCTGCCTTCCCTGGTCAGCCATGTTTCTTTTTTCCTCAGGATGAATTTCTCTTGTTCAGCCTAAATTACACACAGGAACTCCGACCATTGCTGCTCCTCTGTCTTCACAGCACTTCGGGTCCCGGTTCGATTCCATCCTCGGGCAACATTCTCCCCGTGTCTGCGTGGATTTTCTCTAGGTGCTCTGGTTTCCTCCCACAGGTCAAAGACGGGTAGGTTAAGTGGATTGGCCATGCTAAATTGCCCCATAGTGTCCAGGGATTTGCAGGTTAGGTGGATTAACAATGGGGAATGCAGGGTTACAGCACTAGGGTGGGGGATGGATCTGGGTGGATGCTCTTCAAAGAGTCGATGTGGAACCGATGGGCCAAAATGGCCTGCTTCCACATTCTAGGGATTCTATGACTCCTTTTCTTGAGATCTGCTGTCAACCTGATTTTACCAGTCCACTTATACAATAATCATGGGGAGCCTCAATATAAAAAGGTGCTTTTCTTACATTCCTTTTCTATCTCCTGAAATATTTTCTTCCCCACATCCTTACTATTGTTAGGAGGCCTGTACATAACTCCCGTCAGGGTGCTTTCTCCTTTGGCGGTTCCTCAACTCTACCCACACAGATTTACATCTGACTCCATGTCACTTCTCGCTATCGATTTAATTTCATTTCTTCCTAACAAGGGAACCCTGCCTTCTCTGTCCATCTCCTTGTCCTTTTGATAGGATGCCTATCCTTGGGTATTTACTTCCCAGCCCTGATCCCCTAGCAGCCATGTCTGAGATGCCCACAATGTTGTGCCTTCCAATTTCAATCTGCGCAACAAGCTCATTTACCTTTTTTTGTATACAGCATGCACTTACATACAACACCCTCAGTCCTGCATTGACTGCCCCGGTCTCATAGCTGTCCCCTTGTCTGCTATGCCTGAAGTTAGATTGCTGAACATTTTCATACTCTGTCCTATTTCTTGTTCTGAAGACTTTAATAACCTCCTTCTGGCCCTCCCTCACTAACTCTTTCCACAATTTTCAGTGCAGCTGACCCTCCCCAAGCCCTATCCTTGATTAGATGGCTACAATAAAATAAACTAATGTAAAACTGAAAGTGTAAAAGTAGTGCCTCTGAACTAATATGAAGATAAGAGACTCTTTCTTGCAGCTGTTCTAACTACTGCTATTATTTTATTGTTGCAGTTCATCAGTTTGCTCTCCAAACTGCCTACTGCTTAAACTAATACCTCATTTCTGTTCCCAATCCAAGCACTGCCAGAGTTCTGTCTGGTGAGAGATAAATTGTCATACTCGATAAGTCTCCTTCAGCAGCACCTTGCAAACTCTCAACCTCTCCCACTCGGGAGAATGGGGGCAACGGGGGCATGGGAACACCACCATCTGCAAGTTCCATCCAAGTCACACATTATCCTGATTTAGAAATATATCAGATTCCCTTCACCATCAGAGTCACAATCCTGGAACTTCCTACTTAATGCCATCGTGGATGTACCTCCATCACATGGGCAGCAGTGGTTCAAGACAACAGGTAACAACCACCTTTTTGGGAATAATTAGGGATGGGCAACAAATACCGGCTGCTCCGACAATGGACAATCCATGAACAAGTGAAAAAGGAACGCAAATCAAGAGGTCACCACCAGAGGTATTTTTTTGTGGAGTGAGATGGGACACAGAGGGGTGCAAAGTACTTGGCTGGTGACAATCCTTCCCCTTCCAATAGGAAAGCCAGGGACAGCTGACACATCTGAACAAGTCAGCCCCACAGGCCTAAACCTGGACAGTGTGGAACTTTCGCCTTTTAGTGAAAAGGTAGTCACTGGTGAGACTATCAGTCCCAGCACAGCCTAAGCCTCAGAAGTGGGTACTACTGGGATTAGGAGGAGGAGGAGGAGGAGAAGGAGGAGGGAGCAGCAACAGCAATGGCTGCCTGAACTGAGGGAGGAGAGTGGGCAAATGACATCTTGGCAGCAATGCATAATGTACCTAGAGAATCCAATGAATTGAACCCCACTCTCCCATCTATGTTCAGTGTCCAAATCTTGCACTATTCACCTGCAAGGGTCTATAGCTTGGTAAAAAGTAACAAGTGTAGTTTAAAAATAAGAAGTGCTGAAGTGTAGTTTCATCCTGGGCATGACAACATCACAAGGACAAAAATCATCTTAATTCCAATAGCCCAAAGAACAACATGTCCAGTTGAAAGACACATGCCTTAAGGACATATCAAGAGATAAATCTAAATTCAAACAAGGTAAAACCTAAATGTCGGTCCATTATATTAATAAGTCAAATTTGTCTACAAACGTCACATCCATTTCAATTGTGACCATAATGTACTGCAATACTTACTTTAACCTGATGCCTAAAAGTGGAATTGTACATCACAAGAAAACACTAATTACCCAAGGTGTCTCGTAACAGACTGTGTTGAGTCTCCTCTGCATTTGTGCGCCAATGTTTCAAAATGGCATCTGCAACTTTAAGATCAATTCTCAGTTTAAAGCTGGAAACACCAAGTAATTCAAGAAAGGCAACACAGGCGGCAGCAACAGCGGGTACGGTGAAGTGAGCTAACCCCACAGCATATGCCTCAACGCTTGCTTGTTGTATCCTAAAACAGATGAGAGGAACATAAGAAATTTTCAAATGGAGAAAGAGTCTGTTCACAGAATATTAAACAATTACTACCTAGCTTGAATTACAAAAATAGCTAATTCCATGAATTGTGTTCAGCAGTGAAAACTGCAAATGTTCATAATTGTATTTAATAAATCTTTAAATGCACTAATATATAGAAAATTTAAAAAAATAGACATTTTACACCAAAAATATCTTACTTGCTAGAAAATTATTTTGCACAGCACAGATCAGCAGGGGAGCAATATTTTTTTTAAAATCCTAAATTGCATTTTTGGTTATCTGAAAGAAGAAACAGACTATAAGACCATAACACATGGGAGCAGAATTAGGTCATTCGGCCCATCAAGTCTGCTCCACCATTCAATCATGGCTGATGTTTCTCAATCCTGTTTCTCTGCCTTTTCCTGTAATCTCTGATCCCCTTACTGATCAAGAACCTATCTCTGTCTTAAATACACTCAATGGCTTTGCTTCCACAGCCCTCTGTGGCATTGAGTTCCAGTGGCATTGTTATAATGTCACAGGGCTATCTCATTAAAATCCTATTATGGGAGGAGGGCAGTAACTCTAATTGCCCTTGACTGAGTTGCTTGCTAGACCATTTCAGAACACAGTTAAGAGTTGCCCGCAGTGCTGGAGTCACAGTTAGACAAGACCAGGCAGGACAAAAGATTTCCTTCTGCACCAGATAGGTTTCAAAGCCCCATTACTAGGACTATCTTTTAAATTCTGTACTTCCTTTTAATCAATTGAATTTAAATTCCAACAGCTGTCCTATTGGGATTTGAACTCATCACCCCCAGGCATTAGTCTAGGATCCTGGATTACTGGTCCACTGCCCAAACGTCTCCCTCTGAAAGCCCATACCACTGCCCAGGGAAGAGGGTACAAATCCAATATGGCAGCTGGTGGAATTTAATTAAATCAGGAATCAAAGGCCGGTCTCAGTAATGGTGCCATGAAACTATCAATGGTCATAAAAACTCATCTAGTTCATTAATATCAGGGAAGGGTATCTGCCATCCTTACCTGGTCAGGCCTGCTTCTGACTCCTCAGCAACATGGTTAGCTCTTAACTGCCGTCTGAAATGGCCCAGCAAAACTTGCAGTTGTGCCAAACCAGTCTTACTTAGTAGGTACCTACACCAGATGGACTGCCATAGTTCATAGCAATTAGGGACGGATAAATGTTGAGCTTGCTGGTGACATTCACATCCCATGAAGGGATAATTCTTTTAAAACTTAAAATAAACCTAAGGAGATAGCCTTGATGAACAATAACACCCTCTGGTAAACAGAAGCAGCTGGATTGGGTACTGGAGAGTTTTGAGAATTAAAACCACAAATTGAAGATGGAACGTATATACCAACGTTAGCTGTTGTCACATTTGTATCTTTCCCCCTCTTCTCGTCATTTTATATTGAACCTTTCATGGCTTCAAGATGTCTAACCAATTAAATAATTTGTGTATTGAGGCAAGGTAGCAGCCAAGCTACACACAGCAAGAACAAAAGCCACAGCATCGTGATAGTGGTCAGATGGTAAGTTGCAGTGAAACACAAAGTGAGGGTGTGTAGGACAGAAGACCATTCGGTGCATCATGCCTATGCAGTACTTTGAAAGATCTTTCCAATTCATCCCACTCCCTTAACACTGCAACTTTCCTATCGTCCAGAAAATTTTCTCTGTTCGAGTACTCACCAGATTCCCTTTTGCAAGCTATGGCTGAATCTCCTTTCACCACCATTTCAGACAGACAATATATTTAGAAAATGAGCAAAAGACTTGCATTTCTTTAGTGTCTTTCATGACCTGAGAATGACCGAAAGCCACTTTACACCTCCTCGCAAGTTTAAACTCAGAAGCAGCAGCAAAAAGGGAACAGCATTGCATAAGATTTCAATTATTCTCTTTGCTACCATACTCACAACTGCTTGAGCGAATTGCTCTTTGCGAGCTGTTGCACCAGAAAGGTTGCAAATGCATACGATGGCCGCCCATGACGCAAGTAGTACGAAAAATCTAGACGTTCAGTTATGGCATACTTATTCACCAGGTCAGGGCAAGAGAAATGAGGTAAATCATTTGATAGGTCTGTGGGAAGAATGCAGAAATGTTTCTTAGAAAATCCTGAATTTTTCTTATCTTGTGCAGAACACGATATTATTGGTGGACAAAGGAAAAACTAGATTTCATCACCCCTATCATTTCTTTCATGGAACTCACAAACTGCTCATCACAAAAGACCCATGCATGTTTGGCCAAGCATTTCAACTATGATTTCCACATTATATGTAAACTTTATAAAACGTTTTAATAAAGAAAAATGTCACAAGTGCCAGCATCTCCTTCATGGGGTCAAGATTACAATGTAGCATTAGAGGGGGTGCACCAAAAGGGCTGACTGGACTACTGTATAAGGAGGGATCGTGCAGGGTGGGCCTATATTCTTTGACACGGAGTCTTATCAAAACCTATCCACATCTTCAATGGCCTGGAGGGTAGATGCTGACATGCTGTTTCCTCTGCCCGAAGCGTGTGGGTCATAGATGCAGAATTAGGGACCAGCCATTTACGACAACTGAGATCAGGAGCAATTGTGAATCTTTGAAATTCCCTACTCCAGAAGGTAACTGAGTAAAATATTAGGCATGCAGGAATTTAAGGCTTACTGGGACAGGATATGAAATTTGAGCTGATGGCAAAGATCTGTCATAATCTTATTTAATAACATAGTAAGCTCAAGGGGCCAAATAGCCTACTTCCTCTGCTAGTTCTTATCTTGCCAAGCTTTCAGAAGCCAAAATTGGTTAATTCTCAAATTTGAGATTGAGCTTCTGGAACTGATAAAGCAACAGCAAGAAACTTTTGCAATTTCTGCTTTTCTAAAATCTAAGTCAAAAGCATATTTAGTAGCATGTTTCAGATACATTTTTCTCATTAATCTACAGCAGTTTAAATGTTCCTTCTTTTAAAAGGAAAGGGATAAAAATGATTTTATCTACATTTTTGCAGCCCTCAGTTATAAAGCAAACAGCAAAAACAGTGGAAAGCAGGAGCTACAGTTCAAATCTGTTCTTCATTAGATAAAAGAGCTAAGATTTATGACATTTTTATTAAATGGAGAGGGGCAGGAAGTCCTGGAGCTTGAAACCACACTAATTTCATGTAGCTTTCTCAATGCACAAGCGGGCTTGGCTTTTGCACAATTGCAGAGCGCAAAATAAGACATATAGACTCAACGCATCCAGTTTACTTAGGGACATTAACCTTGAAAATTTTATTCATTTTTTTAAACCACCCTTTTTTTTCATTTTATAAACTTTTATTCAACGATTGATCTATAATTTTCTTTACTTTTTAATCTTCATTTTCAAATCGTTCCGTTGCCTCATCTCTTCCACCTCAATTGTCAGAGATATCAGCGTTCCTCTAGTTCTGGCATCACGTACTCCTGAACCTGAATTGCTCCAGGTTGTGCCTTCAGTTACCTCAGCCCCAAGATCATGTTTCTCCACCTCTCTACTTTATTCTTTTAATAGTCTTCTTAAAACCTACCTCTTTGATCAAGTTTTCAGCCATCTGACCTAATGTTTCCTTATACAACCCAATGTGTGGCTTGGAAATGATACTTTGTTCAAAACACTCCTGTAAAGTGCCTTGGGATGTTTCATTTTGTGAAAAAGTACTATAAAATTAGTTGCTGTTGCCTCAGCTTTTGCCACTGTTTTCTATGTCAAATCAGCTAAGGTACCACAAACCATCAATATTTTTTTTAAAAAAGGCTGCTGTTAGTAAGAGCTAAAGTAAACTAATTATGTTATTTTGCCTGTAAATTTAGATGAAAGTACACTACAAATTTGACCTTTGATACAACTGAGGAAAACTAATAAAGAGACGACAGACATTCTCTAGAAGCTTTTTGTCTAGTATTCATCAGGACAAATGTAAGATATACCAAATTTCAGAAGAAACAACACTTTATAAACAAACACAGGAGAAGAGGATGCTGATGCATTGACAAGGAGTCTCTGCCAGAAGAGAAATTACTGAAGTGACTTGAATTATTGCAAAGTTGTGATGTGTAATGTGGAAAATATACTTGGTTTGAACTATTATTTAGAGTCAGAGTCATACAGCATGGTAACAGACCCCTTGGTCCAACTATTCCATGCCAACCATGCTCCCAAACTAGTCCCATCTGCCTGCGTCTGGTCCATATCCCTCCAAACCTTTCCTATTCATGTACTTATCCAAATATCTTTTAAAAGTTCTAACTGTGCTTGCATCCACCACTTCCTCTGGCAGTTCATTCCAAACACAAACCACTGTAAAAAATGTTGTCCCTCATTTCCTTTTTAAAACTTTCTCCTCTCACCTGAAATAAGTCCTCTAGTTTTGAACTCCTCTGCCCTAAGGAAAAGACCCTCGCTACTCACCTTGTCTACACCTCTTATGATTTTATAAACCTTTATAAAAAGGTCAGTCCTCAACCTCCTACGCGCCACTAGAAAAAAATCCCAGCCTAAACAGCCTATTTTTATAACTCAAACCTTCCATACCTGACAATATCCTGGGAAATCTTTCCTGAAGCCTCTCCAAGTTTAATATCCTTCCTATAACACAGCGACCAGAACTGCACACAGTACTCCAGAACAGGCCTCACCAACGTCCTGTACAACTCCTACACTCGAAGCTCTGAGCAACGAAGACAAGAGTGCTGAATGCTTTAACCACCCTGTTTTCCTGTGATGCAAATTTCAAAGGATTATGTAGCTGACCCTGTAGGTTTCTCTGTTCTACAACACTATCCAGGGCACCACCATTAACTGAATAAGTCCTGCCGTTGATTGGTGCAGCAAAACGCAATACCTCACATTTATCCCAATTAAACTCCATCTGCTACTCCTCAGCCCATTGACTAAGTTGATCAAGATCTCTTTGTAATCTTAGATAACATTCTTCACTGTCCACTATACCACCAACTTTGGGGTCATCCTCAAACTTACTGACCATGCCTCCTATATTCCCATCCAAATCATTTACATAAATGACAAACAAAAGTCATAGGCCTCTAGTCCGAAAAACAATCCTCCACCATCACCCTGCCTCCTAACAAAGCCAATTTTGCACCCAGTTGGCAAGCCATCCCTGAATCCCATGTGATCTAACTTAACTAGTTAGTCTACCACGCGGTACCTTGTGGAAGGCTTTACTAAAGTCTATGTAAACAACATCGAACACTCTGCCCTCAATCCTTTTGGTTACTTCCTCCAAAAAAACTCAATCAAGTTTGTGAAACATAATTTCCCATGCACAAAACCATATTGACTGTCCCTAATCATTCCTCGTTTCTCCAAATGCACGTAAATCCTACCTTTCAGAATCACCTACAACTTACCCACCACCGATGTCATGCTCACAGGTCTATAGTTCCCAGGCTTCTCCTTACAGCCTTTCTTAAATAAAGGCACCACATTAGCCACCCTCCAGTCTTCTGGCACCTCACCCGTATGGTTACAAATGATACAGATATTTCTGCTAGGGGCCCTGCAATTTCTTTCCTAACTTTCCACAGCATCCTGGGATACACCACATCAGATCCCAGAGATTTATCCACCTTTATGTTTTCTAAGGCCTCCAGCACTTCCTCCAGTGTAGTGTGAGCTGTTTTCAAATCATCAATATTTATTTCACCGGAGTTCTCGAGCCTCCATTTCTTTCTTCATAATACAAGCTGACGCAAAATATTTATCTACTATCTCTCCCATCGTCTCGAGGTTCAACACACAGACCTTGATCATTAAGGGGTCCTATTCTCTCTCTAGTTGTTCTTAAATGTACTTGCAGAATTCTTTGGATTATCCTTAACCTTACTTGCCAAAGCTATTTATTTGTGCCTTGAGTGTTCTCATTTTAGCACTTCTTTTCTAAAGACAGAGTAATCTGTATTAGGTGCATTTATACAGCCCTAGTGGCACCCAGCACTTAATCCAACTGCTATACTTCATGTGTGAATTTAAATTATAGTTTGTTCAAGGGCTTATTAGAATGATCAGGTGTCAATATATGTGTTTGATGAATGATAATCTAGAAAGGACCTCAGATGAATTCTCAACCACCCACTCACACCACCTATTGGCTGAAATCAGCTATGACTTGTGTACTATGGTCAAACAACTCAACGTGTCACAACCAACAGCATATATTAACGGAGGCAAGAGAATCAAATAAATGTTTCATGAATGTCAACATGGTTATGATCATATGGTTCTACAATTGCAGTTTTTCAACTTACAGTAATGAAATAAAATATATTTGCCATGGTTCATCTTTTTTTAAATACTAGAGCAAAAGAAATGTTCAAATTCATTCCAAAGGCCTTTCAAAATAACAAACAAACAACAGTCTACCCTTTAAGTGATTAATTTGTCTTGTGATACCAGTCTATGGGTACAGCACTGGGCAGCCTCTGTGACCTTATCTTAATAGCCAAACTTTCTTGGCAGTTAGTATTTGCAAGTTATTCAATTGTGAGGCATCATTGCCAGGCTTGATTCTGTCCCTGATGAATGTTAACACCCATGCATAACTCCCAAATGCTGCTGCTAGCCAGCACAAATGTTCTTTTTTCCCTTTAGTAGAGGCAGCCGAGCCCAATTTCTGGGTCACATTGCAGGCTGACATTAGTTAACTCTGCACATTTTGGGTATTGACCTTCCAGTTCTGACTGGCTCAGCTAAACACAGCCTTTGCTTGGAGCCTTTGTTGTTCATCTTTAATATTTACATTCATGATTTGCACTGTAATATACTTTTGCATTCTCTGTTTAAACAAAATCTATAGTGATTGGAGCAACTCCTGGCTTAAAGTCAGACAGGGAAGACTCATTATCATGGTATGTCAAAGAACATTAATTTCCACTCATCAATGTGTCTTGGATAAGTAATGAGCTCAGCAGTTTAAAATGAGCAAAAAGGCATCCTAATAGCCTTGAAAGCTTTGCCAAGCTCCCTCACTTCCTTCCCTCCTACCTCCATCCATTACTCTGGTAACATTGTATTAATCTGAAAGGAACTTACCACAAGTGGAGAGCACATTGGCAGACTGCCAGCCAAACAGGCGTGATGGATCAAAGGGGTGCAATGACTGAAAAAGAGAGGAAAAGAAAAATCATGGACAATGAACACTGAAAAAAAGTACCCATCTGTAATCACTGAAAAGTGGGCACTGATATTCAATGCAGGTCTTGACCACTAATTTACTCACACAAGGATATGCTTGTTCCATAGTTAACACGTATATATGTTGTATAAATCTAACCTATTTAGAAGTTATTCATTCATGTTCAACTGAAAATGAAAATTAGAGCCTTTATACCCTGTACAGTGTTTCTCATTTCTGGATTTCTGATTATTGTTAAGCAGTTACATGTGTCTTCAAACCAAATGAACATTTTCCTTTGCTCGTGGTTCAAGTTTAAAAATCCTCAGTCAACATTATTTTATACCTTAAATAAATCCATTATAATGGCAGTGGTTCAGAAAGCCCGAGTTGGGAAAGGAACAAATGAAAAGGAATGGGTAGCATTCTGCACGACAAGAATGAGGTCAGAGAGTCAGAGATGTAAAACATAGAAACAGATCCTTCGGTCCAACTTGTCCATGCTGACCAGATATCCTAAATTAATCTCGTCCCATTTGCGAGCATTTGGCCCATATCCGTCTTAACCCTTCCTATTCATGTACCCATCTAGATGCCTTTTAAATGTTGTGATTGTACCAGCCTCCACCACTTCCCCTGGCAGCTTGTTCCATATATGCACCACCTTCTGCGTGAAAAAGTTGCCCCTTAGGTTCCTTCTAAATCTTTCCCCTCTCACCTTGAACCTATGCCCTCCAGCTTTGAACTCCCCTAACCTGGGAAAAAGACTTGGCTATTCACCCTATCCATGCCTCTCAATTTTACAAACCTCTATAAGGTCACTCCAGCTTATTGAACCTCTCCCTACTGTTCGAACCCTTCAATCCCAGCAATATCGTTGTAAACCTTTTCTGAACGCTTTCAAGTTTAACATCTTCCCTATAGCAGGGAGACCAGAACTGAATGCAGTATTCTATAAGTGCCTAACCAGTATCCTGTACAGCTGCAATATCATCACTTCCCAACGCCTATACTCAATGCAATGGCCAGTAAAGGCAAGCACAAAAATGGAAAAATAAATTAAAGCACTGTTCACCATCATAAACCTCTGACCTATGCTCAGATCTTTTACAATTAAATTTATGCTGCGTACATGCAGCACAACCTTTTTTTTGGATACTTGTTTCCTCAGGGATCCGTGCACAAGACAGACAGAATTGATTTTTTTTGCCAAGAGCCTCCCTCAGAGTATAGTCTTGAAAATCATCTCATTCAAAACTCAGAATACAGGCCTCACTACATCTTATGAGGAAGGAGGATAAATGTCAAACTTTAAGGCTTGAGGAAGGAGCTGAAGAAGCAGTTTCTATGTGATAAGTAGTGTTCTTTTGTTCCATATAGTATGATCTTATGATTTTCCTCAAAGATCCAAATATTTTATCAAATTTTGTATGTTTTTCCCTACATTTTTCCTTACAAGACTAATGTGAAGGAGTTCAGTTATGTTGCTGTGCCACTTGCTTGATTCTCTGGCACTCTAAATGAAGTTGATTTTTAAAATGCTGTGTAACTTTCCTTGCCAAAGTCTATATTTGATGCACCAGTCCTGTGCCCAGCAGTGCGTCACAAGAATTGGTGCTGGGTCCACTGCTTTTTGTCATTTGGATGTGAATATAGGAGATATGGTTAGCAAGTTTGCAAATAACACCAAAATAGGTCGTGTAGTGGAAAGTGGAGAAGGTTATCTCAGATTACAACGGGACCTTGATCAGATGGGCCAATGGGCCGAGGAGTGGCAGATGGAGTTTAATTTAGATAAATGTGAGGTGTCGCGATTTGGTAAGGCAAACCAGGGCAGGACTTATACAATTCATGATAGGACCCTGGGGTGTGTTGCCAAACAGAGACCTGGGGTGCATTTGCATAGTTCCTTCCTTAAAAGTAGAGTCACAGGTAGACAGGGTGGTGAAGGTGGTGCTTGGCACGCTTGCCTTCACTGGTCAGAACATTGAGTACAAGAGTTGTGATGTCATGTGGCAGGTCAAGTTAGACTGAAGGGTCTGTTTCCATGCTGTATTACTCTATGACTGTGCTTAGTCGTGTCATAATCACAATTCAAATATAAAACAAATATGTTTCCTTAGGCCAGTCATTTACTTCACAAATTAACTCAAGACTCCTTCAACAGCACCTTTCAATTCTGACCTCTACTAACTATAAAGGAGAAGACAACAGATGCATAGGAACACCACAACCTGCAAGTTCCCCTGAGTGACCATCCTGATTTGAATCTACATCATTTCTTCACTGTATGGAGTCAAAGTCCAGGAAATACCTTCCTAACAGCATTGCAGGAGTACCTACACCATAAGGACCTTAGGATTTCCAGAAGGTGGTTCATTACTAAACCTCACAAGCACAATTAAGGATGGGTAATAAGTGCTGCATTAACTGGTGACACCCACATTCCATGAACAAATGAAGGCCCATCTGTTTGGGCAACAATATTGAAACAGCACCAATTACAGATGCAATCATCCTTGATAACTTGATACAAAAATCTGACAAACTTCATCTTCAAATTCAAATAAAACTACATATTAATACATCCATGTGTTAAGTTTTAGACTCCACATACCTTTTTGCTACTTAAACATTCCATTTATTTGATTATGGGATCAAAAAATGCTTCCTGTTTATCATAATGCATGTGTGCATAAATGTTTCTTCACTGCTCACTGATTGTTAAATAGTTTGCTTTCACCTGAAGTCTGCAGTTCTAACCCTAGCCAAGAATGACATTTCCAATACATTGCAACTGAGGATATAACATTATGAACCTCGAAAAATTATCCTGCCCATTATCATGCCCTGAACACACTGTGGAACAGCAATATTAGTCATCCAGTTGACTTCATGCCAGTCAACTTAAATTCTCATCAGTTTCTTACATTCTTGTTGCAAATGTTCCTTTTGAAAAAAAAAATCACCCTTACCGAGATGGCACCATTGCACTTTATCCTCAGAAATGAAAAAGTAATCTTTGAAAATGAGTGAGCTTTTGAAATATTTTCAGTACTGCACAGGAACTGAAAGCCTGGATCATGCACTCAAGTCTTTGACTGGGCCTTGAACCCTTGACTTTCTGACTCAGAGACAAGAGTTTTCAACCGCTGAGCCACAGCTGACCCATAAACACTTGTGAAACAAGACACTCAGTTGAAAGGTACCTAGGGACAGGTAATAAATGCTGACCAGTCAGCAATGCCCACATCCCACCTGTGAATAAAACAATATTCTGATTGATACTTAATACACACATCATACTGAATGAAATGGCCCTGGCAGCGATCCCAGCAACTGACTGGAAAGTTGATACAATTCCACTGTGGCCATTTCAAGAAGTTGTGACAGAACTAAATGTCATTCACTGGCAATTCATTGACTGCCATCAGTGTTCCCATGCCTTTAAAAGGGAGGTAGATCCATTGTAATGTCATTGGACCAATAATCAAATAAATAATAAATAAACCAATAAACCAATAACCAAACAAATGTGCTGGAGTCATAATTGCTAATTTAATGGCGACCACATAATCACAGTTGATCGTTAAAAAAAGTACCCTTCTGGTTCACTATTGCACTTTAGGGAAGAAAATCTGCCATCCTTACCTTGTCTGGCCCGCGTGTAACTTCAGACACACAGCGATGTGGTTGATTCTTTCCTGCCCTCTGTAGTGGCCAGGCAAGTCATTTAGTTCAAGGGCCATTATGGGTGAACAATGAATGCAAGCTCTACCAGCAATGCCCACATCCCACAAATGAAATATAAAAAGAAATTGAGAACAGCATGCCTGCGAGAGCTGCTTACCAAGTGGACAGTGTGATGGTTGCTCCTGCAGTTACAGTTGGCTCTGGAGCAAAAGCCAAGAACAAGGCCTCAGATGACAAATGAGTAAGTCAGGTGATGGAGCAGGCGAATAAGGCAGACCCTGGCCAAAGGCTGTTGCAGTAGGAAATGGATAGCCCTTGCTGCAAGGCAGGCATTTCCGTGGGCCGTACCCAAATCTCAACTCCATATTAATATTATACTGTACACCATTGTACATTTAAATAAAAATCACATATAATGAACTCTAGATTAATCTTTAGAAGAGAAATCCAGTGTCATTACTTTAAAACAATAATGGCAATTAATGTATCACATAGTTCCACAAAAATCAAAGCCCTCATATTGTCACTCCAGCATGCATTTCTTCATGTGCAAGGCAGAATGATTAATATTGGCAGATTATTGTGGGGTTCAGTAAGTAAGAAGAGGGCTATAATAAAATTTGTATTAATTTTGCCTTTGCTAGGCATTTATTAAAATATATTTGTTTATGGGGTGTGGATATCACAAGCAACATCAACATTGATTATCCTTCCCTAACTGCCCTTGAGAAAGTGGGAGTGAACTTCCTTCTTGAATTATTGGCAAGCTGTGTAGTGAATTTTCTCCCAGTCGGTGGGGAGTTCCAAGATTTTGACCCAGCAACATTGAAGGAACAGGGATACACTTTCAATGTCAGTTGACATGGAAATGATGCTCCTTTACACCTGTCTACTTTCCAATTAAATATCACTGAACAGAGATTAAGGGCAGAAACACTTGAGTTTTTACTTCCAACCTAAGCAGTATTGAAGTCAAATACTATGCCCAAATTCTGCCTAGTTATAAAGTTTCTGCTTTGAAAATGTGCAAACCCTGAAAATATCTTCCTTTGAAGCGTACAGTTCTGCTATTGCCACTTCCACTACTTAAGACTGATGTCTGAGTAAATACTTGGGGCCAGGGCAATTTTAACTCTAAGTGAATGGGTTTTGAATGGATGAAAATTAACCCATAATGTACTGATTTCTAATCAAATTAATAAATAATCAAGTACTAAAAAAATTAGATTAGATAAGTTTCCAAAGCAGTTTTGTTGAAAACTATACACTTATTAGGTCAGTTGTCTTGAATTTAAACAAGGAAATGAATGATGAATTACAGCCATTAATATGCTACCTGCACACATATCTGATTACACAAAATACCATGGGTTACAACGTTATTTCATTTTAATCTCAACAGAATCCACTAATTAAGAACAGCAAATTAGCTCCAAAAAAAGTTGTGAACTGATTCAAACAAACCATGCAGACACAGATCAATAGCTCCTGTTAGCTGCGATTCATAGATTACATTTCATGGTCTTTTAACTTTAGGTTATGGCAAACACAAGGATGGATCAAGTCAGTCTGTTTTATATCATCTCTAAGGAGTACACCACCTGGTACAAGCTCATTCATCAGGTGGATACAATCGTACACTCAAGAATCAAGCATGCACAAAGGAAAAATGGAGGGTCGAGACAAAAGACAAACATAGCACATGATCTTCATCATGGTTACACAACAAAACCCTCCCCTTCACCCCAAGAAAAACACACAAAATGCAACCGTGTTTCAAAACCTTCTTAGAAATCAGAAAAACCCAATCCATCAATAAACGATTCACCATGAATACCTGCAAGAGATGATACAGAGAGATGTCCAACGGTGGAATGCCAGAAGGAGTGAGCTGTGGAAAAAGAGCAGTGCGCAACTTGGGATAAGGAGACAGTGCCATCTTCAGCAACTGAGAGTCTACTTTCCAGAGAGAATCACTAACATCTTTTCCTTCCCGCATTACCTAAAGAAACCAGAGATAAAGATTTTTCTTTATAATAAAAACAAAATACTGCAGATATTGGAAATTTTCAGCATGACAGGTGGTACATGTGGAGGGTGAAAATGTTCTAACATTTCAGGAAGAAAGGTGATTTACAGTGGGCAGTGAATGGAGTAACTTTTGAGCATAACGATGGCAACTAGTGGATAACTTTCAAACACCTAAGTTTAATGGCCTCGTTCGGAATCATATAATTTGAAGATTCCAGCTGTTTCCTATATTGTGTGATTGAAAGATTGGTGATTTGTGATACATGGCAGAGTACTGCAAATATCAGAACATAATTTCAAACTCTAAAGTGAAATGAGATACAATAGGCCATGTTACCACAGATTCTGCAACATGAGTTCCAGGAAAGCAAATGTTCTTAAAATAATAACAATCATAAAATAGCAAAAAAAAAAAAAAAAAAGAGACCTTTGGCTACAAGAAACTCAAGTGCCTCCATTCTAACTTCAATACTAGAAGCAAAAAAAAAAAATACAGCAGCCAAGGGTAAAGGTTTGGTTCATTTCAACTCACCTGATCAATTCCTCCAGGAGCAAACATAATAGTGGCTAATGCCATCAGAGTGTGTCCCTCTAGCAGCATGCTGCTGACACTGGCTTGATTGCTGGGAATCAGCATTTGAGCATTGGCTAGACTCGCTTGGAATGTCACAGATGTGTCTACAAAAGGACAGAACGAAGATCGATGTGGCCAAGACTGAAATATGAAGCATCTCCTCAAGCGTGGATGAAGTACACAATGTCATGTAACATATAATATCAAACTAACTGGGTCAGGAAGTGAGATAATAAGACATAGAAGAAGTAGGCTATTTAGCCCATTGAGTCTGCTCCGCCATTCAAAAAGATCATGGCTGATCTGATAATCCTCAACTTCACTTTGCTTCCTTTTCCTTCGATTCTTTAATTGATTACAAATTTGTCTATTTCAGACTTGAAAATACTTATGATCAATCCTGCACAGCCCTTTACAATAAAAAAAGTCCCAGATTTTTGGCCCATTAAGAGAAAAAAAATTCCTTCTCATCTCGATCTTAAATGTGTGACCCCCTTTTCTGAGATGATGCCCTCTGGTCCTAGACTCTCCTATAAAAGGGAGAAAAGAAATCTTTCCACATCTATCTTGTCAAGTACTCCAAGAATCTTGTATGCTTCACTAAGGTCTCTCATTCTTCTAAATTCTAACATGTACAGGCCCAACCTCTCTTTATAAAATAGTCCTTCCAAGCCCAATATCAGCCTAATGAACCTTCTCTTGCTACCTTCAACGGCAGTACATCTTTCCTTAGATAAAGAAACCAAAACTGTTCACAGTTGTGGACAGACTAGTGCCTTGTATAACTTTAGCAAAACCTTCCTAATTTTACACTCCATTCTCTTTGAAATGAAGGCTAATGTTCCACTTAACTTCCCTAATACCTAGTGAACTTGGATGCTTGCAGTTTGAGATTCATGGACAAGGATTCCCAAGTCCCTGTGCTGTAGCTTTCTGCAGTCTTTCTCCATTTAAATGATATTCAACTCCTCTATTCTTCCTGCTAAAAGTGTATAACCTTACATTTCCCTTCATTAATTCCATCTGCCAAGATTTTACCCACTCACGTAACTGTCTGTATTCCTCTATAGACTCTGTCATGCTTACCACTTGCCTTTCCACCTATTTTTGTGTCATTTACATCTACTTTCCTCATCCATATCATTAATATATATTGTAAATAACTGTAGCCCCATTGCTGCTCTTGTGGGATTCCATTGGTTACAAGTTGCCCAGCTGAAAATGTCTCCTTTATCCCAACTTTGTCTTCTATTAATTAGCCAATTCACCAACAACAGTACTTCACTATCCTTCCCTTCAAAGTCACGTATCCCAGAATATTTAGTTGCCAGCTTTGATCCCGTTGTAACCATTACCTCTGTAATGCCTATAAGATCATACTGTTAATCTGTATTTGTGCCATTAATTCATTTATTTTGTTCCAAGTACTACATTCATTCAAGAGCCATTCATTTTGCATTTTTACAACTTCTTTTCTGCCTCCTCCTCCTCCTCCTCTTCCTCCCTGCCGCCCCACCCCATTTACTGCTGTTTTTCTGTGTTTGTATGCTTTCTTCCTTCCTGTCCCACTCTAGGTATTATTGACCAAATAGCTGCCCTACCATGCTGACATATCCTTTTGCTTTGTAAGTCTACATTTTCTCTCTACCCCTCTAATTAGTTTCAAGACCCCTCTATAGCTGTAGTTATTTGATTCGCCAGGACACTGGTCCCAGCACAGTTCAAGTGAAGCCTGTCCCACCAGATCAGCTCCCTCCTATTCTGGTATTGGTACCAGCGCCCCATTAACTGAGATCCATTCCGCCTACACTAATCTTTCAGCCACACATACAACTCATTGATTTTCTTTACACTATGCCAGTTTGCTGGTGGCTCAGGTAGTATACCGGAGATTACCACCTAGGAGGTTCTGCTTTTTGTCTCCTGACTATTCAAAATCTTTCAGCAGAACCTTCTTTCTAGTCCTACCAATGTCAACACGGATGACAACTACTGGATTCCTCTCTGCCCTCTCCAAATTCTTCTCCTAGCCTAAGGAAATGTCCTTAGCCCCGGCTCTAGAACAAGATGATTGTCTCCCTGATTCAGAAACTATGGGCTGCACACAGGATGTATACCACTTCTGCATTAACCACCATCTATGTGGCTGGATTGACAAGTGACAGCCCTTCCACAGCAGGCCAAGTTACAAAATAAGCATTGCAATGTGGTTACTAATGATATTTTTCACCAAAATTCCATTCCATCTGCACTGAACAGATGTGAAATTATTTAGTATTAGTAATCGGACGTAAACCATGAGGAATACCAAAATACGGAACCACTGACAGGTAATTCACTTCCCTCGGTTGGATATTGACGCCGTCAACATTGCTATAGCTCAATCAAATTACGTAGGCATTAAACAATTTAAAATTGGTTACTTAAATTAAACTGTTACAAAGAATACAAGGAATACCTAGCTTATCAGCAACCTCTCTCATTCTCACTAGAAACTCAAACCAGGGATGAGCCGCATGGAGTGCTCTATCATCTAGTAGAGGACAGTTGGAGGGTTTCAACCTGTTAAAAAAGGCAACAATAAAATCAGTCTTCAGGGGTCACGAAATATGAGAAACATATCTTTAAATCTATCAACTGCCAATATTTGCGAGTATGATAATTATACGTACAATTGGATAATCAAGTCAATTTACAAATCTTAAACATTCATCATTCACAACAAAACAGACTCAGTTAGTTTGAAATAAAGTGGTGAATGTTATTTTTAATCCCATGTAAATATGGGGAGTCCACTTTCAAAGAAATTTACCCAAGTACAGCTTGCAATTTTTTTTAATCCAGAAGCACAGTTAAGCTTGCTCCATTCTTGTGATTTTTCATTGGTGGGGTACAGAAAAGTGGGGGGGAGGCTTAGTGAACCAGAAAATCAAAGGAGCCAAACACACATTTGAAATGACATCCTCACCAAAATCAACTTGTGATAAATTAGATTAAAATCTGGACATGGTAATGTGCCACATGTAAGATAACAAAGGGTATAAACAGAAAGGAGGTACTCCTTGCTCCCATGTCTACAGTCTCAACAACGTTTGGGTAGGAAGAGGCAGGAAAAAGGAGAAAACTGTAAATTGGTGTATCTTATCTACCTAACATGGTGTAATTTAAAATGCATTACATAAATCATCCACATGGGGGAAGTATGTTACAATAAATATCTTTAAAGCAATAACTCAGCAGCGCAACTCCAAGTATTGTAGATACAGGAGAGAAATAGATTTTAAAAAAATGTCTCAACTATTCATTCAAACAAACACAATTTGAAGAAATAAAAACTATAGCCGTCAATGCTGTGAATGGAAAAGAAAGCCAAAACATAATGGAAACAAACCACAGGGAGATCAATATCCAAAAGAGAGATGGGTTAACACACTAGCAACACTTGATCATAATTATTATTGTGTTAGGTTCTTACAGACTTTACATCCAAATTTTTAACACCTTTTCTCACTTCAGTTGCTGATTAACTCACCGCCATCAATTTCTTGTATAGTATTTCATGACTATTTCCACACAGGGTGGGAATTTCATTTTATGGTGTTTTGCCCACAAAGATAAGAACTATTGAATGAAGAAGCATCGACACAGAAGCAGGCCATTCAGCCCATCATACTGAGCCATTTTTGATTCTATTCCCCTATTTATTATCCATAACCAAGGATCCCTCTCAATCTCTTTCACACGCACTGAAATTTTAAACTTCCCAGTTGTGCCACATGTTAACAAAGGAACAACCTTTGATACATATGTGGTACTGTTCTCCCTGCAGTGTACATTTGCGACTGACAGAGAACATTCCCAAATCCCTGTAAATCTTTTCTCAAGCACTTAGTTCATTCAAGTAATAACTGAAGATATATTGTTTGCTTCCTCCAAATATTCAAAAGATCAAAAATACTCGCTTACCAAGAAAATAATTCATTGTGATGATCATCACAATGTCATATGCCCTGCTGTTGTGACCAAACTGAAAACGCACATACCACTTTTTCATTTAGCTAAATATAAATTTAACAAATTTAGTTTTTGAAAACCATTGTGATGGGAACTGGTGTGATTTACAAACTACATTCCTAGAGGGAGTCTCTGGATCCTGCCATCTCTGAGAAGCAAGCAAATTTTGAAAGAGGGGGGCACAGAACATGGGGAAACCATTGATTGCCAATTAACAGCTCTTTAAGCTAATCAAGGAACTTGTTACTAGATAGGAGAGGACAAGAATTTGACTTTCAAAAAAGTGAATTCTGCAAATACAAAAACAATCTTACACAAGTGCACAGTTGTCCTGTTCAAAGGAGGTAGTAGATTTTTTTTTTTTTTTAAAAAAAGAGGCAGCAAAAACATTTAGGGGACATAGGAGACCTTGTGCCAGATCTCTCACATTATCTTGCTGAAGAGACCAGGCAGCAACGTGAACACTTGTATGCAAGGTAAAGGCATGCTCCATATGGCTTCTGACTGCCTTTTCCACTCACTGTCTACAGGCAGTTCACCACTGGCCTAATTAGAACGTTTTCAATTCAAAACAGCATGGAATTTTGCTATGGGAGGTCTGTGCATCAGACTCCTGATGCCACCGTGAAAATCCAGTTTCAGATTTCTGGAATGACATGAAGGACGGGCAACCTAATTGACAATTACACAAGAGAAACGCACAGTCTCTTTCTGACTGCTGACTTACTGAAAACAGGCTTCCAGAGAAAAACTAGTCTCTCATCAAATCGGTCATACAGTTGAAGTTCTCTGTTTGAAAGGCTTTAAGAGTTAATTAAAATAAAAAAAGCTTCTCCGAGATCATGCTGGATGTTTGCCAAGCTGTCACTAAATAAATTACAAAGGACATTTAAAAAAATCTTCCAAAAGTAGCCAGCTTTTCAACATTGTGATTAACTATAATGACCATGAAGTGAAGTAGAACAAGAGTCTGGATTATTGGCACAACCACTTTGAGGTACTACACTGGTGTATAAAAGCATGCTGTATTAGAGGGGGAGAATTCTTTATCAAAGTCTTCAAATCTCTCAAGACATTTTAACAGGGACAATAGTCAAGACCCAGACGTAGGTGACATGTCAGCTACTGTTGGTGAGCTACTGACAAGACTAACATTATTAGTAAAATGTCAGCACTCTACCTTTATTTTTCATCAGTAATTATTCATGTTTTATTCTTAGAACATGGATGAAATGAAGAATGCTGCATTTTAACTCAGCCTTAGCTGCTCCGATGGTTCAACCATTTTGTATAAATTGCACTGGCCTTTCTTGAGGGCTATTAGCAAACCAGTTAGACCTTAGCGACAACTTAGCAGCTACTTTAATACAATAAGTCTGCCAAAATGACCAATCTCAAAATTTGCCATGGTGCAATTTGAATTCCTGACATCAGAATTCTGATCCAGCACCACCATAGCCATTATAGTAGCTTATAGGGTTAGAGGAAAGGAAATAAGAAATAGCAAACTAAACGCACAACAGACAAACTAATTATGCAATATTAGAAGTACCAAGCTCTACAAAACTACATATTTTTTGGATCATCTGGGGTCTACACTTGGATTATTATTGTTGGCATTCAATGGTGTTTTACTGAAGCAAATTGGTTGTCAATAAGTACAGAGGAGTTACTTTTATATTGTTACCATCCAAGTGTTTTACGATGGCATCATTTTGCCTGCACAGAGGAAGCGAAAGAGGAATCAACCATCAGAATGAGACATTGCAATTTTAAAATCACAGCTTGGTGGTAAGCAAAAGCCATTGCAGGCCACTTTTGCAAACTGTACACAATGCAAAGCTGATGATAAAGGCATTTATCCAAAGCTAACAAAAAAAAACAAAAATGACACTGGTCTGAAAATAGGTTTATTGTAAAGATCAGTAAAGCATCAGCCACATCGTGATCTTTAGGTCATTTGTATAACTCTGAAGGAAGGGAGTTACAGTAACATGAGAAAAATCTCACAATCACTGAAAAAACACACGAGTCAAGCAAATTAAAAGAAAATGTGCTTTTTAAAAAGACAACAAAATATGCTCAGTTCTCTAGTAATTAATCATTCTCCTTTTTTAACACGTGAAAAGAAAGCTCATAATGTGGGTTGGGATATTTCATATTTCAAGATATTCTTGAATCCCCATCCTCTGAAGGATTGCGAGGGAGGACAGAATGCAGAAGCAGCAACCGCAAGAGATAGCTTTGTTATAAATTCAACACATGAACAAACCCTGTCTCAGTCCTATTCATGATCTTCTTTAAGTCACACCAATCTATCCAGTGAAAAATCCCAACTGAAACACCCATTAACTGTAACAACATATAGCTATTGTGACATCTGGTAGTTACAAGGATTCATTTTAAATTAAATTCTAAGCTGGTTTGGGGATTTAAGTAATGTTCAGCTCAAAAGAGTTATCTGAAAGAATAGGTACAGCATGAGAATCATTATCCCATTTATAGCTGTATCTAAAAGTCTACATATGGAAGCTGCCTTTAAACTGGTGCTGTTTTAATTTGGATCTGGATGGACTGGCAGTTTATGAGCCAGCTGTCAGGATTCACAAACCTGGCTCCTGATTCCAGCTGCTGAGACAACTATTTGTGGGTCTTAATCTAGGGATAAGGAGCTGGATTTTGCATTGCAAATGCTGGCAACCAGCTTATGAGTTAAGTTTTCCCAGAATCTGAATTTAAAGAAAATCTTGCATTTATTAAAAAAAAATACAAAGCGCCAAATTTGACAAAGCACTGTACGTCCAATGGAATATTTTGGTTGTTATCACAGTTGTAACTCAGGCAAAGATGGCAGTTAAATTTGCTTACAACAATGCTGCACCTGCAGGAAAAATAAAGCTCAATTTGAAGCAAATACTGCACTGGATTCCCAAGGAAACTGGGTTAGGGATTCCTGGCAGATTTGGATATACCCCGAAGAACACATAGACAAGTTAACCCCTTGCTCAGGGTGTGTAGACACTTGTGAACGGGATCATACCAGCCTGACAAACAATTGGGCCTCTCAAGAGGAAGCCGTCAACTTCAGCAGCTTTTTTTAAACAACTTGTGTTTTTTGCAACTTGCCACCATGGGACATATACAGGAGGACTTTGCTGTTCTGCTTAATGTCCAGTCAGTATTTCTGATCACTGATCCTAGTGGATCCTGGGGAGTTTATTTACATTTTGAAGTTGGTTGCGCATGATACATTTACAAACGGATCTTCTTTTCCTTTCAAAATCTGCAGTTTTAAACTACAAACTTGGCATTCCACAACTTCAATATTTAACTTCTTTTCTCCTATGCATTCATCTTTAATGATGGACTCATCCAGTAACTGAAAAGAGCTGCTCCTGGATGGATACCCCAGAGAACTTGACCCTGAGGGTTGCTGACCTCAGAGTCCAAATGATTCATACTGCAGCTCCAATAGATTAAGAACATGCACTACTGGTGAGTACTGGCATATTCCAGGGAAGAGAATCAATCACATGAGTTTATGGGAAAGAACGTTTTTGGTTATATTCTGTAAAACATAGCCAGGACCCAAGTGTGAGCTGCAGTAAAGGCAGGCTTATAAAGTACATTGCTTGAATTTTTAGTCACCATTCTTCTCTGCATTTCTGTAAGTCACACTTCTGCCAGATTAAGGCAGTATAAAACATTTACATATTTATAAAAACTATGGTTATGATAAGTGGAAATAATTTAGTCTGATTATCTAGTTAATAAATTGTTCATTGCTGGATCCACTCACCGTGGCATAGAGACATGTTCACTCTAGAGAGATCCTGAAGAAAGAACTGCATTTTAAACAATATCCAGTTTCTTAATCTCCAATTATATTCCCTTCCTTTTCAGATGTTTAGTTTTGACGCAGCATGATTCCATTTCTCTTTGTTATCTCACCCAAGTGGTCACACTTCAGTGAGCCCAAATACAGCCAGCAGGTGCAACAACAACAACAAAACAGAAATTGCTGGAAAAGCTCAGCAGGTCTGCAACATCTGTGGAGAGAAATCAGAGTTAACGTTTTGGGTCGAGTGACCCTCCTTCAGAACAGCCAGTATCTGGCTATTTAATCATGGAGAGCATCACAGCTCAGCTTGACCCTATCCTCATCTTATAGTCTTCTCTTGATAAAGTTGGATGGTCTTTGGAACAGCTCCAACTTCTAGCTCAGTCATGGGCCTGGATCCCAGCTCCTCTGCTCTGATGCCTCGAGTCCGCTGCTAAACCGATAACACTGCTCCAACCGCACTTGGCTGTGCCACTGCCACTGCTGAAATAAATCATTACCCCAAACCAATCTCCAGAAATCCACTCACCCATAATAATCCAGGTAAGCATACAAAAGATAGCGCAGCTCATGCTCAAGGCAGAAGAGGATGAAACAGCTGTAGAAGTCAAGCCCATCAGGAGACTGGTAAACTGGAACTGGGTGAGGTTTCTGCATCACTCCCCCCGAGCCGCTTAGTCTGACCAGGAGCTGTCTAAAGTCTGCTAGCTCTGAACGGATGAATACTCCTTTTCTGTTGAGGCAAATATAAAAAAAAACAAATTACCAAGAGGTTGCAGTAATAAATTCACAAATCATCCCTACTTCTGGTCCACAGATAACAAAAAAAATTTGCACTCTTGGGCAACTCAATCTTCAAATTTTGAGAGTTATAACTAAGTTTTCTTAAAAAATAAATTAAACTTGAACAACTTTTGTGAAAAATGGATCCGTGGACTATTGGGAGGTTGATTGTACGACTTGCCAGTGCTTATTTTGAAAAGATTGAGAAGAGGAATGATTTATTTTAAAATTAACAATGGCCGTTGGGCATAATAGAATAATGGTAGAAAGAAAGGCTTAGTCTCTACATTCCTAATATCAAAGACCTTTGTGGTTCATTCAATCACTGTACTACCAGTTTTGTTTATTTACAAATGCAGGTACTCAAAGAGAAAACTAGGCTTTTGATGCTAGGGTGGCACATATATTCATAAAATTGGAGATATTTACCTTGCCAACATGTCCAATATCTGATTTCTCATGTAGTTACTGCAATGTGTGCCCTGATTCACAATATCAGGCGTCAGAGGTGGCCAATTTGCAGAATTCTCATTAGTTTGGAAGATTTCAATCCAGTCACAAACTTTTGCCCAACAATGTCTGGATGTGAGGCAGGTCCACAATACCTCAGGGCTACAAGATTGAATTGCTGTGAGGACGTAGATCAACAATTAATAAAAAGGAACAAACAATCGGTAATTTTAAAAGCAACACAGAAAAAGAATGGCTCCCAGAACACAATAAATATATCATAACTTCGAACCAAACACATGAATAATTAGAGTCCTATGTGACAATTAAGCCTTGGACAGAGAGAGAGTTCAGAAGAGAGACACAAGCTGATGCCCACTATCAGAAAATTAAACCGTTTTGGAGAAATAGTAATTTAATTCTTTTTCCTTAAAAAGGGATTTTATTGAGTCACAATTTTGAAACCTTAGCAAAGGAGAAGGAAACATGGGATTAAAAGACACAAGGGAAAAGTTACAACTGCTCAAATCTCTCCACACAAGAAGCTAGACCTCATTACAAAATTTCTCCAAAAGAACTACGCTTTTAATTTGCACAAAACATACTGTCAGAAATCCACTACCATCCTAAACGTAATATATATTCTATACTTACTCATATCCAATTCTCTACATAACTTTATTCGCTCTTTTGCAACCTCATCCCAACATTTGGCCCAATCCAAAATGACCATACAAGAGTTTGAACCTCCTTCTGGGTGCTCAGCATTTCCAACTTCAGAGTTCATAATAGGCTCCAGGACAGCTGCAAAACTGGGATCAATATTTTCAGCCTGAAAAATGCTGGAAAGGCCCACAAAATTAATATTTTTTTCACAAAATTCCTGCTCATTATTGATCACAGATATGTTGCTGTAAAGACATTTACTGTGTTATTGCTAACATAGCTGGTCAGAAGTCAGAAAGAGAGCTAAAAATTTCAAAGCCCAACCACCTCAGTTCCTTTCCTGCTCCAAAATTCTAACAGTTCAAAATGCTGCTTTCTTTAAATAACCAGAGTTGCAATACTTCTGGTGGAATTCCCAATATTGCGAACTTTCTCATCTTCTCATCTCTCCTAACAATTAGCTTAAGTTTTGGTCCTGTGCAGTAATCCATTTTTCAATTACCGTCAAGTTTGACCATGCATCAGTTGGCTTATTTGAACACAGTAGGCATCTCTGCCTAGTTCAATTTTGTATTCATCCAACAGAGGTAGACACAGCCGTTCAGATTAATAAATAATAACTCCATCAAATTCAGGAGTACACCAATTCTAACACTTCAATGTCTTTGCTGAGACGAGTCAATTCACCATAGAAAGGGATGAATATTGGTTACTTCCCCGAAAAGAACTGCTTCACTATCCACATTCACTGCATTATTGGTGAAATAAAGTGGAGCTTATAGACTTTAAATAAAACAACATATATTTTTTATTAACCTATTTTTCTAACCAATCTGTTAAAACATGTTATGGCACACCTTCTGAGCATATGGGGCATGACCATTGCACCACTAAAGGGCCCTAAACATGTTGGTGAATCAGATGGGACTTTATGGCAATTTTTTCATGACCATCATTGGATCAGCCATGGTGGGATTTGAACCCAGATTCCCTAACTATTTCTTGGGTCTTATAATTATTAATCTAGCAGCAATGTCACAATGCTATTGCCTCCTGCAAACATTTCTCATGCACCTCTACTAAAACAATTAAACTTAAAAACTATGACAGTACACAAATTATACAAATGTGAATGTATCCAGCTACATAAAAGTCACAACTGACTACAAAGGACAATTTGCAAAACCCCAAAAAGAATCACTGAAAGCAAATGCACTAATATGAAGGTGTGAGACGTTATGGCTCACAGGGACAAGGGAACGAAAAGCTGACCTGGGAAGTGGAATATCATCAGGAGGAGAGATTTCCACAAAGTCTAGAGCAGGCAATCTTAAAGCAGCTTTTAAATTATTAAAAATAAATAAATCAGCACTACTTGAACAGCCTGAAATGACAGACATACACAAGGTAAAATATACCCTCAGAAGCCAATGAACTTGCTGAAATGAAAATCCAATCTGTAAATCTCAACCCGTTTCTATTAATAGAACCGTTCTTTTGAAATGCTGGAGCAAACACAATGAGTTGAAAGCTGACTTCTGTGACACTGCAATCAAGGAGTCAAGGCCAAAAACAAATCTTCAGTTAAGCAGGGAGGGTGGGAGAATAATTGAACTGGTTTCATAATTTATAAAATGATGCATCTGTCCTTATAAATTCCTAATGACAGTGGAACCTGCCTATATAAACTTAGTGTAGGATTGGCAGTGCTAGGAAGGAGGAGGATGTAATTAGAGCAGGGCTGGTTTCTAAGAAGTAAGCCAAGTAGCACTTACAGGTGCAAGGTTTTTAATATATCAATAATAGACATTGACACAATTATCCCAGCTGATGGCAATATGGAGTCAGATTCAAGAATAAAATCTGGTTTGATAGATCGTTTTTTGTTTAGTTGGTTAATATGGTAGTCAGTAACTGAGACATATTCTCATAAGGCTGCAGATTTCTTTAACAACAGAATGTATTACACAAAAGAAGAAATAAACAAAAACAGCTAAATTCAGAAGGTAGTTAGCAAGACCTAAAACACACAGCAAATGAACATGTCAACTGATTTCCTGAATCTGTATGTCACAGAGACTCAGACTTATACCCTATCTTAACTCTTTAGTTTTCTACTTACTGACTCCTGATAGTTTCTTTATCATGGACTGTGGAGACAATTTGATGAGTCCTTCAAAAATCTACCACGAGCTTTTCCACAAACCCAAGAACCTCAACTTCTCTGTTGCAATAACCTGCTGACTGCTAACCTCTTATGAGTTATAAGTTCCACAAACCAAAATTTTTGAAGTAACTGGTCCCTGAACTGTCCTAATCTCGTCCTAGGAGAGAAACTAAAGTTGATTCGGAGCTGAAATTTTTAAAAAAAAAAAAAAAAAACACTTGCTCAGCCCAGATTCTTTCAAACTGAAAACAAAGCTAATGGCTTTCAAATGTTTATCCTACTTGTCATAGACCCAGTAATATAAAAATCTTCCCACCAAAACAGAGCTCTGTCGTCACCTGCTTTAATAAATGGTGTATCTGATCACCATGCTACTAGGATCCTCTGGCCTTTTGTTTGAAAACTAAACCATTCATAGAAGTAACTAACATCTATCATCTTCTATCTTGAACTCTAAGTTCCACAATTTATGTAATAGAAGTGATACATTTTCATCATACACCAAACAAACAGTCACAGGTAATTGATTTTCCATGAATAGAAAATATTTGGAGGGTTATGGTCGACATGGATTGGTTGGACCAAAGGGTGTGTGTCTGTGTTGTATGATTATGACATGTCCACATGTCTGTGCGTTTGGAGTGAGGAAATAGTATTGGGAAAACTAGTGGAGATAAAACACTACTCCTGTGTATCCCATGCAGAAACACTTCAAGTAACCAGATTGAGCAATTTCATGGCATCTTGAAAACCTCTCTTTCTACCTAATCAGTCATTGTTAGAACTTTACACTCACCCTATAAATAGAGCTTCCCTTTGTAAAAATCATAAAGTAACCAATGTTCAATGATAGTTACTTTTTTCAGATATTATACTTAATATTGGAAAATTTTATTTATTTCTGTACTCCTACATAATGAGCTTTTTAAGGTTGCTCTAATTCTTTTCAGTAGCTACATGCCATATACACGATACAAATCTCCTAATGGAAAAAAACTTCATTTAGAACGTTAAACATCTCACAAAAGCTTACACATTTTGTAAGTTACCAGAACTTCAGAAATAACAGG